ATTTTACCTATACCTTCAAACAAGTCTTTATACTCACTAACAAAATCGTCCTTTAACATATGCACCTTGGCTTCATTCACATGGTGCCGCTTAACTAACTTAAACTTCACACAAGTGTCTCTGCTGAGAATTGGAATGGACTGTTCCTGACCTGCGACATAAAAACGTTCATAACTTGAATTTTTACCTATTTGTATTTTTAAAGATACGATTCCTTCAACATTAGTTTTGAAACCGTTCCAACTTTCTAGACGTGCTGTACAACCCTGTAGTCTTATTGATGGCGACATTTTCTTCAACTTCTTATATATGGGAACTGGTATGATGTTAACATCCGCACCTGGATCCAGCTTGAACATGACGTCCATTTTATTTTCAATGTTGACAGTTTCCATCCACGCCACAGAATCTACGTTGGCTTGAATAATGGAGCCACAAAAGTAATTCTCCTCGTCGTCCTCTAGGATGTTCTCATGAACTTGCTTGCGAGAGTACGTAGGGGTTTGCGTTGATCCTCGCGTTGATCGGCACATTTTTGCAAAATGGTTCCTTTTTTGGCATTTTGCACATGTCTTATTGGTCGCGGGACAATTTCCTACACTAAAATGAGTGAGACCACACTTATCACAAATGTCAGTCTTTTTGATAAAACTTGGCCTTGCTTTCGGTCTTGTTTGTTTCGTAACGGTAGAGTGGACATTAGGTTGTGTTGATAAGATATTTTGAACTTGTATATCCGTGATGTCTGCCAATCTTAGAGATTTTACCACCTCATCTAGCTTGGGGTTCCCTTCTTTGATTAATTTAGTTTTTGCATCTTGATTGGTTGACCCGAAAACAAGTTTGTCCCGAAGTATTTCGTCGGCATCACTATATTCGCAGGCTCCAATTAGTAACTTGACATCAGTATAGAACGAATTAAATTGCTCGCCTTCCTTTTGATTACGTTGATTGAATATAAAGCGTGAATGCAAGACATTTTTCTTAGGGTTGCAATATTCCTCTAGTTTGGCTAAAACATCTTTAAGTTCATTATTTGTAGTATTACCTTTGATCGTGTTGTAAACTTCCAAAGCTTCGTCACCAATTAAGTTTAGTAAGACTGCAATTTTGCGCTTATCAGGTTGTGTATCAAGTCCACTAGCCAAGAGGTATATGTCGAATGACTGGGCAAATCTTCTCCAATTTTCACTTAGATTTCCTTCCAAAACTAGTTTTGCTGGTACGTTGCACGAGACCGCCATTTTCTCATCAAGCGAGATAACAGTAGAGTAGGTAGCTTAATAAGCCCCAAAATGTTTAACCAGAGTGCCCTGACAATACGAATAATAAAACCACCAAATTTACTTCCGACTGCGCCATGTGTTATATGTTAAAACAAAAGGAAACGACATGTTTGTTTAACATAACTTTATTAACTGAACGCATGTACTTGCGTCTCCGTCCGACTCTCTCTGCCTTGTTGCCGGTTCTCCCCTTGTCACTTACTTAATCTATCACACTCACAACAGCCTTCCTAATATATAAGATCTCTGCCCATTGGAGCTTTTAAGTCCCGCCTCAAAACATTTCATTCAAAAAATGCTTTTTATTGTCAGGAAGAATTCATGAAAAACTGTTATGCGATTTAATATGTAAAATTGTACTCTGCTATCCTCCTTTGTTAGTTAGTCTCTGAATGTACCTTTGTATTTTGTTTGTAATATTTTTTTTCTAATGACGACCGTAAGTGTACCCACACGGATAACGGTATAATAAATATTATTATTATTATTAAAACTCAGCTGCAGACACTTCAGTCCATTTTTTTATAATATAATATTATTTATATTTATAGTATCTGACATCCTTTTGTGCTTGTTTCTGTTTGTTGTGGAATGAATAATGTTTAGTTTGACTTTTTTATTAAAATCTGTTTATTACAGTTGTATTATATGTTGTTGTAGATGCTATGTCTGTATGTGTTCAAAATAACTGGTGAGAGGAATGATTGAAATAAAAGACTAAGGAAGGAGGGTTGCATACATATAACTTACGCTTGTTGGGATCCAATTAGGTTTCTCAATATGGCCGACTTTGACAATTAATTGACATTTACTGTAAAGTTAAACAATGGTTAACTGTAAATCGTGTAGTGTAACGAAGTTAAAAGCTACAGAAGAAACGAAAATTACATTTTATAATTGGTGTCCATGTTGTATTTTTAAAATGGTCTTCTTTCACGTAACTGAATTGCATTCATTTTGCAAGTTGTGATACAGCCATAGCAATAGTGTATAAAATTGTGTAAAACAACATTTTGAAATACATCTACTTTTCAGATTGATAAGAAGAGATGAATCTGTCTGTAGTAAAATGTATGCAATTTCAGTACTATTCGCCAAGAAATTACATATATTAAATGTGTGTACGCCACTGCGCGTATGAACGTCCGCCATATTGAGAAGCCTAATACAGGGGTCGGCAACCTATTGAAACGGAAGAGCCAAAAATTACCATTTACAAAATTTCCCAGTTTTTAAAGAGCTACAAAAAATGTTTGATTCAATATTATAGTTTTTGGCTATATGCAGTAGGGTCCTGCAACAGTGCGTCGGTTTTTCCTACATAGTCGATACCGGGTAAAAAATAATGGTGGTTGTGGATCTACAGAAATTATTTTTGAATGTACAGGGTGTTCCATTTATACGATGTCAATAAATAACTGATCTTTTTAAATAGAACATCCTGCATATTTTTACTTGTTTCAATACAATTTGCTCAAAGTACTATAACTATTCTTTTTCATATGAAACTACCACTATTTTTTCGCTATTCGATTGTCTTTTGTGTTCTCTTCAATGTTTATAAGGGGCGCCTTGTGCTTAAACCCCGCAGTTATTCAATATTTTTCACAAAAGTACCTACTCATTAATTAATGACGTGTTTATACATCGGAGTAGGCTGCTATAATAAAAAACAAAAGAATACCAGAAAGTAAACAATTAGATAATTATTTGCTGCAAGTGTACTTTTGATTTTGTAAACAAATTGGATTAATTAAAAAAGTGAATTTCGAACAAATGAACTAATTTCTTTAGATAAATATGGAGAGTCTCAACTTTATATCAAAAGAGCCGCAGGTTGCCGACCCCTGGCCTAATAGGATCCTCCTTAAGCTGGATTCACATGAATACAAAATCCGACGATACAGTCATCCGAAATGCTTATGATTGGTCAGTAGTTTGAAATGTCAAGCGCATTTCAAATTATTGACCAATCATAAGCATTTCAGATGACCGTATGGTCGGATTTCGTATTCATGTGAATCCATCTTAAGTCTTTTATTTCAATAGCTATCCCCCACATAGGTATTTCTGCATGCATTGGGAGAAATGTAGTGAAAACTGTGAAAACATTAGGTACTTACTATCATTGAATTTATAACTATTGGTAAGTTTGAAACCAGTTGTTTTGAGACGGTTGCTGTCATTAGTTGTTATATTTACTTTTCTTTATATTCAGAGCAGAGACGAATCCAAGAAATCAAAGATTATGAAAATTGGTCCAGCTGTTCTTGAGTTATAAGTGGTGTAACATACACGACTCTGTTTTATATATTACGATTGTCTGTTTCATAGGGACATACTGTATCTTTCACTTTGTAGAATTTGATATGTGACACTGTCAGATAAATGTCCTTATAGTTATTAAGGATACAAGTTCGATACGTTGTTCGATATGAACATCATATAGAGTGCATATCATTCAAAATTTAATCTCCAAATAGAGTTTATTCGCATTTTTAGTTATCTAGACGTTTTCTTAAGTTAAAACTCAAAATTATCAAGTGCCGATACTAGTGGGTGTCATGGTACTTGCGTTTGTCAATTTGGAAGTTCGCTGTGGAAAATAGTAGATAGTAATGGTTATCATTTGCGTGCTTTTATGAATTCATAAGAACACTAGTGCTATTATGAGAGTCTGACATCCAAGTGGCCATCATAATATACAGACGCAACACTGCCTGAAAAAGAAGGCGGAGTTATCCTTGGCAGATAGCTTTTGGATGGTGGACTCATGCCGATGCGTCATCCCTCAGTTTTCCAAACACAGTGTCCCAGATCAAATTGGATTGATGTAATAGGTTAGTTTGTTATTATTGAAGAAAGCGATTAGGTAAAATGGGTGCAGTTTTGCAGTTGTGTGTTAAAATTCCGTTTAGAGAATTTTAAAAACCAGGGCCGATTACAAGTTATTTACATTAAACTGAAAAGCGCCAATTTACAAAAATTTAAATATTTCTATAAATAAATAAAAAAGTTTAATATGAAAGTTTCTCATTTCAGCAAACTCAAAATACGATTTAAGAATTAATTTTATGTGGTTGAGTTGTCTGCCCTATTCTGAGCAAAACGATGGAAGCTTTATAGGGGAGTAAATGGTGTCCATCTGTCCGTCCGTGAACCCGATAACCACCAAACACTTGGGTCGATTCGGTTTAAACTTTGCGCAGTTGACCTATATGTACCAATCCTATTGAAAATGGGTCAAATCCAATGACCCTGTGGGGTCACACCGAGCGGCTCTGACGCTTTTTTAGATCCACTTTAGGGATTAGTTTAATTTATTTTTTATTTAATTTTGTTTTCTAGCTTTGCCATAACTACATTTGCAATAATATTCTGTTACCTTGTATATTGTCAATTCATTCTTCTCTCTTAATAATAAAACCAACTCTTTTGTAATTAACCAAATTCCGAAAGTTGTAAGTAATTTGATGTTGTTTTGTTCGTTCCTGCGTAGAATTTAGTTTCCATGCAGTAATTGAAGGATTATGCGACATTCTAACTTTTTTAAACTGATAACATACTCTCTAGACAGCATTGCAATGTCAATGACCTAATGGCAACATCTATTTACATGAATGGCCACTCTGTGACAGATTTCTAAACCGAACTTATTCAGTGTTAGAAACAAATAAAGTTTTCCAAGACCAAGACCTTGCGAACGGAATAAATACCAATGAGTTCGTGATGAGTAATATTGTAATTTTACAGGGCAGTCGAGATAACATGAGCATTGTATTAGTCGTTTTCCCCGGTGCACCGACCCCATCGCAGGAGGCTATCCAAGCTGAGCAAGAACTTGATGCGATTATCGAGAGGAGTATTAAAGGTTGTTTAAATTTTTTCTCTTGCCATAAGATCTAGTATTTTCCGTTTTAACCCGGTAGAGTGCCATATTTTTTCTATCCATGTATGTTCCCAAGTGTGTAGTAAATGTTTTGACAATCTAAATCCCAAAAGGAAACTGTATACAAGGCGTTATAGTAATTTTATTCGTTACAACTAAAGAACGAAACTAAATAAACTTAAGTTAAAAAAGTATAGAAATCGGAACCGTTTCCACACAAAGTGTGAAAGTCGGCTCTCTTCTAGTGATATACGCTTAAACTTTGTGACTTAAACAAATCTTTATTAAATGTCACTTTTGACAATATTTATTAGATTAAAAGAACAACAATGGGCCCGTGGACTATTTCACAAACAATGGCTTGAGTCAAACGTTTTCACTTTAGCCATTGTGCCTAACAAACCTGCTCATTGTGACTTTAGTTTTTCTAAATTGATATTTTTGGCAGGGTCATTGTATACAGGGTGTATATGAATCACTAGTGGGGTTGTATTGCAGTATAAACAAATAATTTGCAGAAATTCTTCAATTATCGTTCAGCAATTACATTTACATCTCATAGTCGGAAATGCAAGTAAAATTTTGAGACTATTAAAAAATTGTGTGCATATCTACGTAAATGACAAAAATAAATAAATAAACTAATCAAGTTTACAGGGCCAAGTTTAGTACGATAAAAATAATAATTTGCCATCTGCTCTACCACTTAACCCTGTATGTGCGGCGAGAAGAAACATTGTGCACATAGAATAAGCACGTACTGTATATGAATAGTCACATATTAATATTGAAATGTTAGGCCACCCTTCGCCATTTCACATAATTGCCCCTACTGTATTATATAATATGTATTTATTTGTTCAGCAGATGAAAGATCTTATAACAAGGGGTGTCTCTGTCTACCCTAAAAATGACATCCTTTTCCTCTTTGAGAAATATTTATGCAGTCTCCCACTTTAAAATATCCATTTTTGTGACCATATTGTAGTTTGAAATTGCCATTTTTGCCTATATTATGTGTTATGATTTATGAATAAACAAAATGTACTTTATACAACTCACTACCATGAGCCATGAGATACGCGGAGTTTCCTTGTCCTTACGGAATATCTAATTTGCAATGGTTTCTTGTTTGTCAAAATCTTCATTTTTTGGCCTTATTTTTATGCCAATAGTTTTCATTTGGTTGTCGTTTTTTTCTTCTTCTTGTGCCCTTGTTTCTTGACAATTTTTCATGACTTCTCTTGCAAGTACACTTTGGTGCGGGATGTTCTTTTAGTTTTGAAGTCAATCAGAGTTGCTTTTGCAATTTCCTTGAGAAAATTACCCATCTTTTTGCAACGTTTTCTAATGTTTAATTCTAGACATAGTGTAATTTGATTTATTTCACCTTCGACGCAGCGTTAGATTCGGTCACAAAATACGCAACTTCGCCTCCATTTAATCAACATCGGATCCCTTGCAGTTATCGAGATCTCAATGATTACCCTCGAATGTGGGACAGCCAGCACATTTGGTGGTATGACGCTGGTTAGTCTTACATACTCATATCGAATATTCAACTGTCTATTTGTTTATCTATATGTATCTTGATCTATACCTTTTGACACTAAAATCATTTGACAGATTATTTCCACACACGGGTTAATTAATTAAAATGAAGCTACAGATGTTGCAAAAAAATGTTTCATTACAAATTGGTATTTTAGGAATTTGTTACTTGAACGTAACTATTTGGCGTTGGGTGCTATCACTATAGTGCAAAATAATAGGAAAAAAACTATTTAAATATACAAGGTTACTATTAAAAAAATGTTGTGAGTGCGGCCGTCATCTTCAGTTTTTTTAATGGCAACCTAGATCATGATTTTTTTTTCTTTTTCTTTCTTACTGCCTTAACCATGAATAGTGTTAAATTAGAAAATAATGGAAAAAATACTCTGTCAAGGAGTTCATATTTTATTTCTTATGTAATACGATAGTTGTAAGAAAACAAATTATATATACATTTTTTATGATTTTTCAATCTTGTGGCGAGAGCGGGGGTACAATCCAAAATCACATTCCTCTTCTTTACTTTAAAAAATGGATGCATGTTTAAGATTTTTTAAATTTTTTGAAGCTACCTACAAACCTTGGGACCTATTTCTTTGTGATCGAAATCAGAATGTTTATTATTTAGTAACTATTAATACTATCACTGCCAATGAGAAATTGTCTGACTAACTATAATCATTTATTGCTATATTTTTCTGCAAATTATTTTTATATACTGTCATTTGCGATGATATTTCTCCCCACTGCAATTATATGAGCCAAAATACTCTGTGTATTAGATTAACAAGTATTTTTAAAGTGCAATTTTAAAGGTAAGCATAGGTTCACTTATCAGTGAGTATTTGAATGACGAATATTGTTTTTGTAGAGCACATTTATGCTCTTGTATAATTTTTAATCTTCTCAACGGTTTTTCCTGATGAGTAGCTCAATATTGTTTGTGTATTAACATGTTAAAGTGTGTCTTCGTTTGAGAATTTTTCTTCTCCTGCTTTGTGTACATGTTGACAGAAATAATGTTACGGTAAGTTGTAGTTATTATTGTGGATCTTTAATAAGGATTGTTAGTATTTACGTTTGATGTTACATAAGGGAACTAACTACAACATTGTTGATCATGTGTTATTTGGCAGGAAACACAAAGTCATTCAATTATCAGTTTTACTAGCAGAAAACTCCTTTCACAGGATATTATGGGTGAAAATTAAATTTATGTATGAGATCTGTGAGGTTCATGCATCACTGCAACCTGTTTTGCACCAATAATTCGTAATGCTCTTTTCATGTATGACGTAAAGAAATTCTTAAGATCTCCTATTTACTGTGATAATATACTAGAAAAAATACTTATTTTTATATTATAGTATTATTTTGGTTATTTATTTTTTGTTTTCGTGTAGGTATTTAAGGTTTATTTAGATGACCACGACTGACTTTTGAATTCACGTGGGACATTTTTTATTTGATTTGATTTTTTTATTTCTGTAAATCAACCACGCTCACTTGTATTAAAGTATTATTTTTATCTTCATTTTCTCACCAAACAGTGCAGAATTCTCAAACGTAGACGCACGGTGAAAAAGGAGGCAATACGGCTTGTTTTATATCAGATTGGTTTGCTCAATTTTGCAAGATAGCTTTACCCTATTTTTAAGTTGCTACTTTTATGGTTAGTCATAAGTTACAAAACACCACTCTTTTTAGTGAAGGTTTAGCGCCTTCTAGTGATCTCAACCGCAATTTTTTATTTCTTAATATTGAATGTGTTCATTTTCGGGTTCTTTTTTGATCGGCTAAAGTAGTCAAAATGGCTAATCAAAAAAGAGTCTATCCTAGTCTTCCAAATGTAACTTAATTGACGTCCTTTTTGAGTATTTGTTGTGTTCCTAAGCATTTGTTCGATACCAGTATTAATATTTGTGTAACAAAATCTATTGAACAATTTTCCTCTAGTCTTTTAGTAGGTTTTATGTGTTACCACCGATTTGACACGTGTGATGTAATTTTGTTAGCCTAAAATAAATTGTTGATAAATTATTTGAGTTTTATTTGACTTTTTTCTTTTACAGAAGTTGTCTCTAACGAAGGACAGGTTTCGTTCATGCGGATACTTGAACTGTTTGTCGGTATGGGACTTGAAGGATTACCACCCGGTGGCGGTTTAGCGGCGAAGTAAGTTACAGGCACTTCGGTCAAACTTCTTTGGATCTCTGCGTTGCTTGACTTTAACTAATCATATTTGTTTTCAGACGAGCACTAATGGCAGAAATATATAGAGAATTATGTCCAAAACAAGATGATTCTGTAAGTTGGGAATTTAATAATGATTTTGGTGAATGCCCTTAAATTGAATGATTTCAAAACAATTTTGTAGCTAGCGCACTGTTGTTGCCATCTTATTTATGTGTTTGTAGAAATTTTTTGAAAAAAAAGTTGAAAGTTTTTCATTTTCTTTTATTTAAAAACATTTAACAATATACAATCTGTGTATGGCCTGCATTTGAGATAGTATTCCTAACAGCACCTTTACACAACCTTCCAATACCCGTTCGTGAACTGTCTTATGTTATTGAATCATAATTTCAGTAATAAATACTAAAGCTCTAGTTGTTTTCAGGATTCCGATGAGTGTATGTATTCGTAAGATGCCGGATTTACAAGCAGGTACCTACTTGCATTGTTTGCATTTTTTGTTAAATTTTATTTTATTGTGATTTATCTTAGAAGGAAGAAAGGTTGATACAAATCATTTTTTGCTGATCTATTATTTAATACACGCTCTCTGTAAGTTTTTTTGTGTATTTTATAATGTGTGTGGTTATTTAACTGGCCTAATACTTTTTTTGTACCAAAGTTTTAATATTAGAAAATCGTTTGTACATTAATGATAGAATTTATGGCCATTTTAAAGATGATTGTCTTGTTTTTTGTATTTGAGTCTTTAAAATTGCCAAGAATGGAACGCTTTATACATACCTCCAGAAAAATGAAAGACGTACATTTTAATATTAGAAATATATAGTTTTGTACGTACTTATTAAGTTATTTCAATGTTAGTGGTTTTATTTCATTAAAAGTGCTACACCTACAAGTTTTAACTTAAGTTCAAATTTATCTAGACAAACAAATAAGTTATCAGTTTCATATCATGTGGTTTATTGATATTCAATTTTATCATTTAGTAACTAAGATATATTTTTCAACTGTTAGAAAAGAATATGTAAAAAGTGTGTAATAAATAAGAGAAGTTAGTACATAAATAAATAATATTTAAGTAAAACTTTGTTATCATGATAGATAATGGCACAGTTTATATACAAAGGACGTCATAATATTGTTGGTAAAATAGCTTCTTCAGAAACAAATAAGTACTTATTTTAACACGTACTGTGTAAAACAACCAACGTAAATATTGTTCTTAGTTCACTTAATATTTTTGAACTTTCTGTACCCGCTGGCTGTGGAACATCGGGTCACTACGTCTTGGAACGAAAATATTTTAATTTATTACAGGGTGTTTCATAAATATCCGGCAGAAGTTCTAGAGCCCAAAATTTAAGAAGAGCCTATAAAGATGCTTCCGATAACCAACCAGTGGCGTACATAGAGAGAGTCCTTTCTGCATCCACTCTTACTACAATAATGTAGTATGTCCAAAACAAATTTGATGGAAGAGGAGAACAAAACAAGTCTTTTTTCCCAAATGAATCTTAAGATTGGCTCTGATGTATGATTTAATATATTGCATATGGCTTCCAAAGCAGATACTGCACATTTTGATAGTCTTTAGGGGTTTATTGAACGTAAGTGACGTTACTATGATGTGTTATGTATATGGGGAGTAATTTGAAATCGTGAGATTTTTCCATTACACGGCAAGGTTTGTAACAAGATTTCGTCACACAAAAACTAAATTTGAATTTTTAGCTTCCTACCTCGAGCTAGGTGGCTATTGCGATCACCGTTTTTTGGGCATGTTAAAAAATTTTCAACATTTCTGTTATTAGTAGCAATTCATAAAACAACAAAAGTCATGGCTATTGCTACTAATAACAGAAATGTTGAAAATTATTTCTAAATTTGCGGGTATACCAAAAGCTTAATAAAACATATAAAAACAGTTTTGTATGCACCTTTTAATTCTGAACAACTTTAAACTGTACAGTTTTTTCTGTAAAATGTACAGGAGGGCAGGATATTGCATAAAACTAATTTCCCATGTTAAATCCCTATGTTCCTACTTACCGTGCACCACCCGATATACTGTATTGAGTAGCATTTTTTATTACGAATAACGAATACAACGATGTATGGCACACATAGAAAACCCTAATTTTCCACAACTTTGGAACTTGTGGGTATTTTACTGCAGGAAATTGGGAATTTTGTCCAAGTCAATTCCTAACTTAACTCGATTAGAAATAACATCAGAAAACTTCTGGCAAATCTTTGGAATTTTCTGGTTCTCTTTACTAATCTTTAATGGCGCAACTTTTCCCTAATTTAACGATGTCGTATCTTTTATGATTTCTGAGATCCCCATGATAGCTACACCCTTATTCTTGGAGTTGGGACACAGTGCATATGGATATAGGTACTCTTGTGGTAGATCACCATACATTAACAGTTTGAATATAGGCCATTCTTTTTCTATACGGAGGAAACCCAGCTGCAGTGATTCAAACTGTTTATATATAGCTAATCAATGTATTGGGAATACAATAAAAACAAGCTAGTATGTATATAGTAGGCTAGTATATACAATATGGAAATACAGAGTTCAACTATCTGGTACAAATGAATATCGAAAGATCCTCGAGATCTTGACGCATCTATATCATTTTTACGACAGACCTTAAAAGGGATTGATTCCGTCCCACCAGATTAGCATAGCTTTTTAAAACACATTTTTTGAATAGGCATTAGTTTTACTTTAGATTTTTTTCTGATTTCATTATTCCAAGATGGTACGAAGCAATTCTATTGAATTTTCATTCTGTTTTTCTGAACTTTCTTTAAACGTTATCACAAAATAAAGAAATTGCAATTGTATGTACAGGGTGATTTAACTCACTCACCATCTCTTTTATCCTAAAGGTGGGTTCATAGCTCTCCGTTCTTACGTTTCCGTTTGTCCGTTAGCCAATCAGAAGACAGCAAATTTTTAAATCGTACGTCGTCCGTTTACGACGGAAAAGTTAGTTGAAGTTGAACATTTACGTTTCCGTTGTTCCGTTTTTAACAAGAGTTAGGTTATGTTTGGTACGTTAACAGTGTTCGCCTATTCGTTCTTCACGGTAATAATCAGATAGCAACGTGCTCTTAGTTTCGTACCATTTTTACATACTGAAAATCACGGAGGGTACAGTACAAAATAAAATTTAGGTTATGGTTATACGTTGCAAATGTACAATGTGGACGGATTGCTATGAACCTTAATAAAATGCATTATCCGTTTGACAGACCAACGCAACGGATGAACGGAGAGCTATGAACCCACCTTAACTTTGAACTTCAAAAACTACAGGGCACAGTTTGCACGAATCAAAAATTTTTGGTCACACTATACATAATTCAAAATTCTTTGCCCATGCCTACTGGGACATGTAATCAAAATGTTATTGTTTTCTGAAGCGGGGGCGAAAGCAGCACATAAAATTGACAGAACATTTTCGAAACTGTAAGGCTTTAAATGGTGTCGCTGTATTTACAAATTTACAGTTTTGAATATTGGAGGTAAAGGTAAAGCTATTTGGAATGACAAAAAATTAGACATGGCGACTAGCAGTTCAGACGAAAGTCTAACAGCTCCAAAAGATTTCCATCTGTCTTCCTCCCTGGACAGTGGCAGTCGAAATAGTCCCATTCCTCAGAAGTGCCCGTTGTGTTGGAACTTTAGAAAAAAGTTTTACTGCAGGGAGTGCATTTATAATGGCGAATTTTGCCATTCAAACTCCACTGAAAGGTAAGTACACGGTCCTGGCATTGTTTTTCTATTGTTCAATTGTTGAAATTGTTACAGGTACATCGACAAAAAATTACGACTACGTGAGATAGTAGCCGCCAAAAAGTCCTACGAAAACACCTGCCTACCTTTGCTGGAAAAAAGGCAAGACTTAGATGAATTGGTGAGAAACTAAACTTTTGTTTTCTTTACAGCTGTCAAAAGTTTGTTAACCCTTATTTACGTTGTTTATTTTAAGTCTTCTTCAATAAGACATAAGCGGGAGTGGATAAGGATTCTTCAAAATGCCGTTAAAGAGAAGAAAGAGAGGCAGGTTCTTCTTAAGAATGAGCTAATCGATATACGTCACAAAAATGAAAAAATGTCTAAGAGTCTACCAAAGTATGAAGAAAAAGTCGAAGAGCTGGGTTGTTACGTTGAAGGCAAGGAGGAGAAGATCAAAAAGGCAAAGATGGAGTTGGAAAAGAAACAGCGCGATTTAAAACAACTTACTCGAGTACGGATCAAGCAGCTGATTGAATATATTTTTCCAATAACCTTAGTACAGCCAAAAATGTAGGTTATTTCTTGCATTGTTAGTTTACGATAATTTAACTAGGTTGGTAGAATTTATGATGGAAATAAGTGTAACTAGCAAACCCAGTTAATCTGGTTGAATTGTCGTAAAGCCTCATTTTGTGTATGAAGTTGGCATATCCTTATTCAACACTGGGAAATTTCTTAATAGTGCGGATTGCACCCGAAATTGCTCTACAATTCTAGACAAATTTTAGTAAAGATTCACAGTCTCAGAAACGAGGTGTCGATTTCAAATGGCACCTTCTTTGAACAGTTATTTTTTATTGCCTGTTCCAATTGCACCCGCACTAGGTCTATAAATATAGATAGATTACCTTCCAAAATCAAGAGCATCGCCCATGATCTGAAATTGAAATTTTTAAAGACTCAAACCAATATTCTAGATACACAATTGTTATTTTTTATAAATGCTTCAGTATAAAAATTTAAAGCATGCGGTTCCAGCCTACTCACTTCCAAAAATCGTTAAGTTTTCTTTCTCTTATAGTACCAATAACAATAATGCAGGTTGATGTAGATTCTACTAAAAGTTTATTTATTTGAAATAATTGTGAGTCTTTGTACGATATTCTGCATATTTTAAAAATATTTTGAATTACTCGGGTACGATCACAAAGTGGGGGACCAAAAAGTTAAATCTTTTTAAAGGGATACTGTACTTGATTTCCAATTCTAATTCTACATGAAATTTTATGCTTTTTTAATATAGGTAGGTAACCAGCGAAAAGTTATGGTTTTAAAGAAAATTCAAATTAACCTAATTCAAAATATGGCATTTACATTTGCCTATTGTTAGAATTAAAATCTTGGTTAAAATCAAATGAACATGGTTTCTAACCAATATTTAAAAGTTTATTTACAAGGTATTTATCGAGGATTTGTGCGTATTGTTTTCCCTATGTCTACTTTTAAACGGCAAAAACTTCTGAAGGATGCCTAATTTTATGCAACAAAAATAACTTCTTAAAACAAATGAAGATCTGGCTGCCATATTAATTAATTGGAATATTGTTGCTTTGTCTTCCGTATTTTTATATTATATTAATTTAAAAATAAAATTCAACATTTCTGTTATTAGTAGCAATAGCCATGAGTTTTTTTGAATTGCTACTAATAACAGAAATGTTGAAATTTATTTTTAAATTTTCGGTTATACCAAAAGCTTAATAAAACATGTAAAAACAGTTTTGTATGCACCTTTTAATTCTGAACAACTTTAAACTCTACAGTTTTTTCTGTAAAATGTACAGGAGGGCAGGATATTGCATAAAACTAATTTCCCATGTTAAATCTCTATGTTCCTATTTACCGTGCACCGCTCGGTATGTAATAATCATAATGATAATAAATAATAATAAATAACTAATAATAAATTAGACAATTTCTATACAAAGCCTGTCTAAATGGCGTATCTGCTCTTCCACTCAACCCTTAATTTATTTAATGTTACTATATTTAATTAGACAGGTCATGATATAAGAAAAAGTGAAATAAAAAATGGAGTAGCACATTTAAGACTCAACAAACAAGACATTGGTGCAATTAAGATGTGGTGTACATTAATTTTATGTTGCACTATGTATAGTGAGGTTCAAATAGAATTTTTTAATGTTTAAATTTCAGACTGTGATTTTTGAAGGTACTTGCAAATAGAAGTTTCTCAATTTTTAGTAAATGTGCTAACTTCACAGACACGTGAGCATTGACACGATGTTCTTTTAGTGAAATTGAATCGAGCTCATCCGATATGGTTAGTGCGTTGGCAGAAGCAACTCATACAACGTATATAAGTGATCGGTGGGTGTATACGGATAACTCCGGTGAACTTCAGCACTGCATAGTTGCACCTACCTTACCAGGTACCGGTAACTACTCAGCGTACAATGTGTGGGGTGAGTTGGAGCTTAAAGTTACTTATTGACCAATGAATATTGTTTTAGTGGTGCAAAATAAGGATTCTGTACCAAGTAGTCATAGCACAACTGCCGTCGAGCATAATTCAGCATACAACATCAGTGCTGCTCTTACGTACACGGCCCAACTGGTCAATGTTCTTGCCTTCTATTTAGATATAAGATTGCTTCACAAAATGTCATATAGTGATCTTTGCGGTAGCGATATGAAGGAGCAAACGTTTGCGCGACGAGTTGCACGTTTAAACGCAAACATTCTTCAATTATGTTTTTCCCAAAGCACTAATTTGGAGTCGCTACATTCTGCACATACACTTCATAATATCATGCAACTCATTGATCCGAGTCTCAGCGATTTAGGAAGGTTGGATTATTTAAGTTAAGTAACATCATTCATACTGGATTTGATTGTTTTGTAGAAAAGGTCCTGTGGAGGTAGATGCCCAAATGGCTAATAGTTTAGAAGAGCAGTTAACTCCCGATTTGTATACTAGTGAAACTTCTGACTCGGAAGAGTGTGATGCACTACCCAATGAATGGGAAGCAGTAAGTTGCTTACGGAGGATATGCAGAGTGATGCATATGTTGTAGGTGCCCCACGTACAATGCCCGGAAGTTCCAGCCGGTGCCGTTATCGCACCAACCACGCAAATGACTACTACCCAGCAAGCGAGCAGCATGGCTGGTGGTTTAGTTGTTAGTGCAGCAGCGAGTATTGCGTCAATATGGAGAGGATGGACAGGAAGGTAGTACTGCTACAACTTAGTGTTCATTTTTCAAGTTGTGTTTGGTTAAATGCGAAGCATTGAATTTATCATAATATTTCGATGCGATTTTTACATACCGATGACACAAATAAAATCTTCAAACAATAGCTAATGATGTCCTGTAGTTTTTTATTTATAATATTTAAGTAGGTCCAATCGATAACTAAATCATCTCATCTGTTAAATAAAAATATTTTTGTTACCTGCTCCTATTTGTAAGAGATCATAATTTATTGTGATAACGAAATAATACTATGTTTTTGTACACTGACATATTTTAAATAAATATACAAATAATGTTTTCTTTTGTATTTGTGCAAACATAACCGATTCCTTTTGTTACTCCTTGTTTAATAGTTTGTTAAAAATACAAGCAAACTTAGAAATGAAGTGTTTTGTTTCCACACAACTAATAAATAATTTTATTATGCTTAAGTAACAAAAAAAAGTTACAATAAAATACAAAATCTAAAAAACAAAGCCGGCCACTGCAAAACCAGTCGCCTGTGAGGTGTACGCAAATTATGCTATTATATTTTCATCTCTATCTAACCCATGCGAAGAGAAAGACATCAGTTTTGGAGTGGGCGGCTACCTGCGACTGTTTTTATACTAGACACGACAGTTGGAATACGGATGAAAACTCACTGACAGTACCTACAATACGATAAATAACAGCACTAAGAAGTGCTTATGGTTCTTCTAAAGCTCTGTTACATGCTCCACTTGTATCACAACAAAGGGCTCGGTGCCTTAAGCCTTGCCCTTGCCCATCTCTGGCAACTATAGTTTATTTCAATATATAAATGAAGTATTGGTTTTAACCTCCCCAAATATAGGCAACCTCTCATAAAGAGGTGCATACTTAATTGAGGGTTTAGCATAGCAGGATATGAGTACGATTAACGTTTTACCACAGCTTACTTACTAAGTAAGCTGTGGTTTTACATCACAAAACTTGTTGCAATCGCCCTAAATTATCTCCCAATTAAAATAATTTAGAATGTAACCCCTGATATCGTGTCCTACACGTTGAAAGTAATGTCGCGTTCGAGCAAATTAGAAGTAATAAAAAACACCATTAAAAGTTACCCTGATTTTCCAAAACCAGGTGTCCTATTCAGGTAAAGGCTACTTTTTAACGTTAAAGTGGTACATCTATACAATTTAGAGATATTTTTGCGGTCCTAAACGAACCGGACGTTGCAAGTTTATTGTACGAAGTTCTATGCGATGAAGCGAGGTCGATTACACCACCTGTTGATTGTGTAGCTGGATTGGACGCTAGAGGTTTTTTGTTTGGAACAATTGTTGCCAAAGAATTAAATATACCTTTCGTTCCTATAAGAAAGAAGGGGAAGTTACCTGGCAGTACCCAGTCTGTTAGGTACAAATTGGAATATGGGGAGGTATGATTTTGATAATCGTAATTGTGTAATGTCGCCAGACAGGTTGATTGAAAACCTTGTAAGTACCATTACTCCACATTCCTTTCTTTATCAGGATGAAGTTGAAATTCAACGTGGGAATATTAGCACGGGTCAAACAGTATTAGTCATCGATGATCTTCTGGCAACTGGTGGTACTCTGACTGCTGCAGTCGAATTGATAAAAAAATGTGGCGCAGATGCAGTTTGTCTTATTGTAATCGAATTGACAGATTTGCAGGGAAGAAAGTCGATCAATGCTCCTATTCATTCATTAGTTCAATATTAAAAATGTTTACTTATACAAACTTCTTTTGTAACATGAGATAAAAATGTATATCGAAACATATCAATTAAATTATATTTAGCGCAATATCTAACAATCCAGTTGAACTTAGGCATCCACTGAAAAACCATGAAGCTTTTGTGTATCACACTATTTCTAGCAGCAATTCATCAGGTACGTTAGATAATTATGATCAGAATGTTACGATCAGGTTACAGCATGACTGCAAGGCCACTATATCATCTATGAAAAGTGCAGAATATGCGTGTTATAAACAAACTGGTATAAAGAAAGAGGATGTGCCCGAGTTGGGGAATTTTGAAATAACAACTGATGATACATTAGGGTACAGGAAGATGCTTCAGTGTATTTTTACACAGATGGGTATCTTAGATGGCCAAGGGATTATCGACTCCAAGGGCTTTGATAATTTTGTGAAAGTAATTATCGATACTGTTGCTACCAGTCCAGAACTAAAAAAATTGGTGCCCGAATCTTTAGAGCAGTGTAGAACTATTGAAGGAGAAACTGGTGGCGAAATTGGATTAAAACTAAAAAATTGTATACGAACTGCCGGAGCTGATCTGCGTCAAAAGGTCGCCTCCTTGAGTACGCTACATCAATAATCCTTATCGATATGTTAAGCAATTATAGTACTGTGAAATAAAGTTATCAGAGAGTAAGCGTAAAGATTGAGTTCGCTTCATTCGTTTTTTACAAAATATAATAGTGGAACATTTTATAGTACACTGATAATTACACGAATATTTAGTTTTATCTCTGTATCCATTAGGTGAATGGGTGACTGGTTTTTCTTGTAACACCCCAACACCCTTTAAATTTCTGTACTGGAGTACTGGTTCTATAAAAAAAGCATGTAAATATGTTGTTTATAAACTAGAAAATAATTACAAAATACGTCGTTGGTTTAATAGTGATCTGGAAAGATTGTTTTTGTACCTATACATAATTAATTTTTAATTATGGATAGTTTCAGAGATTAACAATAAAGTATATTTGACGCCGTACAAAAGCACTTCTTTTTTAAACTACCCTTTTCAAAGGGAAAGATATGTTTCCGAGGGAGCCATATGTGTCAAAAATAATTATTTATGAAATAAATTGAGAATATTAAATTTTACATTGTATCAGATCACCTATTGGGGCAAAAGTGGGGATGAAGATTTTGGAGGATTCTCAGTCTCACTCCTGTAACTGCACATATGTCTGTGTGTAGGTACCTATGGAGTTGCAATAACATAATATGAATCTATGTAGACATAGAAAGTGAATTGTACAATCGCCGTACAGTTTTAAGTCTTGAAAATTTTTCTTGGCTTAGGGTGCCACTATTAGTTGTACTATCTTTTGTCATAGTTGCGCATCTCTGGGTTCTCAACTTCAGTTCTCTCTTGCAATTACGTGTACCGCTCGAAACCGACGGCATATAGGACTTGAAGCTATTTTTTCGTAGCAGTATTGTTTTACATGATTCATGGGGGGGGGGGGGGCATTTCACCTGACTTGCCTAGTCTATAGACATAGAGTGAGTGTATAAGGACAGAAAACTGACAATGGTAATTATATAGTGGATGCATTTTACCAATATTTCATAGTATATAATAGTATATAATGGTAGTGTGGTCAAAGAGTAATTATTATATATTCTTTGATGTGGTCTTATATGTTATCACAAAATCTGACAGTTAATTTACAAGGTAATAGTATGTATTTATATTGGAAAAAGTTTAACTGAAACATGAAAGATCGCAATATTGAAGTTAATCATTAGGCAGTCGTTACCAAAGACAGAATTAGGAGAATTGTCTATTGATTTTAGTTTTTATTTTAATGTCACAAGGCAACATATAATTAATAAATTGTAATTCCTAGTTAGAATTAATTTGTTTTGTCGAAAAAAAAATATTTTAGTTCTTTAACTTTGACATTTTTTTTCTCAGTTTTTTGTAATTAAACGTGGCACAATTGTAGCTTGTACACAGAAAAATAAGGTCTTCAAAATAGTTTAATTAAAATTTTAAGTTCTTTTTGGCTATTGTAAATGTATATAGTGGGTTTGGGTTGTAGAGCAGTCTTTGCTGAAACCACGAGTTTGTTTATGGAATGGTGGTAGATCGCCCCTATAGCTATTTGCTACTCATATTTTATTCCTGTGTAGCAATAAACATTATTATTATTATTTTGTAAAAGCGTTAAATTTTGGAAATCTGGAAATGTAGAAACTATTCCAGCCAGGCGGATCAATTCATAATATCACTGGTTATTGCAACAATAGGTATTGAAGTATTATTTTTATAGAAAATATTTCTGCATCTCCTGCACATAAAACTCATTTTAAATATAAGTATACCTCAAATGCCCCTTCAAATATGCAACCAATCTCACCTACTTAATTTAATACTTATAACAAAAAATTTGAATGTTTTAAAATTGTTTTTGAATAAATGTTATTGTTTATAAATTAAGATTATAATATCATTAATAAAATGTATATACAAAAGAAGAAAAGTAGAAATGTTATAAATGTATTTTAATAATCAGTCTCACAGTTTACGACTTGTGGGGGATTTATTTGCTGCTAAATATCCTGATAAGCGAATTCCACCAATTAGCACAATTATTAATCACATCATTAATAATGTTCATGCAGTTTTGATTGAGAAGTCTAATCGAAAAAGTATGAATTGTTTTGGATTCTGCGCACCAAAATTAATAAGAAAAAGTGTTTTTCCAAGAAATTTTGGTGTAGTCGATTTTTGGTAAAAAAGGAAGGTTATACACTGCCTTTTTTGAGGCCTGAGAAAAAAATTGTCTCAGATCGACCCGGAAAAAAAATTTTCTTTGTGGCCTGTAGATCCCATAATTTCAAACAGTTCCAAGATTGGGCTACTATTTAGTTCAAAAGTTACAGCCCTTTGAATTTTCTTTAGAAATTGGTTTTTTAGTCTATAACTTTTGATTGAGAAGTCTAATCGAAAAAGTACGAATTGTTTTGGATTCTACGCACCAAAATTAATACGAAAACGTGTTTTCCCGAGAAATGTTGGTGTAGTAACATTCCGGTAATTAAAAAAAAACTATAAAATTACTTTAAAGACAGTTTCACGGTTAATAAGTCACATTTGCTAAACAAATCGACGATGCAAGAGATTTGTAAGTTCACAGGAGTAGGTATACTTATATTTCCAAACGGATGTTACAAAAAAATACAAATACGAATATCCTCCTAATACTAGCAAAGATCAATGAATCAATAATGAAAGAATACATTTATAAATCCAAAAATGACTGTGGCACGGGAATCTTATTAAATAATCAGACAAATTTTAAGACTATCATCATTATAAACACTAGTAGAGGTACATGTACAAAATGAAATTGAGATATAGGATTGTGCTATGCTAATGCTCTACAATTACAACTGAAGAATAACAAAGCCGATTTAAAAGAAGCCTTAATATATAAAAGGTTTCACACAAAAAAGATGATAGAAGTTTTAGTTATCGGCAAGCTTTGAATCTCTACCTTAAAAAAAATAATTTAGTGATACTAAAAGCTTAATGGCGATACAGACGTAAACTAATCTTTTGCCGGTACTTCAATCACTCGCGGTTTATCGATTATGCGAGCTGTACGACTGCCCTTCTCGACGATTCCGATAATCCAAGCCTGATAGCCCTCTTGCTTTTCGATATCTTTACAATAGGCGGCAGCCTGTTCGCGCGGCAAGCAAATGAGAAGTCCGCCGGATGTTTCTGCAGAGTGTCCTTGCAGTAGTTGGAACATGTTGCCGCACGCCTTGGCGACGGCCGCCATTTTCGCGATGACCGGTAGGTTGTGAATGACGAAAGAGACCTCGTTCTTCTGGTGTGATGCTAAGGTTTGTGCGTGGCCGAGTAGGCCGAAGCCAGTGACGTCGGTGGCGCCGTGCGCGTTGTATTTATGCATTAGGCGGCTGGCGACGCGGTTTAGACGGGCCATTGAGTCCATTGCACGGTGGTACGCTTTACGAACGTCTTCTTCACTAACCACCAGCTTGATCCGATTCCAACGTTCCGGTTGGTCGAGCCATTGGTGAGCGTTTACTGCAACCTATACATTGAAACGTGATTTTAAAATCAGATTTTTTAAAGCAAGTTTCTAATATTAGGTGGAGAGATCCACCCCCTTAAAACATCAACATACCATTATTTCAAATAATTCCTCTGTCATACATTGTAAGCGGCATTATGAATTAGTTTCAAATTGTCACACCCTGCCATGGTACTGCAGATATTTGTTCAACAATTTTTTTTTCACACAACATACAATTTCTAAGAGTTGCAGCCAATCTTCATCTTAAAAAGTTACTTTAAATTGACTGGTGAATAATCTGCCATTTTTAAAGGTAAAAAAGTTGACGGACCTAACCTCATTTTTTAAATGGAACACCCTGTATATTTTAAAGTAAAAAGATAGCATATTAAATTTTCTTATCAAACATATAACATTAAATATTGATTCAAAACAAAAAAGATTTAAAAAAATTCCAGAATCTTTTTTGAATATCGTCTTTGGTTTATATTTTTAAGAAGAAAATTCCATTATGCGATTTTTTAGATTAAAATCTACAGGGTGAAAATCGCAGATTTAACTTTTGTAACAAAAATGTTTCTGTATCACTTTAAACTAAAAAAAAAAGCAAGAAGCAACATTCTAAAATTAGACATTTTTTTATTTTCCCCCGTATCTGTTAAGCAAACGAAAATTTTCAAATTTTGATTTTACCATTTTAAATTTGACCCAAAAAGAACTCATGACTCCTATAAGTAGTACTTTTTTGATACCATTAACAACTATAAAAGCGTCGAAAATGGAACACCCTGTACATTAGAGGCAAATTTTTCTGCACGTTAGAGGCGGATTTCACCCTCTTGGACGGTCACTAAATTAATGCCAATTTTTTGGGTCATAGTAAAGATGAACCTTAACGTTTTAACAAACATGAGAATTTAAAATCTTTTTTGAATATTATTTTCAAAACAATAGAGACGAATTTTGAGTGAGAATGAGATGCTGAACATGCAAACTGTGCCATGAAGAAGTGCAACTATGCAAATAATTCTGAATATTTGAGTTGTTCCAAATATTTAAATGGCCTGATTGTTTGCCTAGTCACGTACCTATCTTTAAATAATGTGAATAATCTGGCTCTTCAGTTGCCACCTTGGTAGTTAGATACATTTTACTTGCAGAATGTTCCGAGTCAAGTGGTAGTTAATAAAAAGGTTCAATGCTTATACATAAAAATCACATTAGCTATATACCTACAAGCTAATCCCTTTAACAGCTTTACGAGCTTACCTGTGTACCCAAAGGTTTTGTCAATACTAAGACGTCACCAACGACAGCATTATCCGGTACAATGTATTCGTTAGGCTGGCAAACTGTGGAAGCTACTCCGCCAATTGTGCACCAGGGATTGACAACTGTTTGTCCACCTGTGACAGTGGTACCGGCTTCTAAAGCGGCATCTTTGAATCCCCTCATTATCAAGGGAATAACAACGTCTCGCTCTTTTTCCGTCATTTTAGTACTAACACCGAGCAACATCAGCATGTTGTCACATTCGGTAACACCCATCGCATATAGATCACTGAGTACGTTGGCGCATGCAATTTTCCCCATCATGTATGGATCGTCTACTAGTGGATAAAAGAAGTCGGTGGTTTGGACGAGGCACAAACCGCCGTGACGAAGAGGTGTTACCGAGCAGTCGAGTCCAATTCCGATTCGCGGAATAGCCATATGCATGAAGTGTGCATGATCTTGGTCGGTAGCATTCTGGTAATCTTGTTGGAGGCCCTCCACCAGCTTATTGAGAACCTCCTGTGGTACTTTGCAGCCGCGGCCTTTTAAATCGGCAAATCGCGTCAGACGAAAACTCGACTCCAAGTCGTGAGCCAAAGGGTCAAAAGGCCGGCGAAGTGCTAGCGCGTTTGGATTCGTTCCCAACTCGAGTTGTACAGTACCCATCGTATCCTGCTGCACCGTACCTACTTGGTGGTAATCACCCATGCCGGTTTTCAAAATTTGTAATGAAAATATACACCAGTACTACCGTGGTAAAAACACTAGCTCAACGTGAGCGTTTCTCAAACAATCGCCCGACGCTTGCAAAATGGCGTTCTTTTCTTCTGCAGTCCCAAACCAACGCGCATGATCTTCCTCGTCTGATCCTCTTATTGGATAATGTTCGACGTTACAGTCGAACAGGCAGTACCGAAACAATTTTCCGGCATTTACAACCAAAACTGCTTTTTACTGTTGTTACGTACACCCTACCTGTTATTCATCTGTCATCATTTCCTTATTGTAATAAAAGTCATTGGCGCTTAGCATGCACCGAAAAGAACGCCCAAATGATTGGGAAGCAATATTACAGTTCAAATTAGGCGCCACAAATCGCTAACTTGCACGCACAAAAATTACTACAAAGGAAGGACACGTAGAGGTTACAACCATCGTACGGTCACGTCTACATTCGGCAGCTTCGCACTCTATTCTTCTAACTCGTACGTATATTTAGCCATTTCTTACTAAATTTTGAACAAAAATTCTCTAAAGTTTATATGATCTAAGATTTTACCATAACCAAATAATAACGAATTTCGCATGTAAATCAAAACGTGACTCTTTAGAAGTCGGCACCATTTTCGTGCAAGTTTAATTGAAGTTTAATTTACACTATGATATTACGAAATGGTGCGCGCACGTATTATCTTTAGAGTAAGAAATAAATATATTTCACTTTTGCTAACTACTATGATTGTTAAATGTATATTAGGATTACAAAGATATTAGTAGGACCACATCTGTACGTATAGGTACCTAATCATTGAATTTGGTATAATCATCCTCGTGGAATTGGGGCGAAGGACGCAACCAGCCTACCTCTTGTAGGTACCTATAAACAGAGCAGAGTAGGTACATCCAGTACAATCTGGAATCACTTCTTTGCCATCTCGATTATGACTCCCTGCAAAGAACAAAATTATTGAATGTGTTTCTTTTTTATCGCATTCTCTTTATTTTTTGCATACATATATATTATATTGTTTTTGTACCAAGTATTGCCATTCATAACACTAACAGGATGATAATAATAAGGTTTATTTAGTAAAAAACAATTTCACATTATAATAGGTAGGTACATCGTCACAAACAAATAATCCATTTAGGTACAGTCAGGGAGACATTTCTGAAAAAGGCTCTCTAAATCATGTCTAACGGCGTTTTGTGCTACAAACTGGCAACAGGCGGTTCTAGACTAATTTGCCCCCGCTGAAAACGATGCGCCCTGTTGCCAGACCCGATTTTGACATTTAAGCCCTTAAATCCAAGATGGCGGCCAAAATTGCCGCTTTTTTCGGTTATTTCGAGCCCACAAGGCAGCCACTGAACGTTTTGGGTAGTTTATTTAAGGGTAGAATAACATCTAGTACACACGACGACACCGTTTCGGCCCACTTTCGTAGTCATATTAAGGGCGTAAATGCCTAAACTCCGCTTAAAAACGTCAAAAATGCAACAATTCATCATTTTTTTTTCTTTCTGACCGGTTGTCGGCGTCCAATCATATGGTCAAGTTAACATTTAAGTATGTGGGGACCTCCAGCAGCGCCATATGTCTGGGGCCTAAATATCAAGATGGCGCCTGGAAAGTCCAAAAACAGTGAAAAAGTCGTTCTTTTTGCAGTAGTTTTACTACACTGGCCACTCTTTACGTTCGCTGTTCATTTTGGTGTTCTGGAACATTATTATGAGTAATTGCGACTGCCACCCCGGACGTAATACACCCCCACGAGAGGGGGGTGGAATTATCATCTCCAACCGAACGGATTCGCGAAACTATCAATCACTGCACTCGCGTGTTGTTGTGGATCTTCGTCGGCGCCGCTCCTGAAGTTCGTCTGTGTCGCTTCGATGGCGTCTTCCACCTACGCTCGATATTTCATTTAATATTAAAAGTCAATTAATTTTACATCATGTAACTAAGTTACATTCAATGAAGATATTTTTTAATGTTATTGTTTAATTGTCATCGTTTTTTACGCATGCTGCCTTTCAAATTTTGTATTGTGTACTTCTAAAATATTTTAACAAGTTTTATTCTGTAATTTCCTTAAGCCAGAGTTGGTCGAAACTAGTCGCGGCTTTTACAATTTGTCTATTAAAATCGAGATTAAAATAGTATGGGGAAGGTTTTGTGTCTTTTTGGGATTTAACCTGGGATTTAACGACTCACTCTTAACATTTACATTCACATTAAGCTCGTTCATACTAATTTAACATGATATCACATTACATTCTAACGCATGAAGATGCTCTATTCAAACGTTAGGCCACATCTCCATTGATCGTAGAATGGTGCTCATGTCTTCTTTCGCGGTGGTGACTTCCATTTGACTGTTTCAGTTTTCCCTAGGCCATGCAGCATGAATCATGCTCTGGTATAGTGATTTTAACAGTACCTAGTCTATGTGTAATATGCCAAAAAACATCCAGAGAGAAAACGTCAGTGCTTCAAGAGACAACATTTAACTCTGTAACGTTCTTATTCTTGGATAATACCTTCTTCATATAGGTAAGTATTAGTGCTCAATATTCTAAACAGTTTCGACTGCCCAGTGTTACGTTTTAATTAAAAAAACAAAGAAAACTTGGGAAGCATGTTTTAATATATTTGCCCTCAAATTACGCCGCCAAACCAACTTCTGCCTCTTGGTTCCATAGTTAAAGTTTATAGGAGACGAGTCCCCACTTCCGCAGTTAAGCCCTTCAGTTGTGTAACATCCAGAATGATATTCGCAATTCTCATATTATGGCTCCAGGCCATCGAAATGGGAAATGTGTGACCAGTGTAGTAAAAATACGGCAAAAAGAACGACTTTTTCGCTGTTTTTTGGACTTTCCAGACGCCATCTTGATATTTAGGCCCCAGGCATAGGTATCACGCTGCTGGAGGTCCCCACATACTTAAATGTTAACTTGACCATATGAATACATATTGGACGCCGATAACCGGCAAGAAAAAAAAATGACAAATTTTTGCATTTATGACGTTTTTAAACGGAGTTTTGGCATTTAGGCCCTTAATATGAATACGAAAGTGTACCTAAACGAGGTCGACGTGTGTACTAGATGATATTCTACCCTTAAACTACCCAAAACGTTCAGTGGCGTGCCTTGTGGGCTCGAAATAACCGAAAAACGGTAATTTCGCCCGCCATCTTGGATTTAAGGGCTTAAATGTCAAACTCGGGTCTGACAACAGGGCGCATCGTTTTCAGCGGGGGCTAATTAGTCTAGAACCGCCTGTTGCCAGTTTGTAGCACAAAACGCCGTTAGACATGCACTTTTCAGAAATGTCTCCCTGACTAGTACCATGTGATCTTCACAAAATCAAAATATTCTTTTTCCGTTATATGAATTAATTTTTTGTTTAAAACTTCAGCATACAGTTTAAAATATATGACTTTAGGGCACTTAATACACTGCTTGTATTAAAGTAACGGCAAGCATTGTACGTCGGAGATTCTTAACAAGTAAAAAGGTTTTCGCCGGCGAGTAACTTTATGCATTTTCCATGCATTTATCAATACTTTAAAAGGTCATCTTTTCTTTAGTAAAAGCATCTATAGTTAAAATTTCAAATAAATATTTCAATAAATAAGAAAGTGCGCACTTTTTAAATAACTTCAGTAAAAAATCATTTTGCAAAATTTCGTTTTCGTCAGCCTGTAGGTGTAGATGTCAATATATCTTATCGATAACAAAAGTATTTACATAAATTATGATTAATAATATAGACAGAGATTAGTGGTACCATTGTATTTATAAACGTTTATAAATAGGTACCTACAATGGTGGTACTTATACTTGTTTACTATCTCTCTTATCTCCAAGAATAAAGCTATCTTCATTTTTAAATGCGAATTCCAATCATTAATCTGGCCATATCATGTCTCAAAAGTGATTTATTTTTGTTTTGTTATTATAGTCTCCTAACAACTTTGTTATGAATAAAATATGATGAAAAGTGATTAAAAGCACCACGTGTAGGTATTGCAAAGGTTTCGGTATATTTTGCGCGTTAACAAAACTTAATGGGAAGGGAATAATAGGTAGACTTAAAAAAAAGAAATACAATAGCAACAAAAGAAATGTTAAACTTATTACAAAGTAGGTACCTACCCATACATTTTTGAATGTGGTATAGGTATTAAAATTAAAAATACTGTTAACAGAAAGATTGGTGACATTTAGATTTACGAAGGAATAAGGTATCTCAAAAATGGCTTTCAATGGTTGTAAATACCTATATTAGGTACAAAATAATTAAGTATTACACTTTATAGCTTAGAGGATAAATCAAAGAAAAAAGAACAAAAACATTAAAGAAGAATAACATAATTGATGATAGTATGTAGAAAATGTTCATAATCCTTATAGATGCTTATTGCAGTCTTATTGATCAATATTTGTCAGTATTGCAATGGTTGCTTTCGCACTGCGAACAGTGTAAGTTTGCTGACCTATACATTCTATGGTATTCACAATCCTGGGGAAGAGAACTTCTGACCGCAATAGTCGCTTTACTGTCTCTTTTAACTAAAAAAAGAGGTTGATTACGTTCATTTATTATTTATACATAACATGTTACTTACTTCCTACATAAAATATGCAATATCCAGCTGGTGATTGGGAGTTAGTTTCGGTAATATTAATAAAGTGACGACATTTGTGAAGCTCTTCAGGGGATTTATCGGAAAGACCAATGCAAGAATAGCAAGTGATTGCGGTAAAACCTACGATTCGATAGGTTTAAAGAAATCAAGTTTAAAATTAGGTATACCTATAAACATTTAAAGTATTTCAAAAAATAGTGTATAAAATCATAAAGTGTATTATCGTTACATACCTGAGGCAACACTTATACACATGAGAGCAACAGAAGCCAATATAAGTTTAAAATACATGTCTTCAAAATGATAATACTCGTCTATGAGACAGCCTACACACGCTTTTATACCCACGTATCAAGAGATTTAGCAGATTAGATATCTACACTTAAAATAGTTAATGCGCGGTCTGCTTATCTGATCCGTTTTTATGTTAGTATATGCGTTCACTTTTTTTAAATTCATGACTTCAGTTGTTCGAATTGTTTGCATTGGATTTTGTACCTACATGTTACCTATATTTTCTATGTTCCTCTTATTATTACACTTATCATTTTCACTGCTACTTAGTTTTACATCTTGTTGCTTTGCAATTGGATTTTTGTCTGTTCGCGCAATAAAGTACATACCTATATTACCATTATTAGGTACTATAATATTGATTACTATTTCAGTGGATATGTAAGAGAGTCAACCGCCACAATCGCTCGAAAGCGCTTATAGCCACTAATTGCTGCGATCGGAACAATTAATAAGGCGAAGGAATCAATAAAAAGCCAAACAACCTCTGGAAAGCATTAGAAGACTGTGAAGAGCCGTTTTCTAGAGTTTTGGAGCGCCTTCCACTGCAAGTAAGGGCTTTATAGGCGCATTTCACAGTATAGGTACAGTACAGTGAATTTCCATAGCATTCTATGCCTCCTAGAGCGTATAGGAGATAAAATTCCGAACGACATCTAGTGGACTAAGGTGGCGCCCAGATTACTCACCTTAGGTCCTTAGATTGAGCATTTACCCTCGCCCCACCCAACTTCAAAATTATAACTAACATGCACCTCCCATCTATTATTCGAATGATCATCAAACTTTAATCAAATTTATATGGTCTGCTTATGAATTACTTTTAAAAAACCAAAACAAATACTACATAAATTTGACACATTATTTTCACGTTTGGCTTTTAATTTTCTCTCTTAAAAACATCAAAACATTCTTGTTTACTATTTCTTGTTTATTTGTTGTTCTGTATTTCCTACTTTGATTTTGTTGTTTAAGTTATCTATTGGCAAAGGTGGTGCCATAGAATGGGGAACACTCTCTTGATTTGACCCCCCCCCCGCCTAATTTCTTTTATTTGTAGTGTATAAAGCACAGCTTAGATAGTAAGTAAGCTGTGTATAAAGCTTGTTTCACTCTAAAGGCCAATTCACACTATAGCTCAAGTCACGCTCGGCTCAAAATATTGTAACATCATGCTATTTATTCAATCGGAATATTCACATTTGCGCTTAAGTTTTGTGCTGGCTATAGTGCGAACATTTGCAATTGATTTCATTGTGTGAATTTTGAGCGCTCCTTGAGTGGAGCGTGTGCGTATCGCCCACAAGCTTTTAAATCTTTACCTGGCAATATTCAAATAAAGCTCAGAGTATTGGAAAGAACACTTTTGTTATTGTCCATGAAGAATTTCAACACAGACTGTGTTTTTGTTGGTGTACTTTAGCTGAAGACCACATTTAATAAAACAAACTTTTTATACAAGGGAAATGTGCAAAATGAATTTATTCTGTTACATTTTGTTATGGTTCATTTAAATTGTAGTTGATTATAGTGCCACACCATCCGAATTTGATTTTATAGGAATTTCTTTTTTGTAAATAGAATCTATCGGTGGGGGAGGGGGGTGCATTATTTTATAGTGATGGTATCTGTGCGTGCGGTGGTAAAAGGGTAAATCTTTAAATAAACTTCCCCCTGCCCATGTTGCAGTATTCGATGGTTATCACAATTACAAATTACAATGGCTGGTTCGTTCTAAAATGAAAGCCTTGTATGCAGCAATTATCATATTATCGAATCCATGATGAATTTGAAAATCTGTTGATTGTTGTAGTACATTAATTGTATTCTCTATTTTAAATAAATTTTGCGGAGCATTCAAATTTACGCATGCTCCTTGATTGAGAGTCACGTTCAGATTTAGGTGCAATTGAAAACCAAACAAAAGCAAAACATCTGTGCTGTGCGTCCACCATTGCAAAATGACTACAGCTACAGAGGGAACTAAATCAATAGATGATACGTTAATTGCTATGATTACAACGCTGAAACCGATAATTAAGTCCGATATGAAATCGTTAGATTGTGAAACACCCCTGAAAAGACCCTTATCCACAGGTATATTTGATTATGTGACGCCGGCAAAGAAAATGAAACAGGATACCGTTGACCAGTACATTGGGTCCCCGCGTGAAACTAGACGTCTCCGTGCGGACCTCATTGAATCTAGGAACAGTATACTGAGTTTGGAGAACAGAATTAAGCACATGCATACAGTGAGGCAAGAAACGCAGATCATGTTCGATGCAGAACTTCGGAGTTTGCAACATCAACACGAGTACGACCGCAAGTCCATAACGGATCTCGAGGAACAACTGCAAAGTGTTCGCAAACGGGAATCCGTTGTTAAAACGGAACTAACCGAGGTACGTTGTCCACAAATTAACTGTGACTCTTTCAATGTGTTTTAGCTGAAAGCTAAATATGACAACTTAAAAATTGATACGGATAAACGCATTGAAGAATTGGAAAAGCAGCTCGCCGACTTTAAAGCCGATAACATTATCGAAATGGATGCCAAAAATGAGATCATCACAAATTTAAGATCGAGAAACTTAGAATTGGAGACTTTTCTAAAGACTGTCGAGGAAGATTCTGAGGGACACAAGAAGTTGTCGTCTGAATTAGGTTTTCGATGCGATATTGGTTTGGTGATTTGCTTAGCTTTGGGTTTTAGAGAAGCGTTTGATGGAGAAAAGTGAGGTTGAGCGTAATTTAGAATTGAAAGATCAAGCGTGGCAACGAGCACGGCTGGAGTTAAAGGATTTGGAGTATATACGGGAGAACTATTTAGAGTATCAGCAGCAGATTAAGGTCAGTAGGAACTAGTGAGTATTTAAATGAGAATAGGTAATTTCCATTTAGCAATTGCGAATACTTCAGCACACAAATAAGCATGAAATATAGTCACACATCCAGATAAATTCTTTTAAAAGTCAATTTCGTTTTCATTTTCCCTAGCATAAACGGTCTGAAATTACCACCGTTTTTTTGGAGAATCTGAATCTGTTATTAGATGTTTCTAGATGTAGAAGCTACAGGCTACCATTTTTTTATTTCTTATGAACGCCATATTGGATTTTTATGGAAATGAGATTCATGAAGGCATAGCCATGTTGATTTAGCAAGATCTAGTTACCCGTGGATGTTGAGAAATGAATGTAAAACATTTGACGTCTGACATGCCATTATTTTTCTTTTTTTGTCCTCATTTTGTAAAAATTCAAATTGAATAGCGCCTATTGACAGAGTTTACTTAAAATTTGAAATATGATGCCTATTTTGTTGTAATCTCTGAATTAAATGTGCTCCACACACTGAAACACAGACATAAAAAATTAATTGCACTCATGGGAGATGTAAATTGCTGACATCCCTATTTTCATAAGTTTGAGGAATCTCCAATTATTCGGATTAATTAGAACCGGACCCGATCTGGGTAATTGGATAAATCCAAAAGGCTATTTACTTAAATGATGTACGCCTTATTAAATGAAACACTGACTGAGACAATGTGCATAAGACTGATGGCTCATTGTTTGCAGATGCTGAAGAGCTACACTACTTTCGCGATAAAAAGAGCGCGAGAATGATAAAGATGTATAATAATGTACATTACAACTACAGTGCTTTACTGTAGGTAATAAATGTTTAAACAAAAATTTGTTGATTTAATAATATGTTGTTATTTATTAAACTTCAAATATTGTTTTTTTTGTTTGTTACATTTTTGGTCTAGTTCACATTCATACTTTTTTATTTATTTTAATTTAGTAATTCTAATTAGTATTCATACCAAATAGAATATGTCTATATTAGGTATCGGAATAATTTCTAGGGTTAAGTGTAAGAACAGCCAGCGGTTTTTTCCTCAGTTTTTTCTGCTGCACTGAACTTCGCCCTTGCTTGGAAGTCCTTTGGTTATTTTTTTTCTATTTCCTCAAATAAAGGCAATATTATTATTATTATTATTATTATACAAAACGGATTCACCATCGAGTGAATAACCCATTTGTGCCCATCGTCCTTAGATGAGGACTGTTGCTGTACAAGGTTCCAAATAACATTGTACAGGTGGGAGAAGACCGGCATTTTGATAGCGTTTATTTATTTATTTTATGCATCAAAGCAATATTAATGCGGGCGACAGAGCTCGAGAGGGATTGTAAGTCGCCCGAGCGTTTTAACTATTGAGTAATGCCTGAGGTGCATACAAAATTTTATTATTTATAATTCTAAATAATGTATTTCCAATATACAAATCGTGTTAATTATTTATTAATAATTTTTTTAAATAGAAAGAATACTTTTTTCTGCAATATTCTTAAAGAGCTTGAAATTCTCTTTACAATGATACCAAATAGGTTATAATTACCTTACAAATTAAAGCTACAGTAATGTTTAATTGGGTTGATCGGAACCCGAATCAAAGGCAGAAGAGAAATGTCAAATCTAAGTATCAAACGAAGTAACTCCAAAAGTTTTAATGTAGGAGTAGGTTACTAGAGCCATATCAAGAAAAAGCAACGTAATACTGTAAATAATTGCATGTACTTCACAGTTACGTTCTTCCAGACACATCAACATAAACTATTGGCCTATGATGAACTAGAAAAGGAAAATCAACACCTGAAAGATGAAACAAAACGACTCAAAGATGCCGTTCACAACAAACTGATTCTTGAAGAGGAGGTGTACGATTTAAAAAATCGTTTAAGCAATTATAAGGAGCAGGAAAAGAAGTTGAGTGCTTTACAGGTACGATATCCATGTGGTAGTTTTCTAGAGGTGACAGATGTTGTCTTTATAGGTGGCGCAAGTGCAGTCGGAATTGTATTTAAATGAGTGGCGTTCCGTGGCGAGGGGAATCTGCGAAACAACTGGCTCTGATGCAACTCTGCCCCATCTCCTACGTAGTGTAGTAGAGCATTTACAACAACAAGAACTGACGTTAACCGAGATGAAAGTACAGCTCGAGTCACAACTGAATGTCACAACTCATGTGAGCATGTTTTCTTAAAATCACGAATATTTGATATACATAGTTTACCTATAGGATGCAAAAGTTGCTCGAAGTGAATTAGAAAAATGTCAAAATTTAATCTCCGATCTGCAAGCTAGCGACCAACATAAGCAAAATTTAATTCGTCGCATGCAAAAGAAGCTCTTGTTAGTCAGCCGCGAACGAGACAGTTATCGACTACAATTAGATTCGTATGAACGAGATCTGACAATGACCGTTAGTTCTGCTAACGCAGCACAAGGCGGCGTTCAACAATCTCAAAGGGACCGAATTGAGAATTTGGAACGAATTGTCGATGGCTATCGAGATATGGTCTCAAAATTGGAATCTGATTTGCAGAAAAGTGAACCTACAATAAATCGTGGTTAAGTTCTTTAAATCCGTCAATGACGTATGCAGTTAACGGGATGGTTTTAGGTGAAACTATTCCAATACGTGTGGAACAAATGTCACGACTTCAAGACGAAATTGACCATTTGAAAATGGACAATGACCATCTACGAGAGCAGAGAGATAACTTAGAAATACAGCTGGAAAAATTGTCTGATCCCGGAAACGATGTAAACTCCGGTCGTATCGTACACCTCACCAGAAACCCTCTGGCCGAACAAATTCAACAACACGAAAACGAACTGGAATCTCTTAAGGAGACGGTGAGTATCTTTTCTTTTGTTTATAAAATTTATTTAATTCGCTTGTAGAATGAACGTCTAAAACGTAAAATAATAAATCTAAAAGAAGGTCTCGAAGCCAGTAAGTTGGATCTTACAATGAATCCTAAAGAAATTAATGCATTAAAAGAACAACTAAAATCGTCAGAAAGTCAAGTACAACGTTTGAAAGATTATTTTAAATCGTCCATGCAAGAATTTCGCAACGTGGTGTATATGTTACTGGGGTACAAAATAGATAAAAATTCAAATTCCCAGTACAAGCTGACCAGCATGTACGCCGAACAACAAGAAGATCAAATTTGTTTTCAACTAAACGCGGAGGGCGCATTAAATTTGTTAGAAAACGAATTTAGTATGACGCTGGAGGACATGGTCGACTTACATTTAAGACATCAAAAATCGATTCCCGTGTTTTTGAGTGCTATTACGATGGATCTTTTCAATAATCGCACTATGGCTACTAAAACGTTTGAAATAGATGACGACTGAGTTTGAACTCTTTTTTTCGTAATCATATGTATTATTGGTGGGCCCATCTTTTTCCTATCCTATGATATTTTATAAACTGTTCGGTATCTACTGTACAAAATCTATGGGATTAATAAATTACATGCCGCAGGCAATATCACTTTCATTCTGCACTATTGATTTCTTTGACATTTCCTATGTTGCGTCCTATTTTGTTTTGGATCCGTAGCCATCTTCATGGTTGTTGAGGGTGTTACTAGTTTAAGAGCCATAACTGCTTAAAAATTTTTTTTGCATACATGGGCCAGAGTGGCTTAAAAAACAAAGTTCATTACAGTCTTTTTGAGTTTCTTAGTTTTTGAAAAGTTAAACTATTTTATTTTTCTAAATTTGCTTTTTTCCCGAAAAAAAGATAATACTACACTAGATAGACACCGTCTGTATAAATTTTAAACGCTCAATTTTGTCGACTGTGCGCGGAAAATGTTTTTACCACAATAGTAGCGATTCTTCACTGCATTTTGCAGAAATATTAGAACAATGGCTCTTTATATTGTGTGTTAGTCAAGCGCGGCCTTGTGTATGCGTATCGCATTCTTTCACTGTTCTTTTTATGCTCCAATTTAAATTAATAATGTATTCCCACTGAACATCTTATAAAGAATGGAAGGTACCTTCAGTTTCAGTCTGACCTCTGACAATCTACCTGTTCCTGTTTACAATTACACAATTTTGACATGTCGAAAAAACGGCTATCGCAATAGCTACCTAGCTTATGCTAGGAAGCTAAAAAAGTTTTTCACAGTCTTGCATCTTTTATGCCTAATGTGGACTACCAAAATTTTAACGAAATAAAAAGAACCGTTTTGGCGAAAAAAAAGTATTTTAGCTTTTTGTCTTTGACACTTTATTCTCAGTTTTTTTGTCATAAAACCTGACAGAAGGTCTTTGGAAGAATTTAATAATAATAATAAATAAGTACAAAGGCAATTAACATGGGAAAAATGTTTTTTGTAGATTGTGCTCTTTACGGCAATAGAAAACACAGTTTTTTATACCTCTGACAATAACCAACATGCACCTGAACACCTTACCTATCTTTTGAAACCACGTTACAAATATTTTATCGGGTGCCGTTGCTGTTGTATTTTATCATGGATAATTTTTAAGTCAGCTTAACATAAACGCTAGCAGATTTCATATCTTCATAATTTCGTAAACTAAGGTTTATTGAAGGCCACATTTATTGGCGATGTACATACGTCATATGAAGTACGTAGTACTGGCCCAACACCGACCCTTGCGTAGGTACGTGACCAAAACTACATAAATTTAAAGCCAATGATTATTATAAACAACCGTAATAATCCATTCATTGACAGTTAATCCAACAACATGGACCGCAATAGTTATAAATTGAATTTAAAGTAAGTAATATTAAACCGTGACGTCCTGTAACTAACGTGATAAGATTGAATTTTCTTTTTTTTTTGTTAGCGGTGTGATCATATATCTCTTGCACCATTAGTTATTCATTTACTTGCACTTATTGAATGGCATATTATTTTCATTTTAAACGACTTCCATTCATTTATTATAAGCAACTTTATGTAGCGCGCTCAGAGAATAGCGCGCTACTGACGTCAGAGTGAGCAATCTCGCTGCAGGGTATGTTTTCTAGCCTCTCGCGGTTGGCTTTCAGAAAATTACTCTTAAATTAGTTAATAATTTTTTTTCGATTTTTTGAAAAGTGCTATATGTATTAATAAAGTGAGTAGAACCCATTTATAGCAAAATCTAAAAATGTGAATTCTCCCTATTTAGAAAATTTCCAATTGAGTCATGGCTTAGCATGATTTTGCTAGTTGCTAATTTTGTTGAATTTTTTATGAAATTATGAGAAATACACCTGCAAATGAACAAATTCGCATATCATTAGATTAGATGATTTCGATTGCATGGGGTCATCATAAACCTTCGGAAGTTGGAAGTTAACTTACATATGGAGCAGTGGAGCAACAATCTGCAAAAAACGTTTTAATTTTTTAACATGCTAATTGTTTATGTTCGGTTTTGAAATATTCAGGTATGTGCCTGAATTCAAAATTTAAGCGCCGGCGTGATTTAGTTTCTCTGGAAAATATAAATTCGAAAAACGGTCAAATTTTGAGAAGAAAAGGTATGTTACATAAAAAATAAAAAAGTACTCGACAGTACTTTTGAATTTCTCAATAAAATATGGGGTGTTCCATTTAAAAAAAAACGGATGTTTGATACGCTAGTGAAAAACAGCACGCCACTGACGAGAAATATTTTAGAAACATTTTTGCTCCTCCATTTTTTTCCGATATCTTATGGTAAAGGCATTACGATCCGAGGAGGATGTTACACCCTATATAAAGTACATATTATAGATTATACAAAGGGTAGTTGCTTAATTACAAATCTTTGCTTACAACTTACAAGGAAAAACATGCATTGAATTTGTTGAATTCGTTAACTGTGATTTAACATCCAGCCCGATAAAAGTGTGTAATGTTCGGTAGGGTAGGTGGGGTAGGTTAGGGAAGAGATAATATAATGTAGCTGGTGTCTAATAATTACGATTACGGCTTCCGATGATAGCGTTAATTGCAAAAGCTCCCTATATCTTCTTTACGGAACTGAATAAGCGGTTTAGCAACTTGCCCATTTACGGTGTCTATCTAGTGTAGTATGTATTATCTTTGCGAAAAGTAAGCACCAGAATGAAAAATGTTAATTACAAAAAAGGTGTGTCTTGATGAGATATACAAAAAAGACACTTTCTGAGTCAGGTTCAAAACAAAGACGCCAGACGGCATTTTCTAAATGTTATATTATGACCATAGATAGTTGCAATGACTATACTAAAAATGGTGGGAAAGTCAAGTCAGGAGTTTACCTGACAACTAGTTTTACAAAGCTAGGGTGATTTGCACATTCAGCAACAGAATAAGGTTTTTCTCCTATAATTGATGTAACAAGTTTTGCACAAAAAATCTTCGGGTGTTGTAGGTATATGTGTAAACTGACTGATTGTGAAATAAATAGATCGGAATTAACTAAAAAATGTATTTAAAATAAAAGGCACAAAATTTTAACGTTTTAGTACTTTTTTTATTTGAATGCGTTTTTTATTGGCGCCTCCCAATTTTCGTTTAAATGGTCGATTCTTCCTCAAGTTATTCTTTACTTTTCCTTTAACAATTTCTCTCAAATTCCTTCTCACAGTGTTGAAATTCTGTTGCTTGGCAACTTGTAGCCTCTTAATAAAATCAAACCCCTCTGTAACCAAACAAATTTGTAATTAGAAGTTGCAATCAAAAGTATGAACCTTGCAAACGATAGTCATCTTCCTTAAAAAAGAATGTGTCAGTCCACAACCTGGGCTTTACTTGAACTTTCTCGATTTTTTCCACAAACGGCAAACTGGCAAGAGGTTCCTCTTTCTCGTCTTCAGATGAATCGTATTTGAACGGGTTGGGGCCAAATTCAGTTTGTATGACATCACGTGGTTGTTCTTTAAAATGTTCTTGCGCCGTTTCCTCTTCAACTAATTGAACAGTTACTACTAATCAAATTTGTATTATCAACTTACTCTCATTGACTTTAGTGCCAAATAGTTTACTTAAACTAAACCCCTCAGAACTATACAGCGACTGCTTTAAGTCACTTTCGACAGTATAAAATGTTTCCTTTGATACTTCCGGTTGTGGAGCAACCTCTCGTGTGACGACGACCTTTTTTACCTTCTGCTTTTTAGTCTCTACTTTACGAGGTTGTACTTCATATTTCGAGTGTTCTGGTTGAGATGGGTCAAATCGTAACATTACATTGGGCTGTATACTGAAAAAAATGTTGCCAAATAGCTACACCAAAAGCCTACAGCAAACCTTGTATGTGCATCTTTCGGATTGGACCATCGCTTAATCTTTTGGCCTAACACTGATTCCAAAATTTCCATTTGCTTTTCTTTCTCTTCACACATATCAACCTCATTTACTTCTTCAGTATCCTCTTCTAAAAATCGGGAATCCATTTTAAATCGTTTATCATTTTTAAACCTGGATTGCAATTGCATTAACTAGAAGATTCAACTGCAACAATCGTAATAAACAGTGCTGCGCTTACTTTTTGACCCTTTTGTCCTTGCAGCTCCTCGCGTACTTCAAAGTTGTACATGTCTTCATCGCCTTCTTCTCCTCCTTCGAAAAGTGTTAACTTCGGAGTGGATTTTTGTATTTTTAGGGTATCATCCGAAACGGCATCATCAAAAACAATTTTATTGCTTTTCTTACCCTCCTAAAAGAACTTGTGTATTAGATGCAACAAAATTGATGACGTACAATATTGGAAAGTGAATTTTTAATAAACTGTTTCTGCTGTCTGTATCCTTCTTTCATTTGGCGTAAGGACTGTAAACGTTTAGCATTATCAATAGCGTCATTCTTTCTCTTTGTACTTTGATTTGCAGTGCCATTCTCTATTGTATCATTTGCTTCTGGAATGCTAACCGAGTTTTCATTATGTTTAATGTGGATGGCTGGTTTTACTTTTTCATATGAAGGCTCAATACGATAATTTCGGTTAACAATTACGTCACTGCTACCCACAATTCCGTTATTGACAGAATTTGAGGTTAATTGAGCCGCACTTTCTTCTCGTTCGCGTTTTAATCGATCCATAAAACTTTCTCTGGCAACCTGCACATCGACGTAAAAGCCCTTCCATTTTGTACTTGAAAATTCTCGCATGCCTACAAGATTGAACGTATTGTTACGTAGATAGTTAAATGATACTCACATTCTTGTAAAGCCTTATTTTCTATTTCAAGAGTAATATAAGCAAAGTGGGAAGTTTGGTTTCCGACAGGATTTTTTCGTTCCTTTATTTCAATCGTAGTTATAGTGCCATAACGTGAAAATTTATTTCGTAAATCTTCATCGTGTATATTGTCTTGCAAATTATTTATGAACAAGCGTGTACTTTGTAATTTCATTTTCGCATTTCATTTACTTTTATAAGCATGAAAGTTTACACACAATTTATAGGTTAGCTCCAAGTGTCTACTGTTCTTTCTATGGTGTCTCCTGCACCTTCACTTCGACCATAAACTTTTCTGTAAATGTACAGTGAAAAATATTAAATTTTCCAAAAATAGTCTTGAGCAGTTCGCCCGTTGCTTTCTTTTTGGTTTTAACGCGAAGATAAAAATGATAAAATATCTTGCCTTAAGGTGGGTTCATAGCTCTCCGTTCTTACGTTTCCGTTTGTCCGTTAGCCAATCAGAAGACAGCAAATTTTTAAATCGTAAGTCGTCCGTTTACGACGGAAAAGTTGGTTGAAGTTGAACATTTACGTTTCCGTTGTTCCGTTTTTAACAAGAGTGAGGTTATGTTTGGTACGTTAACAGTGTTCGCCTATTCGTTCTTCACGGTAATAATCAGATAGCAACGTGCTCTTACTTTCGTACCATTTTTACATACTGAAAATCACGGAGGGTACAGTACAAAATAAAATTTAGGTTATGGTTATACGTTGCAAATGTACAATGTGGACGGATTGCTATGAACCTTAATAAAATGCATTATCCGTTTGACAGACCAACGCAACGGATGAACGGAGAGCTATGAACCCACCTTTACCATTATATGTACAGGGAGGAAATTCGCACTCACGGACAATGGGGCTTAATTCTGGGAGGAAATTGAATAGAAAACTATCACATTTTTGCGATCAGACAAATACTTTTCGAGATACAAGGTTGCAAAAAATGATACGGAAATGAAGGATTATTTTTTATTTTAATAAATAACTATATAATTATAATAATAAAACGAAATTGTGGCACGATCAATTTAATTTTTAAGCCGTTTTTTAATGTGCACTATATGCTGCTAAACATGCTTTTGCACATGTTTGGACAATTGGACATCTTGAATAGCATTATTTACAATTTCTGGTGCCATTTGATGTATTGCTTGGATTTTCAGATATAATGAAAATAATCTGGGCTAATGAGAATCCATGTGCAATAAGAATAAGGAATAATCAACGTAGATTTAGTTTTAATTTATTCGTGCTACAATGATTGTGGCCGCGAATTTCGTATCACCCTGTATAGTACAATACAATGGTGAGGTGAGCAGCTATTGGTGCTGTGAAAATAAAACCGTGATTGGTGCGAATTTGCAATTCCTAACCTTACTTTTGCCTGTTTACCGCCAATTCTGCTCGCGTCTTTGTATGTTTCTAAACTAAAAGAAAAATGCCATCACCAAGAGGTTCCCGGACACCTGCCAGAGAAGACGGTTCAAGAACACCACGTGGTCACCGAACACCGCGAAGGGAGGATGCATCCACCCCTGCTCCGGATACACCATCACAGCGGCTACGCAGAGGATTACGAACTCCTCGCGGAGACGATAACACCGCAAGTCCGGCATCAACTCGAGGATCACCGGCGCGAACTCCACGTAGGACGCGGGCCACACCTGCCAAAAGCATCGCATCCGATGTTTCGACACCGATGAGGTGGGGCACAAACGGTCACCAAGAACTCCATAGTACCTCTCCCGGACCGAGCATAATACCGAGTAGTCCAAATGTCGCATTACGAAGTCCCGGAGATGGTAAGTTACCTTTCGCTAGCGCACAAACTTTACCATCTTTGTAGGACTAAGCGAAATCGATCTGAGCTCCCCTCTCAATTATGGCACCCCGAGTTCCTTGGGGTCTGTTAGAACTCCGCGATCAGGAATACGAGGTACCCCAGTGCGCATGAGAACTGATGTCCGTACCGACAAGCGGATAAGGCAGATAAATGTGGCTGGAGAAAATGTGAGTGTTAAATATAACAAAAGTATATGGTAGCAAATAAAATGGCCATCTTTATTTTGGGATCCTTCGCATTTTTTTAGCAGTGTAATCGATCTTCTTCACTTGTTTTGTCTTAGTCCTCTATTTTTACCACTAAATTTTGTGAACATAAAAAATGTCAAAGACAATGGGATTTTATCAGTGAACAGCTCACTTTGGTCATTACCACAGGGCACACGCCAAAATTCCAGTTGGTCACTTATTGGTGTGCTAAAAATGGGTTATTAGACTAGAAATATAGAAGCTATTAGCATGATTCAGTATAGGTACTAATAACTAAGGGCCAGTTTTTCATGGCTTGTGGGGCCTTTACCTTACTCTCATGTCGATTTTAAAAATTGCTTCAAGAAGTAAAGATTTTTTATTTAAATTTTGTATTAGATTTGCTGACACGGTTATATTTTATATATATTTTTTTACTTTATCTTCATTAGCTATATTTAGGGTTGTAGAATAAAACCTATTGTGAAATGGATTTGTGCATATGCACAACTAACTTTCTTTTATGAAATGTTAATATAACCTGATAAAAGCAATTAAACACATGTCCATGTCGATGAGTTGTAAAAATTTTAAGGAATTGTTTAAAATTTATTTACTGATTTTAGTATTTTGCAATTTTGTTTAATAAGTAGATTTAATACGTATGTACATTGACGTATATACACTCAAGTATCCTTGCACGCTTAGGGCATTGTGTGCGAGTGCACCATCCTGTTGAAACCAACAGTTTCCAACTTTTGTTTTTTTTGTGTGCTGTACATTGTTGCATTCGTAATAAATATTCTATACTTTTTTTACTGGCTTAAAAAAATGGCATTGAGAAAGTGTTTTTTATTCTTTTTTTGTATCTGTTTAAATACCATGAGAAAAATATAAAAATGAAACTTAATTTACCTGGCAGATAGCATCAAAAATTTTAAAATACGGAATTTACACTATTTTCCTAATATTGATTAACCATTGACTGATGATAATTGATGATTACAGCTGGAAACAATTTCCGAATCACAAGAATCTGAAGATTTGTCCGCTCCCCAACTTGTTATATGGGGTACCAACGTTTCAGTGGAGCAGTGCAAGGCCAAATTTAAAAAGTTCCTCATGCGCTACATTGCGCTTGACGCGGAAGAAGACGAGGTGTCGGAAATAACAAATGTTCACCAGCCACTTTACATGCAAAAAATTGAAGAGGTAAAGTGAGAATTCGAAAGTCGACCCATTATAAATACCCGTTGTAGATTCACACGTCAGAGGAGCCATTTTTAAATGTGAATTGTTCACATTTGGAAACGTTCGATCAAATCTTATACAACCAACTGGTTCGCTATCCTCAGGAAGTTATACCGACGTTTGATATGACGGTGAATGAAATATTTTATGAAAGATTTCCTGCGGCCGTTTTAGAACATCAAATTCAAGTTAGGCCCTTTAACGCCGAAAAAACGAAGAATATGCGTTCTTTGAATCCGGAAGGTAAACCTCAAGTTTGTATATACGGATATCATTGTTGACTTTTCAGACATTGATCAATTGATCACGATCGGTGGAATGGTTATTCGCACATCTGATCTCATTCCGGAAATGCGTGAAGCTTTTTTCAAGTGTAACCTTTGTAGTTATACTACGAGCGTTGAAATCGATCGAGGCCGTATTACTGAACCGACATTATGCACACACTGCAATACAAATCATTGTTTTACTTTGGTGCACAATCGATCTCAGTTTACTGATAAGCAGTTGGTCAAATTACAAGAATCACCAGGTTTGACCCTACTTGTTAGTCTGGTTTTATAATAGTACTTTCAGATGATATTCCTGCAAGTCAGACGCCTCACAATGTGGTATTATTCGTCCATAATGATTTAGTCGATGGAGTGCAACCAGGCGATAGAGTTACTGTGACCGGTATTTACCGTGCACAGCCAATGCAAGTTAACCCTCGTGCGAGGAATATACGTGCTGTCTATAAAACTCATATTGATGTACTGCACTTTAGGAAGGTGGACAAGAAACGATTGTACAAAGAGGAAGACGGGTACGTAGTTGCAGTTAGTCATTACATTTTAAAACATTTGAGACATTAGCACGACACACACCTTCCCACCGGAGAGAATAGAATTGTTACAAATACTTTCACAAAAACCCGATGTGTATGATCGTCTAGCGCATGCGCTTGCTCCGTCTGTGTACGGAAATGACGACATAAAAAAAGGAATTTTATTACAACTGTTTGGTGGAACGAAGAAATCTTTTGCATTGGCCGGCCGTACTAACTTTAGGGCTGAGATTAATATTTTAATGTGCGGAGACCCCGGTGAGTTTTGCTATAATCCAGGTGTGTGTTTATGTTATTTATTTAGGAACGTCGAAATCCCAACTCTTACAGTATGTGTACAACTTGGTGCCTCGTAGTCAATACACATCCGGTAAAGGTTCATCAGCAGTGGGTCTAACCGCATTTGTCACTAAAGACAGTGATACTAAGCAGTTAGTACTTCAAACTGGCGCCCTAGTCTTGGCCGATAATGGTATTTGTTGCATCGATGAGTTTGACAAAATGGATGATTCAACGCGTAGTGTCTTGCATGAGGTATAAAAACGTTAATCTAGTCGCCTGTTATGATTATTAATTGCAGGTGATGGAACAACAAACACTTAGTATTGCTAAGGCGGGAATTATATGTCAGTTAAATGCTCGCACGTCTATTTTAGCCGCTGCTAATCCTTCAGAGTCCCAATGGAATAAGAATAAGACAATTATTGAAAACGTCTCCTTGCCTCACACCCTTTTGTCAAGGTATTGTATTTGTTTAATTTTGCACGAGCACGAGCTCAAATAGTGACCAAGTGAGAATACCAACTTGCTATAGAAAACATCAATCATGTTCTACTGAAAGAGTTGAATGATAGGAATTCGAGATTGGTTATAATGAGTGTCTCGTCACAAAGGCAAAAAGGAATGCCTAGGTGACACATTTCTGATGGTGTGTAACGGGCGCATTAGGTTGGATTTGATTTTTGCACAAATACGTAAAATGGAGATCTTTAAGCTCTAAAAAATGTCAAGGTTTTGAAGTCTCTTCCCAAACAAATATTGGTCATGATAATGTAATGAATTTATCTGGATGGTTGGAGTCAATGAAAAATGTGTCATTACTAACTATACCTTTCAGAGGATTATTTTCCTTAATTACTTGACGTGTCAAGATTATGGGAGTACAGCTTGAATTACATCCTTTGGATTAAGGATTATAGAGCCTTCGTTTCTGACAGCCAGAATAATAATTGAGTAGGCGAGACAACTATATGCATATATTCAATCAAGGACGTTTTGTTCGTGAAAGAATTTTTGCATATTAAATTACCGAGCATTTGATAAACAAGGGCGTTGAACTTCTCTGTTGTGTTTACTTAATCGTTGAACAATATTTGTACCATGTTTACGAAATCGTTAATCAAAGTTAGTAGAACTAAAGTATTGCTGAGAAGACCAATTCCTTCTTTTTCTGTAAAGGAAAAACAACAATTTTATTAATTATTATAAAACGTCTGTTTCCTTTATTTCGTTTTCGATCCCATTGTCAATGTAAGAGGGTGTTTCAAAAAATATCAAAAAACCTTTTGTGCAAATGTCAACTATGGATGGTTGCGCATCTACAGAAATTATTTTTGAATGTATAGGGTGTCCCATGCATTTTTACGGTGTCAATACATAGCGGATTTTTTAAATGGAACACCCTGTATATTTTTGGATGATTTTAACCTATGCATGGAAACCTATTCACTATTAATGTCAATTTGTTGTCAATATTGCCAAATTATTAATTTTTTTCCGAATAATTCTCTATACGCCACCCCACATAAATCGTAGCGATCTTGATTTTAAAGATATGAAATACATTTGATCAATAATATGAATAAAGGAAAACACTTTGGTAATGAGAAAGTTGAATGTAGTGATACAGGGTGTTCACAAAAAAATAGTAAAATTTCCATATTTTTTTTCAAATGGAACTACCACTATTTTAGTTCTCTATTCGATAGTCTTTTGTGTGCCCTTCAATTTTTATAAGAGGTGTCCTGTGCCAAAACTCGTAGTTTTTAGGTTATTCAACAATTTTCACAAAAATAATTACACATTAATTAATTACATGTTTTAAAGAAAATTGTTTAGGAAAAAGAGAAATGCTACAGTAAGTGATCGTGCATTCTTTCATTAAGAGCTAACCCAGATAATTAAGGAACCTTCTATTGTTTTATAAATATATTGAGTGCCTCTCTACAGAATTTAATTTGTAAGCCCCTTTCATTGCTTCTGCCCTTCAACCATCGCCCCTGGTCTGCCGTCCACATGTTGTACATGTTTAGTTCAACCTTATTGTGTCGGTCCTACCATACTATACATAATATATCATAATATGTGAACTGATCCACAACGTTTTATTTACTCTTTCAGTTTATAAGCCTCAAGGATTATTCTAACCTTTGTCTGAAAACTCATACGATCATTTGCCTGGTACTTCTTCTCAGGGTTGGCATGAATTAATTCATGTGAATTATGTACGTGATTTAATTCTCGAATTAATTCAAATGACTTTTTTAACGGGAACAAATTGCAGTATCTACTCCTTGCTTTCATTTTAATTTCAATGGTCCGCTTCATTTACATCATCCTGAATATATAATACATACCTAGTGCAGTTTAAATATTATAGAATATTTTACGTTTTTGAGTTAAAATTGTATTCCTAACGCTTATTTTGTATTGCTAATTCCCTTTTAGCTTCCTTAGGGTTAAATAAATACCAACTTGAGTTATGAATTAAAGAAATAATTAATTTCCTTATAATATTAAAACACTCGCTCACACAAAGTTATTGTAGCGTGTCTATTTTTAAATTATGCATTACTAAACTGTAAAATTTTCTGCGCGTACAGAAATCTTGTTACACCCTGTATGGTTTAAATTATAAATCAATTGTCATTGTAGGTTTCGAACGTATCCGTCATGTGCTTCTACCTGCCCTAGAAGCGCCTAACTAAAAAACAGTTGACAATAGGTATAGAGAATAAGAGAACCCTGATGAAATTCATGAAATAATATTTTCTATTTTCTATTTAAAGTAAGGTTGGCATTGCCAGGTTATGGTTTAACCAGAAGTGCCACCAATATTTTAGATGAATTCATCTTATTGACGTTAGTATACTGTCAAATTTTAAAGGTCTTTTTTTCTAGGTATCTGCATTCGTAGTGGGACACCCTGTATAAGTCCAATTGTAATCTTTGTCTTTGTAATTCAAGGTGTACAGGGCGGGTTAATTCGTGACGCACCATTGGGATTGTTAGGTAAAGGACCAAAAAAGAAAAATAATGACATGTCACACTATATTTTTACTGATTTTTACACGAGTTTACAAGAAAAATCTAATCTAGTTACCAGTGGGTGGATGAAAAACAATTTATTTTGAAATTTTTCTTATATGTAAAAGTATAGAGTGTGACACGTCAATATTTTTCTTTTTTGTTCTTTATCTCATTCCGTAAAAATCCAATATGGCGTGTTATGGAAATTCCGACAACAGATTTAGATCCTCCGAAAAAAAGTGCCTATAGAAGATCCTAACGGGAACAGTCCATTTCCGACCGACTAAGCGGGTGAAAATGAAAACGAAATTTGACATTGCCAGTTTTTCGATTGTTTTGAAAGATTTACTACACAAATAGACCATAATTTTAAGGAAGAAATGATCAAATTTTGGGCTTTGTGGGTTACAATAGTAAATAATGACACGGAAATTGTTTAACAAAAGTCGAATGTAACAATTATGTAAAATTAATTGGTTGGGAACCACAACGAACATTTTTTCTATAACACAAGGTTCCAAAATGCATCGTTTAGGACAGGGTTTAAGCTGGGAAAAAATTACCTTAAGCAAAAATGCTATAGGCTCTTAGAGGACTGTAGCAAAAGTAATTTTCTTGTAGCATTTGTGTCATTTGACACTTATTTATTAAATGTATAAGTTACTTATTTCCATGCCTTTATGTTGCCTTATGTAGCAATATGAAATAAGCTCAAACTCATAACTTTCATTTGATTTTCTTTGTCGCAAAATATGCGACAATCTGCCTCAACAATGTTGCAATTTCGCCTTCGCAGCTTAATCCCTGGTTTAGGAGCAACTAAGATTTTAGAAAGAATGCAGATTTTGGGATTTTGAAACCGTAGCCCCGAAATGTTTTTTTCATCTCCTACATCACTCAATTCTACAATTTATATGTTGCATCAACAATTATTTTGTGGACTGTTTGGTGAGCTTTCATTTCTATCTCCTTTAATAGTGGAGATCAGATCCTGTGAAGTTGTGTCAATTACGTGATTTGGCGCTGGTGCGCGTTATGTTACAATATGTTAATTGCAGGTTTGATCTCATCTTCTTGATCATGGATCCTCAAAATGATTTATATGACCGTCGTCTCGCGCAACATTTAGTATCTCTATACTATAAAAGTCGGGAGTCCGAAGAAGATGATTTATTGGTAAGCAATAATAATTTGCCGCCAACGCTTACTAAGTCCTCATTTTAGGATTTAACGATTTTAAGAGACTACCTGGCGTATGCTAAAGAGCATGTTCATCCAAAATTGAGCGAAGAAGCACAACAACGACTCATACACGCCTATGTCGAAATGCGCAAGGTAGGATCCGGCCGTGGACAAATATCCGCATATCCTCGTCAGCTAGAATCATTAATACGGCTATCAGAAGCACACGCGAAAGTGCGCTTTTCTCAAATTGTTACCGTCAACGATGTGGAAGAAGCGTGCAGGTAAGTCGGCAGGATATTGCTTGTTTGTGAAATGATTTTTTTAAGGCTACATAGAGAAGCTCTTAAGCAATCTGCAATAGATCCAGTGTCTGGTAAAATCGACATTGGAATTTTAACTACGGGATTGAGTAGTACTGCTCGTAAGCGAAAATCGGAACTAGTTGCAGCACTTAAAGAGATTATAAAGAAAGGAAAAGGAACTACTCTTAAATATGATAAAGTGTTTGCCGACCTTAAAGAGTCTTCCAATTTGGTAATTGCCCTTCTCTCATTTGTTTTCTTTTTGTGATTCATATGTTACAGATGATCTTAAGGGAGCAGTTCGAGGATGCTCTTAGGGAAATTCAAGATGATGGTTTCGTTACTCTTGTAGGGAAAAATATTCGCGTGCGAGATATTTTACCTATGTCGTAATCAGTTTTGGGTCTTATGGTTTGATAGAATTACTGTTATTTATAAGTCTTATGATACGTTTTATTTTAGTATAATTAAATAATTAAAATCTACCCAATTACTTAACTACAACAGAAATACAAATTATTGGTGCATTTAGGGAGTACGTGGTCTGTAATTACTGTGATAAAAAATCGCTTTTCTAAGATATATCGGAAGATTTTTTTAAACCATGTTTTAAATTGAAAAACTTGATTGGATAAACTTAACAGTTTAGTGTATTGGTATAGAAAAATGGGTCTAACTTATAACAAATACCTTAATATATTAATACAGGACATAATAAGCTACTAAATTAAAATTAAAATTAATTACTATGTACTTTCAAAGTAGTGGCATGCAGTACGACAGCTATCCAGTTTTTATTGTGAAAATTGTATAAAATTCCAAACAAAATGGGATTGATTCGCAAGTCGGCACTATACATATATGGACGAATATGAGTTGGCTCTACTGTGCGATGGAGTACCTAAACCAACCTGTTATATACGTACATATTCGTGCGAAGACGCATCTACTGTGACAAAAGCCTAATTCAGACTACCGCGATTTCCCTTTTGTCAATGCTGCGCATGCACGAACTTGCCGAATTCTCACAAATAATTAACATAAACCATCTTTTGGGTATTTAGCTAATGGGCTTTCTCCTCACGGTTCTTAGACCTCGTGACCGTCCTTGATCAATAGCAGTAATCTCCAATTCGCTAAATCACCAAATCTACTACGCTACCTCATAAGGGTTGTGATTTTAATGTTCAGTGTGGCGTGTCCATTATCGCGTCTCGTGTAAACCCAACTTTAGGAACCTGTTGCGCCGCTGCCAACTTTTATAAATAAACCACAAGTTGCATTTTTGGATTGTTGTTTTTATTTTCAAGGTTATAAAACCGAATCGAATATGAAGAAAAAATTATTCAATAAAGAACGTTATTATCTTAATAAAATAATAACTTAATTAGAAATGAGCTCAACGTACGAAAAATGTCGTCTTCTAATGGTATTTAATTTTATTTTCTCGTTCTTTAATTTGTTTAAGTTAATTTTTAAAAAAACCAATCTATTAATGGGGCATAATGCAATATTTTTAGTAATGACCACACGAATTTATTTAAAAATATTTAGAGGTAATCAATACTCAAATTTGGAGTCTGAGCATGTGCAACTTACCCCTTCGGTACCTACACCCTCGAAGAGTAGATCAATGGATTCCCTAATCAATACAAAGAATTAATTCAAATAACAAATTTCAACCACATGGACTAAACAATTTATTTCACTGAATATGTGAACCTTCTGTTTTATTTTAATAGTAAAACGTACAATGGAGTGTGTCACTGTGTTTTGTGTAAAATCGTGTGATTACAAATTGCCAGATGGTTAAAACGGTTTTTGCAATAAATATTAGTGGTTTTTGTACATAAAATTTGTTAATAATGCAAACGTTAAGAAAGAAAACAAGCCCATTAAAATGTGAGTATTTTCGGGCATGATTTTAATTCTCGCAAGTATCTGCATGTTTCTAATCGTCATTCATTGAATGTGTGATTTTTGTGTATTGAATTAGCTTTTCTTTTCACTTAGATAAGAATGAAACGTCTCGCTTTTTGGGAGAAGGGGTGAGCTTTAAAGCGAAACTGATCGGAATCTTAGAAGTGTCTGAAGCTCGCGGCGACAGGATGTGCCAGGAGGCGTTATCCGATTTGAAAATGGCCATAAGAGCAGCCGGAGAGCATAAACAACGTATTACTATCAATATTGCTATCGATGGACTGCGCTTACGAGACGAGAAGACTGGCGTAAGTCACCCCATGTTGTTATTCATAATGTTAAAAATCTTGAAATTGCAGGATTCCCTTTATCATCATCCTGTGCACAAAATTTCCTTCATTGCGCAGGATATGACCGACTCTAGAGCGTTCGGTTACATTTTCGGATCACCCGATACTGGCCATCGATTTTTCGGAATTAAAACAGATAAAGCGGCGAGTCAGGTGATATGATGTGCCAGTGAGGGAAGTGTATAATAAAAATAACGCTCTTCAGGTCGTGATCGCAATGCGAGACCTGTTTCAAGTGGTTTTCGCATTGAAGAAAAAGGAAATTGAGCTTGCCAAGCAGCATTTAGATAAGAATCGTTACGGATCATCATCGATTTTCTCAGATACCACCATTACTAGTGCTACGAAGGTAAGGTTATTCGTTCGTGTGTAGCACTTTTTCAATTTTATTTGATTTCTCAGATACAATTTGGTGGACTTAATAAGGTACACATTTGTTTATAACTTGTAGACAGAATATCGCTGTTATTGAATTCGAAATTCTTTTTCCACATTGCATGTCCAATCATTCATCCTTATTTGTGTCTCTGCTTGCTAAAAATAAGCAGTTTGGGTACACCTTCTGGTACATCTATGTATGTACACAATGGTTTGTGATTTTAATTAGCAAAATAATACACTAATGCCCTCATGTTTATACGGTACATTTTAAGCAGCCTGTTTTCTCTTAGATCAAGCAGAGGAGGGAGAGTGCTAAAGAGACCAATTCAACAGTGCAAACGTTTTTTATTTAGGCCAGCGTTCTATGAATGCATTGTTGTCAACATGATTTTAAAAATCGAACGCCCTGTGTTTTTTTGCATTTTTTGAAATGTTTTGTGTCTTTTAAGTTTTCGTAACTTTTAGAGATATATCAATGATTTGGAGAACCGTCTTAGACACTAGAAAAAATGAGTTTCTTTTTTATATTAATAATATCTATAAATCTGCAAAGTGGACCCGAGATGTATATGCCATTCACGCAATGCATATAGATTATAGTAGATCAGAATTCATCATACAGGGTGTAGCACCTAAGATCCTTCGGATCATAACTCCTTTACCATAAAAGATACTGAAAAAAGTCTTAGAGCAAAATTGTACACAATTATCGCCGCCATGTTTCTAACATATTTTTGATCACCAGGGGCATGCTGTATTCCAGTGGCATATCAAACTTGCATTTTGTTAAATAGAACACCCCTTTTTATTACTGATTTGGAGATTACTTGAAAACATGTTATACCCCTAACTTTAACGATTTCGCTGTTATAACCTTTTTTCGTCAAAATTTGACACTTTTCTTAAATAAATTTTTTTTGAGAGAAACTAAATCGCGAAGGCCGCTAATTTTTGGACTAAGGCACAGGTTAAGACCTCTTCCACAATCACATCATTTTTTTATGGACCGCGTGACCCAATAAGACTGCTCCTCGGCCACATCTCGAGAACCGTTCGTCATATGACTTAAGGGTAAAAAAAATTATTGGATAAATCGGTCATGAAGAATCGCTGGAAAATATCTTCAAGTTCTAAGAATGACCAACAGAGGGCGTAACCGCCATCTTCAATTTTAAAATTGCATTTTCTTTAAACTTCGCAAATAAACTAAAATAATTTTGTTCACATTTTTAAAGAGAACCAGTATATCTATCATTTTCGTAAAAACAAAAATTCAGTTATTTCAAAAACAAAGATGGCGTGGGGCGTTCAATTGTTTTTGCAATAACCTGCTTTAACTTCTTAACCGTTTGACCGATTTTAAGAAATTTGGTATGGTTGAAACTCGGGTTGAAAAGAGGCAAATTGGCAAATGTGATGCAACAATTACGCACTCAGTGCAAATTTCGACGCACGAGGTCCGAGAGCTCGTGCAGCTGCTAGTTCACAAATTTTCAAAACAAACATGTGCGACAATTTGAATTTGTTTCTTGCGTTGGAGAGTTTTTTGTCGTCATCTAGCGATAGCGAAGTTGATGAACTAGCCATAACTTCTACTTTACAAAAAGTTGCACTTAGTCATTAAACTGAACGCCAAAAATTGGTCTTTTACAGGAATTTCAAATTTGTACTCCTTATCGTTTATCATAAATAATACTGAAATCATTTCATTCATTTTTTAGAATAGAGATTTGTCGATTATCTAAATCTATAATGAGGTTGTGGACAAATGACAACAAATATTTGCAAATATTTATGTTCCATTGAGAGCAATTTTCAAAGGATTTCTTCAGTTTCTCGTGCAACACTCGTGCAGCACGAGTTTTACCAATCGAAAACGCTATAAAATATTTTTGATCACCAGGGGCGTGCTGTATTCCAGTGGCGTATCATACTTTTTTTAAATGGGACACCCCATATTTTATGCAACATGTTACATCCCTAACTTTAACGATTTCGCTGTTAACAATTTTTCGTCCAAATTTGACAGTTTTTCGAAATTTTTTTAGACGAACTAAAAAAAAATATAATTTTTGATTGACCACTAAATGTCATATTTTTAAACATTTCAAATGGTACCCCCCCCCCCCCCTAAACAAATTATACCTCTGGGTAGCCAAAACTTCAGATTTTCCACTGATAAACAAAACCACGCATTCCATAAGAAAATTTCAGAAAAAACCCAAGTCGAAACGTCAATTTGTAAAATAAAAGTTCTTTTCCGAACCCAAGTGTGCCATGATAAAACAAAAGATGTTCAATTCTCACAGTTAACAGTACAGTGTCGGCCGTGTATGATTGTTTCTTAATCAGCGTTTTGAAAATGTTTTTTGAAATGTGGATGTGTTTATATCAGTGGAAAATTTGTAGTTTTGGCCACCCAGAGGTATAATTTGTTTAGCGGGGTGCCATTTGAAATTTTTAAACGATACATTTAGCGAAGGTCAATAAAAATTTTAGTTTTTCGATAAAGTACCGGGTGACCCAATAAGACTGTTCCTCGGCCATATCTCGAGAACCGTTTGTCGTATGACTTAGCGGTAAAAAAAATTATTGGGTAAACAGGTTATGAAGAATCGCTGGAAAATATTTTCAAGTTCTAAAAATGACCACCAGAGGGCGTAACTGCCATCTTAAATTTTAAAATTGCATTTTGTTTAAATTTCGCATAATAAACTAAACATTCTTTTTTCAGGCTTTTAAAGAGAACCAGTTTTTGCAATAACCTGCTTTAACTTCTTAACCGTTCGACCGATTGTAACACAATTGGTATCGTTGAAAAGAGTTGATAATAATAATAATTTTGACTATACCGTTATCCGTGTGGGCACACTTACGGTCGTCATTAGAAAAAAAATATTACAAACAAAATACAAAGGTACATTCAGAGACTAACTAACAGAGGAGGATAACAAAGTACAATTTTACATATTACATCGCATAACAGTTTTTCATGAACTCTTCCTGACAATAAAAAGCATTGATTCCTTGGGTAACAAGAATCAACCAAAATATATTTAATTTAGTTGAGTCCTTCTCCGCCAGGGGACTAGTTTTGACACTATTATCCAAACTCCTAAAAAAATAAAAAAATCAAATCTAATGATATGACTTTCTTTATGAAAAAGTAGCCAAATAACACCCAAAGATTACAAATTCAAAAAAATGCACTTTCTGAATGTAAACACAGAATAATTTACAAATTACGGCTGTTGTTATTTTATAATGGTGCTTTTCTATCTCGTCATCGACAAATCCCGGAAATACGTAAAAAGTAAATTTAAGATACAATTTAACATTTTAATTAGTTAATCTCATTTTCCAAAAATTGGAGGTTAGGAACAAGATTTGGAATTATTTGATTATATCACAGATTTAGTATCTTTAACATATGCCAATGATGTTAGTATGTAGGAAATGCTGATATGTTAACCTTACCAACAATGTGCTTAATGCTCTTTTACTACCTACCTTTGGATTTAATCGTTTTTTCAATTACATTTTGGGCAAGTTTATTTAAGTCAGTGGTTTTCAAACTTATTTCCGTGGCGCCCCCTGTCATAAAACTAAAATTAGTCACGCCCCCCCCCCCCCCCCCCCCCCCCCCCCCCCCATCCAGATTAAAAATAAAAAAGTGCTGGTACTACAAACGTATTTATTAAAAAAATTACAGAGTAAATTTTGTTTTCATTATGGGGACTCGGAAACCGTAGGAGATACAAAGCCGTTTGAGACAAATTTATACAAAATGGTGATTAATTTTCCCTTCCAAAAAGTCTTGTAGGTCTACAAATAGCAAAGTTATGACCAAAAAACCGAAAAATGTCATTTTCGAGAATACGTTGGCGTCCATTTATTTTCAAAGATATCAAAAAATAATTTTAACAAAAGCTTGGTAAATTTTTCTCAACTTTCTGGCGGTGCTAAAAAAGTTGTTATGGCTCAAAAAATATTATGTTTTTCAATGAAGTCGGATATTGCAGATCAATGCCTTTTGAGGTCGTTTTTAGTTCATTTGAGATCTTTTCTTTTATAGCACATTAGCACCATGATATATCGCACACTGACAACATTGCGCAACATCAATACTTTGAACATTTTTTTATTCTTGTAAATTTTTCGTATCACTAATACTTTTGAAGTTATTTTGAAAAAAAAGGCAATTTTTCAAAATTTCAAAATTTTTGTTTTACTTCAAAACTACATTTTTTCAAAAATAAGAACTTTGCACCGGTCAAACTTACAGATCATATAAACAATAAATAAATAAAGGAAACTGTAAAGCGGTAACGCTTAATTACAATTGGGGTACTAATTAGGGAGTGATTTCCTCGATTTTTTTTACCAAAAAAAAGGACCAACTTTATTTTGAGCGTAACTGACTTAGTTTTGATGCTAGGAACTTTTCTTAAAAACAAAAGGAAAGGTTTTTTCAAACACTTTAAAAAAGTTTTCCCCGAAAAGTGCTTCATTTTTTGGTTATTTCACGTTGAAGTACTCGATTTGGAATTTGACTAATGAGAACCTACTTTTCATGAGCTACAACTTTGCTTCTACTGCGTCTACAGACTTCATAGATAGACCATTTTGTTTGTTTTTTTTATGAGCTATATTTTTGCTAAGAATACTTTTTTCGATACAATACTTACTTTTAGAGTTATTTGCGAAAAACCGTCTGAAAACGTGTTTTTTTTGTTGAGAAATGAACATTTTCACTCGCAAATAACTCGAATACTATTGAAAAAACTCTATAGAACAAAAGTTGCTTAAAATTACTCAATTTATCAATTTCCGAACTTACTTTGAACGTATCCCGCCCCCCCCCCTCCCGAGAAGGAGTGGTATTCACCCCCCAAGTAAAAGCAACCCTGGACTCAAGTAAATAAATAAAAATAAATATGTTCACCTTTCAAGTAGAGGGTAAGAGGACCCTAAATCCAACTTTTCAAGTCGTCGAGGCGCGAAAAATTATACGCCAAAACGGTCATTTACTGGCCTATAGTAAATGCTGTTTTTGATGAAGATGATGTCTATACATGCCATGTAAAAAAGAACAGTTACTGTTGTTTCTAACACAGAAACGAGTAAAAAATATTAGATAACAAAGGAAATTGTTACACCTTGTACATACATCACACCACTTGATAGCCAATTCGGCACATAAAAGTTTAGCACGGACAGTCTACTCCTTTATGAACAAGTGGTAATAATACTATCTTCGATTCGTCAATGTTCTAACGGCGGTATGTTGAATCTATTAAAAAGTGCTTCTCTTGTGTATTTTAAAAACTAAATATTTAGAATTGAATTCCTTCAATGGCACCTGCATGGTTTGGGGGCATTACTGTATTATTAAATACTGATTTAATAAAAATTGAACATTGAATCTGATGCGTGTTGTGCTTATGCATTACAATGTTTTGAATCGATAATATTTTTCAAGGGCCTCATACAAGATACTTCGAACAAGCCAGCATCAGATGCAAAATCAGGGACCACTAGTTCGGATTCAAAGGTAGACACGCCTGCTGTGGCAGACCTTGTTGATCTAGAGTTAGAGTTGAGCAGTTTGCAGCAGGGGATAACGCAAATGGAGCGTATCACGCCCTCTGATCCGTTTGGTGGGAAAGATGATCCTTTCGGTGATAGTTTTACGTCCTACCCGGTAATAATATTTGTAGTTGCAACTCAAAATAATCTCAATTTTGCAGCCTAAGCCGATATTACCGCCGCCGCCTTCTACAAGGGAGCGGTCGAGTCGTACCTCAGAGAGTAGTAGTGTGTTCAGTCCAAAAACGCCACGGACTGGTGGCAGTATAGAAGGCAGTAATGCGGCAGATTCGGTGTTTAATTCCGAACGTAACTTTAATTTTACTCACGAATTAAGTAGTTGTCATGACGAACCGCTAAGCGGAGACTGGTTTACACCCATTGCTATTGATAAAGTATTTGATGAACTTTCGTTAGTCCCCGAACCATCTAAAGAACTGCAACATGAACTGGCGAAGCAAGAAATTTTGTCACAGTTTGATGTGTTTACTGAACTGGACCCTCTAGGTAGGAGTACGTACCTTTTCTTTTTTTTTGTTTGATCATTTTTAGAAATGCGCTCCATATCTGCTGTTGTTATCGACTGTACTCATTTAAATCTAATTCTACTGCTTTTGGACCGCAAGCTTAAAAATGACGTTTTACACTTTTTGTTAACAGTCTGAATACTAAGGCAGTAGAAGGTTAGGGGACCAGCAAACATTCACATGGATTACCAAACAGAACACACATGTATTATATGATTTATTATAATTTACTCTCGTCCTATAAGTGCCTCGATACTAATTCGCACTTGTTCTTAGGCACTGGAAAAATCAAGCCATATATTGATAAGAAAGACTTTTTCCAAGAGTTAAAGAATCCACCCAAAAAAGTGCTCAATGATCTGGTTAGTGAGAAACAGCCGCAAGACACGAAATTATTTAATGCCAATTTTGAACAGTTATCAACGACGCCAAGGTTAACAACAACAAGCGCTAATGGTACATTGACATCCGATCCATTTGCCGAAGATCCCTTTGACAAAACAGACCCTTTCGCAGACACAGAGTTTTCTAGGCAAGATCCTTTCGAAAGTGAAAACTTTGGCGCAGTTTTCAATAAAGAAGTGAAGCCGGTAGACTTCACGGAACAATTTAAATTTCCATCATACCACAACGAAAGTATATCGGTGCTCAATTCCAAATTGTCTAAATCACCAAACAAGGTTGCAGCACTTGAAAAACAGATGTCGCTAGTTATCGGTACAATGCGCGGTGTACAATTCAACAAACAAAATACCTTCGACGACAATCTATCTGGGAAAATTTTGCAAATTCATGAGAACCGTAGCCTGGATATGTCATCGGAATCGGAATGCGCCCCCGAACCTCCTCCGAGACCTGCAGTCAACTTTGTGCAAATCAAACCGCCACCTTTACCTCCCAAGAAGCAGCCGGGTGATCTCTGTATAAAACCTCCACCACGTCCTCCGTATTCGGAAGAATCGCATTATGACTACATGGACAATTACGAAACGGGTAACGGAAGTGTCGAATCAAAAAAATTTGATAAGAGTCCTCCGCTGCCCGCACCCGCGCGGAAGGTAAAATTAAACACAGAATTTTCAACTCCTCCTCAAAGGCCGAAGAAGCAGTTTAATCTTCAGCAAGGCTGGGTATGTATTCTTTCTGTTTAACTTAAATTAAAGTTAATGCTACTAACGGTCACTAAACTATCCACAAGCACCTTTAAGTACAGGTACTAGCAATATCTTTTAAAAGAAATAATTAGAATTCTTTTAACCACCTTACCAAACCCAGGTACCAACAGAAAAATTTAGCATGAGAATTCTTATCTATCTCATAATTTAGGATTCATTAAACACATTTACAGATAAAACAAAATCAATCAATTAAGCTGAAAGTAAAATATGACTCGGAGCAAAAGTGGAAATACCACGCAGCAAGCGATCGATTGAAACAATTAATTTAAAAAATCTTGATTACCTTAAAGTAAAAATCCGGTCAGTTGTTTTTAACTGAAGCATAAACACCGAAAACCAATTGATGTTGCTTTTGGAATTTCACTTGCTCTTAATATTCGATTGAGACAACACTGGGTTCGTTGTAATTACTGATGATTACTCTATTTAACTGGTACTGGGCAGCGCCTCGAATAAGCGATAAACGCTTGATAGACACAACAGTCCGACTAAACTTCTTCGTAAACGTAATCCACACTTCCGCTTAATTGGACTGAAACACCCACTTTACCCGTCTTATAGCACGTGTGTATCTTGAAACTAATTAGCTCAGGCAGCAATAACACTTCTTATCGCAAGGGCCGGAGATAACATGAGATAAACCTTAACAAAACATTTCACGTAATTAATTACAGATCATTGAACGTAATCTTTTAAACACGTAATTTAAATTTGCAAATACAAATTAAAACAAACAAACCGATTATTTAAACAAAATTAAACATCATTAATTTTGATACAAATCAAAACAGATTTCAAATTTGATCATGCTCGAACTTGTGTCCAATCTCAAATTATAACCGTATTTAACGCCAAAAATAATTGAAATTCAACATACAGGGTAACCTTCGCAATGATAGTCCGGAATGTATGCTGCTTTTATATGATATATGATTATAATCATTTCGTCTAAAAGACTTTGTTAGTACCTGTGTTTAATTGAGCTAGCTGGACAGGTGCTTGTCGGAGGTTTAGTGACATATTGCACATAGCAATATACTATGTGCCTTTTTTATTTAATTTGCAAATTGTCAAACACTGGTTTGAGGAAGTCGTTTTAAAAATCAATTGTCTTCAATAATAAAATGGGTTATTGACTAAATTCCACAAACGCCTCCTAATGGCCAACTTGTTTAAGGTATCGAAATTCTGTTTATATTTGCGTAACCACAGATAAAATACCCAACAGATTGCTAACCACAATACATTTTATGGGTAACATAAATATACTTAAAATATACTTAAGTTAAAGATCCTGGTATACTTAAACGCGCCATCTACTGAGTATTAGTATGAACATCCATTTTACGAATCTTTATGGTGGTCATGAAAAGAATGAGTTACAAGCGTTTTTCTGTAGATGTCACTTTAAAAAAACTCACCCCGCGAAACCGTGTCTTTTAGTCTATAAAACTATAATTTATAGGTGTTTGCGTTTGTGATTGCATTGTGTGTGATTTATGTGTACAGTGACTTGTCTTACATTAATTTGTTGTAGTGTCAAAGCTATTATAATTTTGAGGTAAGTACTTAACTAAACTATCAAATTTATGTAAAGATTTAGATTTCAGTTTAAATTGTGTGGCGACCATTATTAATAATTGTAAGCTGTGCCATTATCAAAGATGGTTGCTATAGATTTTAACCTGTATTTAAGTCTTAAATTTAAAATTTGAGTCAATTTGACGGCTGGCGCAATCGGCCATTTATAGGGGAGCGTATGGAGGCGAGCACGTGCACACGTTTAATCTGTGTAATCGGATCGCAAATTTTCTTGATAACCGTGCAAAGATACGCAGTAAATAGATAAACCACATCAGAAGCACAGATTTTTATCTGTGACAGAAGTAAATAATTTTGTTGGGCTTGCATTTATTGCCTTTTCGAAAACCGTCGAAAATGAATACTTACGATCAAAAAGTTTGTCCCGCTTTTCTTGTGAATTTCTTTTATACGTGAGATAGTAGTCGGTTTTGCAAAAACATTATCTTAAACTTAATGAAAATACCACAAATGCCGCGAATCTATTGGGATGATATGAATTGTTTTTTCTTTCATGTGTAGATACAAATAAAAGTATAGTATCACAATAATATAATACAATAATATAAATTTGATTAATTAACATTCATATTTATTTTTACAATTCGAAAGAAGAAACGGAACCAAGCGTATCGCGTTTTTCTTTCGATTTAGGGGAACAAAGTCAGATCATTCGACCTTCCAGCACATTACTGAAATTTTAAATTAGAGTTGCAGGTTGCACGTAACACATGATTCGAATTTTTTTTACGAATCGGGATCGACTTTTGGAGTCGTAAGTAATTTTCTGTTAAATACGCTACCGATTTAATAACAAAACTTTTCAGATTTTTAAACATTTTCGTCGGTTTACCAATTTATTTATTTAGTTTGTCACCTTGTTTGGCAATTATGCACTTTTGGAGTCGTAAGTAATTTTCTGTTAAATACGCCACCGATTTAATAACAAAACTTTTCAGATTTTTAAACATTTTCGTCGGTTTACCAATTTATTTATTTAGTTTGTCACCTTGTTTGGCAATTATGCACTTTTGGAGTCGTAAGTAATTTTCTTTAAATACGCCACCGATTTAATAACAAAACTTTTCAGATTTTTAAACATTTTCGTCGGTTTACCAATTTATTTATTTAGTTTGTCACCTTGTTTGGCAATTATGCACTTTTGGAGTCGTAAGTAATTTTCTTTAAATACGCTACCGATTTAATAACAAAACTTTTCAGATTTTTAAACATTTCGTCGGTTTACCAATTTATTTATTTAGTTTGTCACCTTGTTTGGCAATTATGCACTTTTGGAGTCGTAAGTAATTTTCTGTTAAATACGCCACCGATTTAATAACAAAACTTTTCAGATTTTTAAACATTTTCGTCGGTTTACCAATTTATTTATTTAGTTTGTCTCCTTGTTTGGCAATTTATTTATTTAGTGCCTTTATAAAGTGTTGGATAACAGGAACATGCAGAAGTGAGAAAATCGTGTAATTTTATACAATACCATTTTTCGCGATGCGCTCGACGTTAAATGCAGCTAAGGTGAATTTTCCATTTAAAGTCGGCTGCTTTGCTTTAAATAAGTCAACAGATCAATTGAACAATTTTTCTGTGATAAGTCTTTAGAATTTAAATTGGTGTTGATAGCACAGGTGTTCGCGGAGTGCGGCGCGGTTGTTGGATGGAGCTCGCAGATTACGGCAATATTGCCCAGTTGAAACATGATTCGGCAATTGCGTTAGACGGAAGATAATTTAGACGTTATTTTAATAAAGAAAATCTTTTATAGTTGGAATATGTAATGTATTATTGTTTGTTGCTTTTTTTTAAATTTTTTGGGAGGGTTATGCAGCATTTATGGACCATCCAATTTAATATATTTTTAATGATAAATTATTTTGAAGACCTTAAAAAATTAACTTTGAGTATGCCTTGTAAACAAAAAAACAAACGAGGCGGTGTTTCGTTTCGCTCAATCAGAGAGCCCTGTTCATGAATCATTGGAATTTAGTACGTTTACATACCATATTTTGTGTAGTGTTGACTACAGATACCGATACTGAAATTTCAGTGTGAGTCCTCTTGTGGCAAAAAGCGGTATCATGTTTCATAAAAATCTTTAATAAAAAATTATATTTTTCACTGGAAATTGGGGACCTATAGGCAACCCGTAGTTCGCATTTGCATTATGGTTGTATTTAGTAACACTGCATTTGGTTGGCAATCTGTTGGGTATTTTATCTGTGGCGTAACTTAGACAGACGCCTTAAGCCAAGTCAAAAACTTGGTAAATACTCAAACTTGTAAAGCGATTTACCACGCCTACTTTGAAAGTCTAATGGCTTACGGGATTGAATTTTGGGGAAACTCTGTGGATTCCGATACAATTTTCAAAACCCAGAAACGAGCATTAAGAATCATGTACAACATGAACAAACGCGACTCTTGTAAACAAAAATTTGTTGATGCAAAAATTTTAACAATGACCAATCTTTATATCTTAAGAGTCACACAACACATTTATAGAAATTTACAGTTTTTAGACAAACATGAAGACTAAGATCATAACTACGATACTCGAAAGAAAACAAACATTATTCTACCCAAATACAAACATGCTTTCAGCCAAAACGGTCCTTTATACACTGGTATAAAAATATTCCAGAAACTTCCACCTTCCGTCACAAACGCTTCAACACTAAGACTTTTTACAAAAAAACTTAAAAATTTTTTATATCAAACAGCTTTCTATAATCTCAACCAATTTTATAACCATCAATAAAATTCAACTGCGAGTACTTTCCCTACGCCTGTACAGGGCTCGGATACACACATGACGTTTGCTAAGAGGTTATTCTATAATTTTTATTAGTTCAGTTTAGTTAATATGGTATTTTATAGATTCATTAATGTGTATATGTGGGAAATAAAATTTACTTTACTTTACTTTACTTACAATAGTGTCCATAACAATCTATATTGGCCCACCCTGTACTGTCTCATCTTTTAAAAATTGTGAAACAATGTCAAGCTGAAACAAAACCGCCAAACCACAGTGACTAAAAAGCAACTGAAGAGAGTTGTCTACTGATGGTGGCACCTTTGCTGTCGAAACACATTCCTGTTATTCAACTTTTATTATGGGTTATCCCTTGCAGAGTCTGGGATTATGGCTTTTTAGTAAAAATACAAATTACCAGAAGGGTGGAGTCCTTTTTCTTTGAAGGTCCTAAGACCACCCACCATACTCTACCTACTTTGGAAATAAAATGTGTATACATTTTCCCAAATAATAAAATAATTGTTATTTATTATACAAGACTTTAAAGGGATATTTTAACCATTGAATGAATTAACTTTTACGAAATGATTAGTTTACCTTTATCGTCGTGTATAATACAAAACTTTATTTTATAGCAGAAGCCATATAAATCATTGTAAAGCATCTGAAAATTCTGAATTTAATTTAGACGTCAAAAAAAGCAAGCTTAGGTTCTGCGTTCGCGGTCGCTTCCATAAAAACAGCATTGTAATATGTTCTGAACTTCTTTTTATTTCATGCTCGGCTTCCCATTTGAAATAAGAATGACAGATGGCAGAATGCACAATTATCTGTTTCACTTGATCTACCCTTATGGTTAAAAAGCGACTTACCCTACCTATCCAAACCTATTAAAATGTCAATTTAACATCTGCTATAAAATAAAAAAAGTAACCCTCACTTACGTCCTCAGGAGGGAAAAGGTGTCATAATTAGAAGCTAATCACACAATTTTGCATGTAAATATACTTCAAGGCGATGAATTTGATGCATATCAATATCTCACATCGCGAGATCTCCTACTGCGTCGCCGAATAGTCCCAAAAGAGAGTAAAACATCTAGGTTACTTACTCTTCCACTTTTTCTAATGACCCCCTGACAAAAGCGGTTTTTTCAACACAACAGCTAGGCCTGTCGCCATATGCAGGAGATTTAGAGTGCAGAAATTGAAGACAGGTTTCATTTTGGAATCTTGTTTAAAGGGGTGGAGACATAAATATACTAAAAGTCCTGATGTCATACCCCTTTTTGTTGGATCACATAAATCTCGGAAATGCTGCGTTGTAGCTGTAAGAAAAATCTGTTGATTCGCATTCGCATTCCATACTCTAACAAATTGACGGAATAAAGATTATTATTATTAAACCTTATAAAATTGTTTAAAACTTTAGTTGTGTACATTTTTAGGAATTCGGAACTGTATTCAATGTAGGGGTTCCAGAAAAATGACGATTTTGAAACAAGGATATTGTTACTTCATATTTTTTTATCTAATTTCTTCAAAGTTGAAGAAAATTAAATATTTATTTGTACTTTCTTTCCTTTATTTTTGAATGGGCATTTCAGCCAAGGCTGATTTAGTAAACGAATCCACATACTGTTAAAGAAAAAATCCCGCCCAAACTCAGATTCAAACCGGGGCCCTCTGTGTCCCAGTCAATTATCTACTCAACCATGCCTTGTAACCCAGCAAGTGGTGTTATATATGCCATTGTTATATTTTACTATCTAACATGAAAACACATTTAACATTTTTATAATATGACATTACATTCTTCAAAAACTATCAATGATTGTGGTGTTGGTTGTTGGTTTCTTTGGTTATGGTTGCCTAATATAGTATCTCCTAACTATCTGTAAAAGTTAGGATAGGAGGAAGAGGGCTAATGTATACCTACCCCTTTTGCACAGTAACAATAACTCGATAGACTGCTCTAATCCTGGACTGTCTTGCTTGGATGTCGTATACGAAGTTGATTATGCGTAGGCCGCGCAAACCCCTGGTGTAATAAAGGTGTCTTATGGAGCCATAATAAAACATGATGTTTTCATACATATCTACATACATACAGTGTGTCCACGGATTGAGTACACATAACGTGTATATGACAATTTTTTTTAGAGCTGGATCTTCATGTTCTGTGGCTCCTGGTTAGTATCAAACTATGATATTTAAAAAAATGAGCCAAATCAATTAATATACTTAAGGGTTTTTTTTGGCGAGTTCTAAAAATTAGTCAGGAATAAACTGTATTTATTTTAACAGATGTAATAAAACTGTATTAAACAAAAATTGTTTAGAATTAAAAGTTATGAAGACTTTCAATTGTCATACAAATCAGCCTACTTTGATTTTTGTTTCAAATGTTCAAGAGTATTGGATGCTGAGGAAAAAATCAAAGTAGGCTGATTTGTATGACAAATGAAATTTCAATAGGTACATGGCTTTCAATGTCTTTTGATAGCAATGGTTTGTTTCTCCTAAAAATGTTTCTGCACACCGACTGTGTGGTTCAGTGGTAAAGTGTTGGGCTACATCGCTGGAAGTCGGGTATTCGAACCTGGGCTGTGGTAGGAATTTTTCATTTGTGACAGAGATGGGAATATCCTTACGTAAATATCCGAGGGGTACTGTAGGGGCACCTCTAAAAAGCATTGTGCGGGTCACTCTGTAATTGAGAGATGCATCGAACTCCACATTACAGATAATCTTATTTTTGGACGACTTGGCACTGTCGCGGCGCAAATAAATTTCTATGATACATTTTTCTTTCAATTTTATTGTGTCTGTGGCTATTTAATTATTTTGGTACATCCCACTTCTGATGTAAAAGTTAGAATAGGAATATGTGGGGTAGTGTACACCCCTTAATTAACCACTATACAATTGAAAATGGGCGTCTATAGACTGCTCTAATTCTCGACCATCTTGCTTGGAGGTCGCTTATGTTTGCGCGAGTAACTTGAGCGCATTTTCCATACATTGATCAGTACTTCCCGAAAACCCATAACTAAATGCTCTTATGTTTTTCTTTACTAGAAGCATCTATGGTTAAAATTTCCAAGAAATGTTTATAAGGTCACTTATATTACTTCTTTATGACGCAGTAAAATATCGAACGTTTCTATTTGCAGTCAAGTGAAGAGGACTACTTAACTCCCATATCATATCCAAATCAGGCTAAGGAGCCTGAAAATAATACGGGTCCAATTTTATTACCTCCTCCACAAAGAAGTATCAAAAAAACTCAGGCCGCACAGGAAAATGTAACCGTAGCGTCGCTTTTAGAATCAAAACCTAATATAGTCGCACCTACCGCCGATCAGAATGCCGCCCCGGTAGAAGGTTTAGATATAACTCTCAGTCAACTAACTGTCAGCGGTTTAAACGAAGTGGCAGCTAAACTAAATATTGCCGCTAGTCAATTAAGTAATATGACACTGGTACAACTGACCGAGTACATTTCTAATTTTCTTAAAAATAAAGCCCAGGATGCAAATAATACGGCGCCGTCGTTTAGCGATTTTAAAGCCGATTTCTCTAACTTCAATAATTTTAACGATGAGCCTCACGATAAGTACGCAGTTTTCCGCGAGTTGTTAGAGGAAGAGATTAAGCAGACAAAAATTGATACCGAACCGGAAGAACATATTGAGGAAAGAAAAAAAGAAGAGAAGCTCAGCAATTTAGATGTCAATATAATTAACGAAGGGGGAGACTGTAAAACCGATCGATATGCGGCGTTACGAGAAATTGCAGACACTGAAATTAAGGAAACTCTCCAGGAGGAGGAAAGCGTTGACGAAAATACTTTGAACGAAGCCGAAGTCCAAGATACTAAAGTTGATGATGATACAAAATTAAAAAATGAAACGAATATCATTAATAGTGAGCGAATTCTTACCGAGCACGATGAGGTGTCAAAAGATGCTGTAATCGAGTATAATGTGGAAAGTAAGCAAGAAAGTGCAGTAGGCGTAGCAGCAGTGAAGTCACCTGTTAAGATCAAGAGCCCCATTCCTGGGGCGGTTAATGACTTGATACAGACAAATAGGTTAACATCTGGATCTCTGTCGGATGTTGTCAGCGGTAGCTCACCTGAGATCGACAACACAGGCAGTACATCAGAAGTTGTCAAGAATACAACAGATGCAACTGGTAAAATTACGAAGCATTTAATTCGTGTAGTGTTGAATAGAATTACCTTTAGGTGAAAGTTGGGCAATTTTTGATCAACCGAACTTATCCCAACAAGTGAGTAGAGATAAGCATAGCGAAGAGGGCGTTTCGCCTTGGTCTAGTGATTCGAAAGAGTTCGGAAATGGATCCCCGCCGGAGTGGAGGCATCGTACGGATTCGGGCAGCGGCGCCGAGCGTTGGGCCTGTCATAGACGGGAACAGGAAGGTTGGTGGGATACTTCAGCTGAACCTGAAGGTTCATTCCTCTAAATTTTTACTAAATAATAACCTACATTTAACTTCTTTAGTTCAGTACATTCCAACTAATCGACGTTCGACTGATAGTTATGAGGAAGAAGGCGATTACTATGAGAGACCTCCAAGACGGCGACGTCAAATGGCATGGACTCACACAGGCGAAGGCGGCCAAGCGGCCGGCGGACATTCCTCCAGTTCTAGGGACGCGAGCCCATGGGAGGAGGAGCCGAGAAGGCGTGATCTTCGCGATCATAGAGAAACTTGGTCGTCTAGACATTCGCGACAGCAGCACTCATTTGATAGAACGAGAGATCGAAGGCATGCCGACAGTTGGGATGAGGAGGATGATTATGAGTATGAAATTTCATTATTTAATGCTGCTATACATTTGTTTTAATTACTAACCTATGACTTTACCAATCCAATCCTATCCGGTAACGGTAATGGAAAAACATCAATATCAGCCTGAACAAATTCTAAAATATGTAGGTTCAACAAACATTTACTATAACTTGACTGCACATTGCACATTAATTATTACAAACAGTGCTTTTGACTTACATGTTATTTACAACCAGAGCTCGTTGAAGGATTCATGGTGCTGTCGAGACATACATATTACACGATGGCAGTTGTTCAGAACAGTGTCCTCTTCAGTTCGGAATTTACTAGGGTTGCCACCTTTTAAATTCCAAAAACCCGAACGTAAACTAAGAGATACATTATGTAGTTATTTATTATACAACACGATAATGGGATGTTTTAACCATGGATTGAATTAACTTTCACGAGATGGTTAGTTTCCCTTTATCGTCGAGTATAATACAACTTTATTTTATAGCGGAAGCCAGATATTTCATTTAGACTCCCAAAATAGCAAGTTTAGGTTCTCCCTTCCTTGGTTATCTCGTCGTTTCCATGGAAACAATATTGTATTTTGTTTTGACATTTTATTTCGTGCCCCACGTTCCATTTTTATTAAAAATGATTGAGGTCATTGCACTACACAATGATTTGTTTCATTACCCAGTACCCTTGCCGTTAAAGTGATCACTCTATCTCCTCTTACGCACTTAATTACAGTTTATAGTTTATTGCACTAGGCACCAAAATTTCTAGGGAAAACACTTTTTCTTATTAATTTTGGTGCGTAGAATCCAAAACAATTCGTACTTTTTCGATTAGACTTCTCAATCAAAAGTTATAGACTAGAAATCAATTCGAAAGAAAATTCAAAGGGCTGTAACTTTTGATCCAGTAGCCCAATCTTGGAACTGTGTGAAATTATGGATTCTACAGGCCACATTCTATAAGAAAATGTTTTTTTCGGGCCGATCTGAGACAATTTTTTTTTCGGGGCAAAAAAAAGGCTGTGTATAACCTTCCTTTTTTACCAAAAATCGACTGTACCAAAATTTCTCGGGAAAACACTTTTTCTTATTAATTTTGGGCCGTAGAATCCAAAAGAAATCGTACTTTTTCGATTAGACTTCCCAATCAAAAGTTATAGACTAGAAATCAATTTCGAAAGAAAATTCAAAGGGCTGTAACTTTTGATCCAGTAGCCCAATCTTGGATCTGTTTGAAATTATGGATTCTACAGGCCACATTCTATAAGAAAATGTTTTTTTCGGGTCGATCTGAGACAATTTTTTTTCGGGGCAAAAAAAAGGCAGTGTATACCAAAAATCGACTGCACCAAAATTTCTCGGGACACTTTTTCTTATTAATTTTGGTGCGTAGAATCCAAAACAATTCGTACTTTTTCGATTAGACTTCTCAATCAAAAGTTATAGACTAGAAATCAATTTCGAAAGAAAATTCAAAGGGCTGTAACTGTTGAACTAGTAGCCCATTCTTGGAACTGTTTGAAATTATGGATTCTACAGGCCACATTCTATAAGAAAATATTTTTTCCCGGTCGATGAGCACCACATACCTACCTACATATTTTTTATTGGAAAAAATTGGTACCTATAGTGGGTTATTTAAATTGCTCGACGTCACGAATTATTGAGATATTCCCGGACATTTTCATCGAAGTAGTGACGAAGAAACACCGAAACGAAAATGCGCGACCCCGTGCGACCCATTCCACACGAATCCCCGCAGGAAAACTTGCACTTCAACGTTGCCGTTTTAGATAGTGTATGGTTGGTTGCCTAAGTGGCAGGAAGCTTCCTTCCGATGATCATTACTTTTGTCGGTGATCGTACATATTAAAAAAAGGGGATGTTTCTCTTTCTGGATGTGTGCGAGCTGGAGGTTGTCGGTGTGGTATCTGCTCTGCTGACGTGTATGTTTTCCAGCAGAGATTCGTGTAGGATTGAGCGCGTTAGATATTGATAGTGTATATGCCTCTAATATTGGAGGTATGTTAATCTGCCGGTTTGCATCAGACATTTAGAGCATTGCACGTATAATTTATGGCACGGCCGTCTATGATAATAATACTAATAATAATAATATTTATTATACCGTTATCCCTGTGGGTACACTTACGGTCGTCATTGGAAAAAAAAATATTACAAACAAAATACAAAGGTACATTCAGAGACTAACTAACAGAGGAGGATAACAGAGTACCATGATCTCAGTCAACTGACGTTCTTCAACTGTTGAACGCATTTTATTGACGATTTGGTCTACTTTGGCGTGTGGAGATCGGCAGATTACATTGCTTCTAATAATTTCCTTCCGAATAAAAAAAATTCCAATGCACTCGAGAATGTCAAAGTAGCGTTTATTTTTGTGCAAGTTTGTGACCTTCCCATTCCCTTTCGTTACGCTCAAATCATCAGGTTATTGAAATGCACACTTTTCAACACCTTGTCAGCCCACCTTACTTTAATCTGACGCGTTCGAGAAAATCCGAAAATTCCCTACCACTGGGGTACACAGGCGTAGGATGAAAAGGCTTTTCCCGATCTCTCAAAGGGGAAGGAATGGACCAAATGTGTAAGTGAATCAGGAGTTCCTATACTGTATCCATTTTAAGAAGGTAGCGGTAAAAAACATAGGGAAGATTTGACCTTCAGTGTGATTGGTTAAAACACAAGTCAGTATTACGCTGAAACATAAAACGAGTAGCGAATTTTGCAAGCTGATAGTTTCTGTTGGCATCTAAACTATTGAAGTGTCATTAACTGTTAATGTCAAAGATTGATTCGTGTTTGCAGTGCTAGATATTTCTACTTTACAATAATTTGGGTCCGTTTTATATTTTTCCTGTGTGTGCTTATCTTCAAACCCAGCGCCATCTACTACCTTCTTATAATGAATGAAGTATAGGTCGGGATGCCGGGTGCTGTTTTGTTTCAGTGTTTATATTGGTGCTTGTTTCTAGTAATGTAGTATGGTTGTGATTGAGTTTGAGGTTTGTAAGTGGAAATTGAAGTGGAGCGATTGTTGAATAAAACTCTTTCGGTGTGGTGGTGGAGGTAGGTTTTGGATACAGATGGCTTGTGTGATCATGGCAACGATTATTGCGACATTGGTTGCCATGAATTTTAAGCTACGCTTAAGCTAAACTTCGCTTAAATTTGTCGTTGCAAATGGGCATAACACACTTAAAATGATTACTGTTCTTATGTCAATATTCGCCTTTAGTTTGAAACAGTGTTTCACATTCTACATTCACAATTTGACAGATTACAGTGGAGACATCTACCGGTACGCATTATAACAAAACGATTTAAAAAATAATATCCGTATAGCCACTTTACCCAATCAACAATGAGCATTGTTGCAATTTTATTTTCATATTTTCATACAGTATTTATTTCAAAGATATGACGAGGAGCACTCTGGTCGATATCATTGGCCCGAACGACATAGGGAAGTGGATAAGGATCGTCATACAGGAGGAATGAGAGAGAGGGATACTGAAAGGTGGTCCGAAGATTGGAATGAAACTAGAAGGTACCGTAGAAAAAGGGAGAATGATAGGGACCGGTGGTGTTGTCCAGATTGGGAACAAGACTTAGGAGGTACTCTCGTGCTTTCACATGTTTTTTTGTTAACTTAGTTATTATTAGATCCCTCTGTGGCACGCTACAGTGGAACTAGGTGGAGAGATCGTAAGCACGAAGAAAGGTACTATGCGCGGGAATCCAAAGAGTCGCCCTGGGAAGAGGATTACGCAAACGATCCGGAGGAATCGCATTCGCGTTATCTTATGGCCAGCAAAAGGAACTGGAAGAGGCCAAGTAGTGCGTCGGAAATGGACCGGAAGACAGGTGAGACTAAATCTCGTATCGGCCCATACTATACGGGCACAGGTAAGCATTTGAATATCTCGTGATGATGTAACAGTTACATTTCTCCTAAGGAGGGAGTGATAGCGAGCGCGATCGTCGATACAAGACGGGCAGAAGGTCGAAAAGCCGAGACTCTCAATTCGCAGAATCTCAACCTCGGCATAAAATTGATCCCAATTTGACTCTGAGGGGACCTTATCGTACAAAACAGTATTTGCACCAAAAATCTCCTTTAGAAATGGAGTTTGCACACGATTTTCCTCCCAAAAAATTAGAACCTTCGAAAGGCGACCTGGGCAGTAAACGATTCGTGATGGTCGGCAACCGTAAAAAAACCAAAGAGATTTCTAAGACTGATCCATTGCACACCTTTGTGCGAAAGGCTACATTTGAAAATAATTTTACACCTTCAGAGACTGAAAGTCCCGTATCTGCTAATATAAGTCCTAGATTTACGTTTGAAAACGACTTTGAAACTTCCGAACCTGAATCTTCAGTGGCTTCGAAACCATCGAAAAGCTTACGCCATCAAAACCTTTTCGAAAACACTCAAAGAACCAAACCACGATTGAGGTACGACACGCGAAAAACAAAATTTGAGGAGGATACACGAATTTCGCCTTCACGAAGTACTCAAAAGTCGCCGTTCGAAGATGATTTCTCGCCTCCTGTTGAAAAATCCGAGGCGCAACTTCACAAAAATCTAAGTAAATCGAGTATTAAAGAAGAAATTGACGTAAATGAGGAAGATGATTCCTTTTCTACAAATAATTTCGATAAAAATACCATTAGAAAGAAAATCTTGAATAAAAATAGACTTTCCAGCAGCTTTCACATAGACTCAAACCTCAAAAAATCCGAATCTGTCAATATTTTTGCTAGGGAAAGCGATCCATTTGATGACGAGTTTTTCTGCAGTAGAAATATGCACGAATTGGAGGACGTAGATAAATCTCGAAATCCTGAACAAAAGTGGACTGAGAAATTTGAAGCGCTCGACTTCGAAGGTCGAAAATAGGTAATTTTCCATTATAATGATATGCCGCGGGAAAAGTAGGTTTTTACAGCATTAAGCAAAGCCGTTGTATATACACGTTAATTATTCCAGTGTTTATTTCTTTTGTAAGAACCTATTTTTGACGCATTTAGGATCTTTTAATGTTATTTATTACTGATAGGTAGGAAAACTTAATACTCGATTGTAATTTGTTATTTATGTACCTAGTACGTTATATATTTATATACATTTTTTTATTTTAAATTACATCCTAACACACGACCTATTTTTAAAATCTCTCTTTTGGAATTTTTTATGAACGTAAATTATTTATTTTCAATTGTCATTTATTATAAGAAAGGAAAATGTTCCGCAAATAATTGTTATTTAATTTTACTTCCTAATAAATGATAAATATGTATTGCTGTCTCTGTATGGGAAACAGTAAACATTTGAATCCTTTTGTAGATAATTTCTTTTGGACAAATAATAGACGAGATTAGTATAATCGCAACTCATGTATCACACATAAATTTTAAACCGAAGAGTTTCTATTAGCAGAATCTCGCCCTCGACATAGATAACGCGCCCCTTGTCCGGAGTTTCCGAGTGTACAGTTGATTTTAGAGGTCAGTCTCGGTATTGAGTGTCATAACTCATTTGGTTGTAGTTTTTGCAACCCCCGTGACTGTCATTAACGGAGAAAGTGTTAGTCCACAAACAACAAGTCTGTATATACATCAAACAATTCGATAACTTCCACATTAAAAGAATAATCAAAATTTTTATGAATATTACAAATCATGTAATCAAAACGGAAAATAAATCAGCATTACTGTTAAATAAAATGTTAACAGTATCAAATACGTGATTATGCATTGAGGTTATCAAGTCAATTTCAAAAACAAACAGAAAATTATAAAGAAATGCAAAGATTACTACCACCATGTACAGTAAATTAGGCTCAAATAAATGAAAATGTTTATTAGGTATACAAAAGAACTTACAAACCATATTTTGACATTAATTGATTAGCTCTATCTACACCTGTTGCTCTCATATACTCGGCCAGCTTGATCAAATCTAAAACAATAAAAAATTAACTTATCTTCACTTGCAATATTACTACCTTTTTTATCTGAATCTCCCATAAACATTGACAACATCGAAAAACGTTTCACTTCTGACAGCTTTAAAAGGTACAAGTACACAGATTTATCGCCATTCTCCACAAACATCTCCGCCAATGTGTGAATAATTCCACTGAAAATGTCGCAGTCTAAAGACTCTTTAAATAACGACGGAATCTTATCGGGATTAATCTGTTTTAAATACTGGTATTGTAATTCTTTGCATTTTTCTAACTGTCGCCAATCAGAGGTAAACTGAATTGACGTTAATGGAACAGACATATTGAACTCACTCGAAATTGAGACTTTATCGTCAACCTTTGCTTTCTGTGTTTCAACTTGATGTGGTTGTGCAAGTTTCCTCTCGACTACTTTTAAGTCATCACATTTTATTAAGGTGGAATCGTTGCCTGGACGAGGCCAGGGTAATGGGGAGTTTGTGTCCTTGTCAGTAACGTCATCGACATCTTGAATTGTTATGCGTCGTAGAGGTTTCTTTGAACGGAGATGAGGAGGTTTATTTATAGCTTCAATTAGCTCAATATCATCTTCACCACTCCAGTATGTCTGTACGGTCGTGGGTTTGTTAGCTGCGGAGGTGTTTTCGACACCGGCCACTGTAGACGAATGTTTCTTTTGCTGGGAAATAGTAAATTTTGATTTTGGTCTTAAATCAGTTGACAATTTGATTATAGGTTTCTTATTAACATTTTCGAGTTTCTTCTCCAACTTTGATAGAGCGGTTTTTGATTCTTTATTATTTGGTTCGTAATCAAATACTTTAAGTAAATCATCGTGTGCTTCGGTAAGCTGATTCAGTGCCTCACGTGCAGCCGCTCGACGTTGATATGCTTTAACATAAGACTTATCCAAACGCAATGCTGAGGTACAATCTGTTTCTGCCAGTTTATAACTACAATAAACACTTTATAATACTTACACTTGTAGATATACACTTACTTTTCCTTTTTCAAATAGCACAGTGCACGATTAGCGTAGAAGATTGGATCATATGCATAGCATTCGATTGCTTTGGTATAACACAAAATTGCTTGATCCCATTTATGATGTTTAACAAAGTTATTACCCTAAAAAATAAAACTAAAATGAAATCAACAAAAACTACAATCTACCAAACTTTTTCCTTTTCGTATACAGCCTGATCGTGGGAATCCTCATCGTATTCATCTGTTAAGTCTCCATCCAAATCGTTATCTTTCTCGCTTACATCTAATTTTGCACATTCTGCATCTACGTCGAACTTTTCCCAAGCTGCATAGTCGGAAGCTTTGATTCGTTTCTTCGTTTTCTTTTTCGGTTTTTCAGCATTAGACTCGAGCAGCTCAATCTTTTTCGTTTTGGATTTATTCGCAGCAAGTAGCTGAATATTACAGAAAGTAGGCATACACTTTTTAAGGTTATCATACCTGATCATCTGGAGCGGTGTCGCATTTTAAAGCCTCGTCCTTATTTTTCATTTCTTCTCCCCATTGCTTTAGATCCGAACAAAAATTAGCTAAATCGGTGGAGTTATCGCGAATTTGCTTTTGCAGTGTTATGGGATCCATCATTTTCAAAAGTTTGATTGATAAACTGGGGGGAAACAAGATACCAATCTGACGGCATTCACTTCATAGTGAGATATACAGAGTGCGCCAATTGAAATGTTAGATTTGATACAATGTAACAGGGATGGGGAAATAGCGGCCTGCGGGCCAAATCCGGCCCGCGGGTAATATCAGTCATTTATTTTCATAAAAACAAATTTATGAACAAATTGACTGAGGAACACCTTGAGAGCGTTTTGCGAATTTCTTCCACTATTTTCAGCCTAATTTCGACGCTATAATGAATGAACAGTCAAAATTTCATTTGTGACACTAACCTAGGACATTGAAACAATAATTTTTGTCAAGCTGATTTTTTGTTACTTATATAATAAATCCTCTTTGGCCCGCTCAAATGCTGTAATTATTTTATGTGGCCCTCTTTTAAATTTATTTCCCCATCCCTGAATAATGACTTGCTTAATCTTCAAACATTAGAGTTTTGCGTGACCTTTTTGCCGCGAAATTTTGTTTCTTTTCCCATAGTATCCACAATTATTTACACTTATTAAATAGTGCTACTTCACAAACAGTTAAACCTGAACTTGACGGATGTTGTAATAGACGATTGAAGGTAATTATTATGGTTTCATGTTGATGTATGCGGTTATTGGGACATTGATTTATTTGCAGCCCTCATAACTAAATCAACATTCTGAAATGGACAATTAAAAAGAAATTAGAAGTGAGTGTGATACATGGCGATTGGTATTTCACAGTTTTTAGTAATTCAAATCCTATGCAAATTGGATTGCATTTGTAAACCGAAACAGTAAGACTCGAATAACGCTATCCGGATGTAACTATTATTGTATAAAATTTTTTAATATAATTCCTCATCATATAGGTACGGACATTACAATATAGAAAATTTAAGTTAGTCTTGAAAACGTATCTCATTAGTAAATGTTTTTATAATATAGGCGAATTCATTGAAAATGACTTTGGGGATTTATAGAAGTTACTTTGTCTGTTAAATATTTATTTATAATGTTTGTGCTTTCATGTTAAGTGTATTGAAATTGTAACTGTTTTATATACTATATATCTGACTACTGACAAAGTGTAAAGGTTATGCCTACTAACACAATAAAGATTATTATTATTATAATGTATTGTTCTATTATGGAATGGTAGTTGCTAGGGAATGCAATACCGGGATTGCGGGATCCCGAAATACCGGGATCCCGCAGCATTTTTGCGAGATTAATCCCGCACATAAATGGAGCGGGATCCCGCGGGATTTGCGGGTCTGAGGAATTTGTCGACCAAGGGGACGACTCTGTTTACTTTGTTAATGAAACTGATAACGGCGAATTATTTTTTAAATAATCGTTAAACTTTTTTCGTTAAAAATGTCCTATGATTTTTGAGGCACTTTAGAAGACATTTTGTGCTTTACAGGTAAGGTTTTTTTGAGTTCTAAGTTAGGCCGAAGGTACTTTTTTGTTTAATATTGTGATAATTAGCGATTTATTTTAATACAGAAGTTAACCGCACAAAATTGCTTATTTGCCAATTTATTTAAAGTTTTGCGAGATCCCGCAAATTTCGGGATCCCGCGGGATTAACATCTAACAATACCGGGATTGAGATTTTGCCTACTAGAAACCAATTTCGAAAGAAAATCGACTGCACCAAAATTTCTCGGGAAAACACTTTTTCTTATTAATTTTGGTGCGTAGAATCCAAAACAATTCGTAATTTTTCGATTAGAGTTCTCAATCAAAAGTTATAGACTAGAAACCAATTTGGAAAGAAAATTCAAAGGGCTGTAACTTTTGAACTAGTAGCCCAATCTTGGAACTGTTTGAAATTATGGGATCTACAGGCCACATTCATTAAGAAAAATTTTTTTCCGGGTCGATCTGAAACAATTTTTTTTTCTGGTCCCAAAAAAAGACAGTGTACAACCTTCCTTTTTTACAAAAAATCGACTGCACCAAAATTTTTCGAGAAAACACTTTTTCTTATTAATTTTGGTGCGTAGAATCCAAAACAATTCGTACTTTTTCGATCACACTTCCCAATCAAAAGTTATAGACTAGAAAAGAAACCAATTTCGTATCACAGATTTAAAATGTGCTATGATATGTTCGTAAGATATAAAATAGTTTTATAGCAATTAGGTAATTTTAAATTAATGTATCGAACAAGAGTAAGATGGGTCATCATATAATGGACATTGCTTGGTTGTTGTTTACGTTGACCTTTTTCAGATATTATGAATGGTCTAAGGAGCACTTAGTTGGTCCACGGGGTGTTTGCCCCGGTAGACTCATTTCGTTTGGATTTTGAGGGAACAACTTAATACAGGTTGTCGCAAATCAAAAGTGCTACATTACAGGGTAGGTCTAAAAGGCCATAAAATGGGTACAATAGGTATACTGCGAAACATCTTACACGTGTCATTTTACTAAGAACCTTCAATACGGTATGTTTACTCAAAATCTATGCCAATTGTTCAATAGTAACGTCGCATTTAAATTAAACAGACGTAAATACGTAACGTAACGTTTGTAATCTTGGAGGTGTGTCGATCATGACGCGTTGAATTTATTAGTATTCATAGTTCCGCACTATGAAAACTACTAAACTCAACTAATTAGTGCGTTTTTAATTTATTTAACTTGACGCATCTACGTTCAGGAGTATAAACCCTGACGGAAATAAAAATTGAATTGAGTTCATTTGGTCAGATCGATTTTACGCGCCCTAATATTAGCGAGTGACGTTCAAATGAGGTGATTTTCTAGGCGGAGCGTAAATGGTCCGACTCTGTTTACATTTCCTCTTTGGCTGTAATTCAAACATCTCACACGCGCGTAAATATTTTCATTGTTCGGATCCTAGAAAATTTTGCAAAAACATCTGTGCAATATAAAAGTGTGGCAATTTGTTTACAACGTCAATAATTATCAAGATACTCGTATTCAAGCTTCGGTTAAGAACTGTAACTGTAATTATATTCATTAATTAAAGTGCAATATATTAACGCGGGAACATTACTAAATACGTGCGCGGTGTCACGATTTATCATTTTTATTTATAACATTTAAATATAGATAGTTTAATAGTTGATAATGTCGTTAAGTAAAGGTATTCGCCACCTTAGAAACAGATCTCCTCATTTAAAGTAAGTAAATACTATTTTCTTTACTATAGGTACTGCGAGTAGGGCGCATTTTAATTTAAAAAGTATGTCCTTTTTGTTGTAGATTTTTTAACGAATTCAATTTCTTATGGATCATCTTCTGTAGTTCATTTGTTTGGATGTCTGCTTTGTAAATAATATTTGCCTGCAAATTTTATAATTTTTAATTAACTAATTGGCATATTTGCATGCAGGGTGTACATGCTATACTATTAATTATCTTTCAATAATCATTGAATAAAACACTTTTTATTCAAGGATAATATTGAATAATATTTTTATTTATGTTTATCGTTCAAGCATAATTAACTAGATAAAAACGGGGGCCTTTGATCTGGATATATAGCTACCTAAATGATCTATAAAAAATTTATATCGGTGTCTCGTTAGTTAATAGTTTGCAACAAAACACATCCTGATCATTTTCTTTGAATCCTTTTTTGTACTTGAGAACCACTGGTATATGTTCCAATTCAGTTCAGTCAGCTGTGACTGACTGTCAATATCAGCTGATTGCTTTTCTCCTTTGAAATGTAGCTATTTTTCGAGTTTTGTTACGAAATTACAGCATAAAAATGAAGAAAAATTAAGTACTAAAGATCTTGAAAGAGGCAATAATACGCATTTTTTGTTTAATTTTTAGGCAGTATTACTCCGGAAGTTCGAATACAGTCAGCCCCTCAAAATTGCAAATGAAGGTGATGTCTTTAACGCAGTGGAAATTCCTAAACAACCTAAGACTTTACATTACTAAGTTTTCCAACAATAAAAAGCTGCAAAATGTCATCAACAAGGAAATTACGCAATTGCTACAAAAGCTTCAACCGTCCGTTTACGGAAGTGACGTACGATTTATTGAAACAAAAAACGTACCCACAATCCCTGAGGACAGTACCACTACTGCAGTTGAGACAAAAGCTGACGGTGGGTATGCGTTACCCAATGTCTTGCAAGGCTTAAGAAGCAAGAAAAGTTCGACCGAAGGCGAAGTGAAGGTGATCACACCAAAATGGAAAACGTCACCTGCTGTCTCGTCCAAAGTAAGTATTTCTCCTTCATTAAATCATCAATTTACTGTTGCTCTTTTAGTCATTGATATTAACAAAGGCGAATAAGCTGATGACCTCCGTAGCAATAGCGCAAAGTGACGATTCGAAAATACACAGAATTGAAGAGCTGCTCGCTCATATTAAACAATTTCCTGAAGTAAAACGACAAATCATTAAGGTACAATTCCTTTAGATAAAAAAATTCCTAGATATGTATAGCTTCCTTTACATTTGGGTAGACATATAAATCCAAAGGTCCCAAGGAGTGAGGAGATGATCTTTATTCCCAATTCAAATTTGATCTCAGTAGAATATTATAGTGAAAGGTGTTTGTGCTCCTTCTTCTCATTTAACATTTATAAGGAGCGAAGAGGTGTTTATGTTTCTGATTCACTGAGTATTTGCTATAAAGATGTTATAAATTTTCTCTGGCTACCAAGAAAATATTATTCATGAGGAGACCTTTTCCTAAACGCAAGTGATGTGCTACACCGTTGTATTTGTAATAAAAAATGCTCCTCAATACAGTACGTCCTTTTTTCCAGTCCATATAAAAATATAAAGTTGATGATGGTTCCTCAAAGACGAAACGTCGCAACGAAAATCTGTGGGCACCATCTTGTAGAGCTTAAAAAGTGCCTATAAGAAAGTGTTATTTGTTTTTTTGATATCTTTTCAAACAGGCTCAGAAGAAAATAACAATGAATTTCTGTTTTTTTTTTCGAATATCTTCGGATTTCGAATTTTTAAAACAACATTAAGCCCTAAAATTTAACCCACTTGGTATTTCTTATGGTTTCAGATTTCTCCATCTTGGTCATTCTTATCTTGGACACACTATATAAGTATCTGTCATAAAACCTAATACAAAAAATTGACTATTTTTGTATTTTGAAATAAGAAAATCTTTAAAATAGTGGCATCACTTTTACCTCGAGTATTACAATTACAGTGATGCTTAATGTTTCAAAAATCTTTGTTTTTTTAATGACTTCTCATCGAACCAAAATTTTCGCATTTTTTAAATAGAATTTTAACCAGCCAAGTTACTATAGCAATTATTTGTGGCAATTATTTCTTAGTTGCGCTAGCATTTGCTTCTAGCAATTATTTTTTGGGAGTGGTGGGAGTGCAAGGATAATTGTCATATTATTGAAATTTGATGTGCAATGTGTAGCTTTGTGTCTAAAATAGTTTAGTTATGTTAGCAATTATTTCTGACAATTATTTTTTTTTGTTACGATAACAATTGTTTCTAGCAATTATTTTTTGTTACTAGGAATGGCCATTGTTATTGAAGAACATTATTAGAACATCATTGAATAAAAAAATATCTGTCATAACAAAAATAACAATTGCCATTCTTAGTAACAAAAAATAATTGCTAGAAACAATTGCTATTGTAACAAAGAAAATAATTGTCAGAAATAATTGGTAACATAACTAAACTATTTTAATCGAGACACAAAGCGACACATTGCACATCAAATTTCAATTGCATTCCCACCACTCCCTAAACAGTACTTGACACAACAGTACCTTCAGCGCTGAGGTAGCCGTAAACAATGTTCCCTTTCCGTCAAAGTGTTCTATAATAGCAATGAGGCCTCTTGGTGAGAAGACTAATGATTCTGGAAGGGGAGAGTTTCTAGAAAAGCTAATGAAGTTGTGCTTCCTTGTAGAGAAGTGGAGGTCAGCAAAATCTTCTCATGTAAAGCAAATTGTTATTGATGTATCCAGGATCAGTCATCTCCCAGCAAACATCCTCTCTGCACTAAATTCAATGGGCCAGCAATGGCAAATGGCACTGGCCAGCGCACAAATGTCTGTCTGGCCATAACTTCATCGGCACACAGCCACTGATCTCCCACATAGGAAATAAAATGCATGACCAGTTCATGATCAGTTCATAGCACAGTTGCAATTGAAATAATAAGCATTACAAAATTAAATATTCCAAAAAAATGTGATATGTATATTATATATAGGGTCCTGCAACAGTGCAACAGTGCGCCAGTCTTTCTTAGCTCATAGCTGGTAAAAAATATCAAAAATCCTTTGGTGCAAATGTCAACCGTAGATGGTTGCGCATCTACAGAAATTATTTTTGGATGTACAGGATGTCCCATCTTTACAGTGTGAATAGACAATCGATTTTTTTAAATTGAACACCCCATAAGCATTTCCCACCCTGAAAAATCGTAGCGACCTTGATTTTAAATTTAAGAAATAGGTACATTTGATCAATAATGTAAAATATAAAAGGAAACACTTTGGTAATGAGAAAGTTGGATTTAGTGATACAGGGTGTTCACAAAAAAATAGTAAAATTTCCAAATTTGAAAGTGTCACTATTTTTTCCCCAAATGGAACTACCTACCAGTATTTTATTTTTCTATTCGATAGTCTTTGCCACCCCCTACCTAAACTTGTCCTGACCGATGGGGACTTCTGGCATATCTCCACCCAAATTTCAAGGAAGTCCATTTCTGTGTAATTTTAATCCGAGTCAATTAGCTAACATTAGTAAATTGTAGGATGGAGTTATTAGAATGTTATTGAGAGTGCAGCGACATTCTTCTCACGGTGACGTGCACGCCGTAATCAATGAAGCGTTTGCGTTACTCGGCCATTGTAAACCTCTACCGGGCTACGGAATTCGAATTTTATCAATTGACGGAGGTGGGACAAGGGGACTACTTGTAATTGAAATGCTCAGAAAGCTGGAGGAATTGACTGGGAAACGGATTTACGAACTGTTTGATTACATATGCGGAGTTAGTACAGGCGCAATCATCGCATGTTCCACAGGTAAGTCTAGTTCTATTTCCTAAATCTTCCCTTACACTATCTTGTAGGAGTATTTCGAAGAGATTTGGATTATCTCACGAATCTTTATCGTGAAATTAGCAATAAAGTCTTTACGCAATCTGCTTTTTGGGGGACCGGAAATTTGGTGTGGAGCCATTCGTATTACGACACCACTTTGTGGGAAAAAAATCTCAAGGAATACTTTGGACAGATAGAGTTGATACAATCTGCTCGTGACCCAAAGTGTCCTAAAGTTGCCACCATTTCTGCTATTGTGAATCAGACTACCGTTACACCCTATGTGTTTCGTAATTACTCTTTGCCATGGGAATTTCAGTCTCAGTATATGGGGGGTCATAATCACAAAGTTTGGGAAGCAGTAAGGGCCTCGGCTGCCGCCCCCACTTACTTTGAGGAATGTAAATTGGGTAATTTGCTTCACCAAGTAAGTTTAAGTAATCGGCATCTGGCTGATCTAAAACGAAATGTTGTAGGATGGAGGAATTTTAGTTAATAACCCAACAGCAGTTGCCATCCACGAAGCCAAGCAGATATGGCCCAACTACCCAATTCAATGTGTCGTTTCTTTCGGAACGGGACGCACGATACCATCCCATTTAGAGCTAACCGAAGAGTCAACCAGTAACAGTTCGTCGTGGAAAACAAAATTTTTGAAAATTCTTGACAGCGCTACCGATACTGAAGCAGTTCACACAATGCTAAATGACTTGTTACCTGTTAATGTTTATTATCGTTTCAATCCCTACTTAACTGAAATGTTAAGCATGTCCGAGATAAATCCCTCAAAGCTGGAGCAACTAGAACGAGATGCACTTATGTATCTTAGACGAAACGAAGACAAATTTCAACATGCCGCAAAAGCGTTATGTGCCACAAAGGGACCGGCCCAGAAAATTATGGACTGGGTTAGTTTAAAGGGTGAAACGATAATGTCTATAATTAAATGAGTTGTAGTCGCAATTGTGTGTTTCACATTCTTAATTCTGTGTAATTCACAAAAATAGAAAGCTTCATAAAGGGGCGTATTAGTTTTGTCTGTGATCATTTTATAACAATGTTTATACTTAATTTATTACAAATAGTTTGTAATTGATAGCCTTAAGAAAAGAAATAGTAATAATACAATTTGATGGCAAATCAAAATAATTTAATTTTATTCACAGCTTTCCAAAAAAAATGGCTTCCTAATCCGTATTGGTAAAACGGGCGGGAAAGAAAGTTGTGACTCCAACTAATAAGATTTAAAAATCACAGGTGCCCAATTCTGTACCACTATCTTTGAACCAACAAACTGACAATTTCGTTGGGTAATGCGCTAATAAAACGCCCTCATTCTCAATACGTTTATGATTAAAAGCATATTAATTTACTTCTTCCGATATCAGCAAGTGTCTTATGTAATTCCTCAAGTCTGGAGAGTGTGGTTGGTACCTACCAATCCATTTACCAAAATAGTGCCGAGTGAGCTACTATACTCAACAGCCAGAGCTCTATGTGAGGAAGCCCCATCTTGCTGAAAGTGCAAATTCTTAATTTAGCAGCATGTTCCCATTGTGGCCACTAGACTCTTCAAAGATAGTGATCAGGGTGTCTACCACTTATAATAGATTCTGATATAATTCCTTTGTTAAATTTCCTTCTAGGAATCATTTAGCCGTATGGAAGCCTTCCCAGTGTCTGCCTCCACAGCTAAGTGTAGAGGCTTCAGTCCTAGAAGTGCCTCTATGACCAAAGGTGACTTGATTTTCATGGCTCCAGTGACTCCCAGATCGGCGAGTCTCTGCACTTTACATTATAGTTGCTTTTCCTGTATTGTATAGGTTGCCCTGCGCATGGCAAGCCACCATACAAGTGCACTGTAAAGGCACACTTGTACTATGCGATTCAAAAAGAGTTGCTGTCGAGTTACCTTTGGAATTTTTGTTTACATGGAAAATCATATTTAACTTGAACTTCCAAAGGCGACTCGACAGCAACTCATTTTTGATCGCCCGTTATAATCGATGGTACAGGTATGCCCTTACCACTACAGTGTAAAGCTAATATAGCAATCGGGAGTTCAAGCCCAATGTACGCCAAAAGCCCATCTACATGCCCATAGACCTACAGTGCCTTTTCGCTTATTCGCTCCAGCGTTTTCACTGTGGTTGGAAACTTCCCACTTCTCAATTATGACGATCGCTAATCGTTCGCGTATTCCTGGGTATACGCTCCGTTCTGCTTACCGCAAGCATTGATTATACATGTATATAATCAATGCCGCAAGCATTGAATAAACCTCTCTTTCCTTGTCTAAGGAATAAACAAACCGCAAGCTTCTTTGTAAATACATTCGGGTAGCGCCTCTAAGGTGGCATGTTGGTTGCCTAACGAACAGGTGGACATTACCAATGACCAGAGATTTGTAAGTCCTGTGGGTGCGGCAAAGTAACAAAAAGTGCCATTTCTTACCTATCAATTGCATTTTGTGGCATTGCGAAAGAGTTTGGTATTTGGTGCAATCCATGCCTAGTTGTGATTATTAAGTATTCTTTGTTGTGGTCACCATTTTCAGAGGAAATGCTTATGCTTTTGATCAAGGTTTTTGTTATGGAATATTTTGTAATTTTATGGTATAGGAAAACAATCACGTAAGTATCATTTATATTCTGAGATAGTAGGTACAATATAAGCTTAACCGAAATGAGTAGTTTATTTCTAACTGATAACATAAAACTATTGCACTTCAACAGTATATCTTTGCTCCAAGTGTTGATTTGAGAAAATATTCCCTAACACAAACACTTTTCATATGGGTCTTTAACAACGTTCCCAGTATCCTTCAAGACAACCTCTTGCAAGCTTTCAGGCGTCATCTTTTCTGCCAGATCCATTTGTGGCAAGCCAGATGCGACACGTCTGAAGAGTTGCCTTACATTATAGCCCAACTTAGCACTCGTCTCAATAAACATAACGCCCATTTCGTTAGCCATTCTTTCACCTTCCTCGACGCTAACCTGCCGATCAGCAGCCAGATCTGTTTTATTACCGACAAGCACAATTATCACATCGCCTCCTCTTTCCGTGCGTACGTTACCAATCCACTTGGCTGTTTGATAGAAGGAATTAACATTCGTAATGTCATAGACGACAATTGCCACTTTGGAGTCTCGAATGTACGATGGAATTAGGGATCTAAATCTCTCTTGGCCCGCCGTGTCCCACAGTTGAAGACGAACCGTTGCGTCCTCCAAATAAACTGTTTTTGATAGAAAATCAATTCCTATGGTTGCTTGGTACGTATTATCAAAACTGTCGTACATAAATCTGGTTATGAGTGACGTTTTTCCTACACTTTGTTCGCCTAAGAAAACTAACTTAAATTTTTTAACACGATTAACGTCACTAGACGATGACATTTTCTTATAGCACGTTGACCACCAAAATATCAACGGAGGCCGAGAAATTTGTTATTTGCTGTGAAATGGGTAGGGGTACATCCATAAGACCGTTACCGATACTGTAACTGTACTCACTACTCAGTAACAGTTGTGGTCTGATGTCACGATCACTACTTTGACATGTAGCGCTACTAAACATGGGCCATGGCTCCTCAAAAAGAGCAAAAGTACCGACGTATCTAATTATAACACGTATCGGTAAGTGTCTTATGAACGCGTCCTAGGGAGACAAAATGTTAGGTTATGATATTGCGGTGAGGCAAAGCACCGCCAAATTTGTGGATGCCAATTATTAGCAAGTGCTTCCATCCACGGTAATTCACCGCGCTTCCACCATTCTTCGTTCAGGATTTATTCAAAGGTTCAGGTAAGTCAACCTCTCAACATACTCAACAGTTGCGTCGGCCAAACGTACTCATTGACGTTTGATGTAGAGAAAAAGCCGTTTATGGCATCAACAGATTCAAATGGAGCTTAGTTTAAAATCCATGACAATTGTTGCAATAATCGTTGCCATGGATTTTAAAGTAAGTTTCGCTTAAATTTGTCGTTACAAACGGCCATTTGTGTCTAATTTACCTATTGGTCGGTCTCGGGGACTATTACTTATTTTTGTTGTTCGAAATTTAAAAGAAACGAATGCAGTACTTATATAAAGTGGTAACATTTTCATCCACCTTCTCATTCGTTTAATTCTAGTTTTTGAATTAGATGCCTGATTCATGCTGCTATTATTTCGTGTAGATAAGCGCTAAAGGTCAGGAATTGAACTCTACCGGTTTATTGCAATATACTTACCTGACAAATCATTTTTAATCGAAGTCAGTTTGTAAATAGATGTGCCGCGGATTGGTGTCGTGTGCTCTAAATTTAATCTCCCTCAGCAACTTTCCAACGTAACAAATCTTAGGCAGGGTAAGTAGGTATTTTTGCCAAAGGGTTAGTTATCTGACTCGTACATCAGGAATTTGAGGCTCACTAGTTCTAAAGCAGTTAACACTAATTACAGTAACTTTGTATTTACTAAGGGCGGCACAAATTTCTAGATTGTTCGATTGTTGATTACGAATGGAATTAAGGTTGATGGTGAAACAATTTGATCAGTGTTACAATTGCATTTGCTAATTTGGGGATTGTTTCAGGAATCCACCACCAGCTTAAGTGTGTGTCAACGGTAGGTAAGTGCCTTTTTGGTTTTCTATTGCTTTTCGTGCTCATTTATTTTTCTGTATTATTTTAATATTGAAGTTATAAAAGTTGTATTGGTACTTAAATATGCAACCTGATTCATTTTATCGTTAGTCTTATCTCGAAAACGACTTATATCAGGTGAATTGAATATTTTAAAACCGAAGATAGGCAATTAACATGGGAAAAACGTTTTTTGCAGATCGTTGCTCCCCCTGTTAACTTAGAGGGTTTATAATGACACCAATCAAAAGAAAATTTTTTTCTCATCTAATGATATACGAATTAGTATATTTTCAGCTGTATTTCTCATTATTTTATCAAAAATTCGGCAATAAATGCAATTAGCAAAATCATGTTAAGCCATGGAAATTTCCTAAAGAATTGAAATAGGTTTTCACACAGACGGAATGGGACGCTTATTAAAATGCACGGAAAACAAATATCGCGTACTAGAATAAATATTTCCTTTGTAAACGTTGTTTATTACAAATAAGTACTTTTTCCTCAGTGAACCGCATTTTACAAATAAATTAATGCCAGTTGTCATAAACTGATATTGATTTTGACGTTTGAATCTGGTTTTTGTCTTACTAGTCATGGCTCTACATGATTTTGGTAAGTGGATTTATTGCCGAATTTTTGGTAAAATAGTGAGACCTGAAAATGAACTAATTCGTATATCATTCATTAGACGAGGAAAAAAATCTTCTTTCGATTGATGTCATTATAAACACTCAAGTTAACATATGGGGAGCAACTATCTACAAAAAACCTTTTTCCCATGTTAATTCCCTCAAACGCTCAATTGAAAGTAAGGTAGTATTTCCAATATACAGGTAGATACGGGTAAAGCAGAAGTCGACACCAACTTTCGTATGTTATGAATTATTTTTTCGGATTTCTTGTGGATAAAACTGAGGTAGCTGGGGCTCGTAACGTTTTTTAAGAAAATCCTTTTTACAAATTCTCGTATTTCCTTCTTTACCTTAACATTATCACTCATACATACAACGTGTCCCCGGATGAACTGAACAAGAGGGAAAAAATTTTTAATTTTAACTTTACGCAAAAATGTCATTCTTTATAAAAATTTTTGCTTGCCTCAGAACCACCTATTCTGAAATAAAAATCTATATATTCCGTTTAGCAGCTGAGAAAATTACAAAAAACGCAATATCTACAACGGAAATTTTTCAAAGTTGCATGTTTTTAATTAAATCAGACTATCATTGTAGTAGGTGAGGTGCAAGAGCTATAGGCTACCGAATGCAAAAAGAACGAACTAAATATCTTCAAAACTGGGCCTTGGACGGACGGAGAAAGTGACCATAATGGCGCATTCAAACATGAGTTGGAAAATGCGCTAAAACCAATAATATAGTTAGTAATTGGTAAATAATTAACGGGAAGTAATCGGCCTTCGTTAAGGTTAAATCGATGGTGTTTGTTAGGGTAAATTAGGCCACGATGAACGTAATTCAAATATTTATTTGGAAGTTCAGATATTTCGAGTGCCTACCGCGACTCTTCCGATTTTTCCGATTACTTCCGTCTTCCCATCAATTAATTACAAATATGGGGTATTACGAAGACATCCGAACTAACCATGGTAACGTAATTGGTAAAGTTAAAAATAAGCTTTAAAATTTAAATAATAGGGTGTAGTTCAGGTTATTTTTTAGCACATTTTCCATCTCATGTTGGAAGGCGCTATTATGCCCACTTTCTCCGTCCGTCCGATATTTTTTGTATGCTCCGCAAATCAAAAGCATTGGGCCATGGTCGCAGTTGTAGTTACTTGCGGATACTTTTAGTTCTTAGTTAAATTATATAAACGATTTCTGATAACTATTTTCTGTCGTCTGTCTGTCTGTCTGTTCCATCGAGACCTCGACCCCTGGGCCACCTAGAGACTTCGTGTTTTCGCTAATTGATAGCTGCTATGGCCTATATTTGCCCGTTACTCATCATTTACAGTGTTGTTACGCGCCAACACCCACGAGTGGAAAGATTTTTTGATATTTTAATAACCAAAGATTCTTCTAGTAAAGACAAGTATACGGCACATTGTAAAATTCAAATGTGATCATTGATCACGTAATGTAAACTTTCTTATTTATGGAGATATTTTTAGCGCATTTTCCAACGAATATGGGTGCGCTATTGCAGAGATGTTCTCTGTCTCTGTTAAAGGCAAACATAGCTCATATTGTAAACATGAGATGTGCGCATGCGCAGTTAAAGTGCAAACAAAGTTATAGGGCGCTTTTTACATATTTTAAACATCAGGTGTGCGCATGCGCATATTGCACAATTGTAAGTTTATTATTTATAAGAATATTTATTCCATATTTATTTTCCTTTCGGGAGGTACTGATCAATTCATACAGAATACGCCTTAAGGCCAAAACTTTTTTTTTATTTTCTTACTACTTTGCTTAGAGCTTGCGCGGAAGCTCTGCATAAGTTACCAAACAAAAGACAAAATGATGAACTGTATAATGAGAATGTGATCAGAAATTTTCCATTCTAACTAATTTTAGTCAGTTTTGGGTACTTATTGGCGAATTTTCCATCTCATATGCGGATATGCCAGGGGACGCAAGGAGTGTGTTGTGTCATGCATAGAGAGAATTTGTGTGCAATCAGCCATCCATTGTATAACACAAAGACCAATACAGTCGGTCCAAGCGGTTATAAAAAGAATTATATTATACACCTACTTACAGCTAGAGTCAACTACAAGAGTATAACCGAGCAAAAAAAAGGTTATATGTTTCCCTAAATCGATCGAGACTGTTAATGTGACAATTATAAATTCATTACCTACATGAAACAAATCGAAGACGCTTAGGACGGGGTTTTCAATGGAGTTGTAGATATAATCAAAATAGTATCCACTAGATCGTAATGTTCCCTACTAAAATTGAACGTATAATGACTTCTTTATTGGACGGTTTTGGATAAAATATATTTTACGCACGGTGGCGCCCCCCTAGGCCGCGCCCAACCCACGCGACGGCCGTGATTGTGTATGTGAGTGATAAGTAAAAATAATATTTTAATTATTGTAAATCAGTTCATTTCAAGACTGTTATAAATTTATTGTTAATTAATTGTAAATAAATAAGGCGTGTAATTAAATTTACGTTGCAGTTCAAACTCTGCTTTTACAACCATCTACATTGCAATGAATTTCAATATTACTTTTAAAGAGATAATCATTGTTATTAAAGCTGCGTTTTAGTGGCCACAGATTTCCTTCTCTGCACCCTACTTATTATTAACCTATAGATTTAAATAAAATTGAGGGTAATAGCGACTCTTCTTTTACAATTTCATTAATTGGACCTTAGAATCTCATTTTTCAACCCAGTTAGAAACTGCATTAATTAAATTTACATCCAAACGAAAAAAAAACTTGCTTTGGAATACCGAATCTTCTCTGTATTGAACGGCTAGACTTCTTGGAATTATGATCTCTGGTCAGGGTAGCTGATCTTTTATTAAAGTGTACCCTCCAAATTATTTGCCCTCTTGATGCGATCGAATACGTTTAGGTTCTTCAACTAAACGAAATTGATACGAACATGCGCGTTTGCAAGGTCGGTCTCGGTACTTAACTATTGTTTGGAATGAATTGTTTATTAATTTGCCAGTGGATTTAGCCTTGATTTATTATTGTCCGTACGCGCGTATAAATTTTTAATTTAGCGATGTGGTTTATTAATTGCACTGGAAAATCTTTTTTATCGCGCGGTTTTCTCCTTTAATTTTTAGTGAAATTCTGATATTTTTTGAGAAAAGTTTGCTTTCTGTCTCTCTTCTCCTCCTTTACGTCAAGTCTCTATTCTTACTTCTCCATTTTATTGTCATTTTTTCTAATATTACTTTGGTGTTCTTCTATTTAGACATTCTTTCTTCGTTCTCTCTCACTGTTTCAACTCTTTCCGCTTATCATCTGCGATTTGTAATCTGTTTTTCCTCTGTTTCCATTATTACTGTATCGTCCATGTGTCGAGGGACCGTATCCTCTTCCTAGAATTAATCCACTTTAACCATGTTTTCATGTTCCTACATAAAGACAAAGAACTAAAACATTTGTGGTCTCAAGCGCATTGCGTTCTTTGGGTACGAATCATTTTTCCCACCCGATTTTTACTTATATACTCGCCAAGTTAAACAACCAAAACGAACCCAACGCCCACACAGCTCCAACTATGTTTTTTTAGCGCGTGTTTGAAAAAATACGTTATTATATTCGTTATGGCTGGCTGACTGGCTGAGATCTCAGCAACTACAATAGCTAGAGACTTCAAATTTTCACTAAAAGCTTTTGGCTATAGTGTAGATGTGCAGGCTCTAGTCTATTTTGAGTTAGATTACTTGTGAGATCGATAATTTAAGAAAATAATTTCGATATGGTTTTCGGAGGTGCTATAATTTTACCGTTAGATAGCGCTACCAGTATAAAAACTTAATTTACTTGTGATTTGTTTTACAAAATAAACACGTACCCTCAATCGAAATTGAATAAAATTAATTATTTAACACCGAAAAATGACTCGTGAAATCGATAATTTTAACCTTCGCTAATAAAATAGCATCATGCATCTGCTGATTTACAACTTGTTTTAAATCTACTTGTGAAAGTATAACAGGGAGTGCGTCCTCATACTCTGTTGCGACAGTTTTTAGAACCGGCAACGCTGTGGCGTTTCGACTCGTAAACACTCGTTTCTTATCTTAACGCGCTTTATCCTCGTATATTAGTTCTGTTGCCTTTCATTATCAAGCGGTACACGTATAAAATTTCCTATATCCGAAATTTTGTAAAATCAAGCCCTAAGCGACCACCTGTTACAGGAAACACAAGGAGAGTATTAATTTTCTCCGAAACCAAACAACACATATTGATGGTTTTTTTTGTATAATTAATTGTAGAATCCGAAAGCATGAGTTTCCTTTTGAACATCTTAACTGAAACAGCAAAATATAAGGAAGGAATTCATTGCGCGAACTACTAAAATTGGAATCTGAAGAGCATTTGATTTCTGACTTCTCAAAAGGACCAATTGACATATTGACAATGAAAACTGAAAAACATTCTCGAAAAATGGATTCTTTAAATTAATACATAAATATATAAGGCCAAGCTAGATAGATGAATAGAAAGATATAGGCCAACAAACATTGGAACAGTTACTAATAATAAGTGTAGATTACCCCCTGTGGGTTCGGGGGTAGAATTGGCCCACTCCCGCCCTGGAGATCGTAAAAGGCGATCAATGGGCCAATTGCCTGATTCGGGCACCTTTTTATCCTTTGAAGGTTCGGCCTTAAATTCCCAAATCGTTAGGTTGTTTTAAATGTCAGTGGTAAGGCCATGCTCTATTAAATGCTCAAATTGTCATGGAGCCCATAGTGCTATCTCTAAATCTTGTCCGATGTATGAAGAAGAGCCAAAGATGCAAGAAAATAAAGTTATTTACAAGGTATTATATGGTGGTACCATTAATATCGTTCGATAAGTTGCCGCGTCAGGGACCCCACACCCATGAGAGCCATCTCAAGATTTTTTTCATTCAAAGCAGGATCGCCCCCATAGTTAAATTAATAGTTAAAGGCCACACCAAGGGATGGAAGAACGATTCTTGCCTCAATAAGAGGGTTGAAGTAGTATAACTCTCGCCAGGAAAGATTGCCGGTCACAGAACACTTGATCCCGATCTACAATCTCTGTTTTTCGTAAGGTGCTAGGGACTTCCGGGATAGTATCGTGTCAATGTTGAACGAAAAGACTTTTTGTTCAACATTAGCACGATCCTATTCCAGAAGTCACTCGCATCTTAATAAAAAGAAAGATTGTAAATCGACACAAGGTGTCCTGTGACCGGCAATCTTTCCTGGCGAGAGTTATATATACACGACTACGCGTATGATATACCTGAATTAGTCATAATGCACTAGACAAATCTGGGAAAAGTGCCACATGCGATGCTCTATATACAGTACAGCACATACTTTTGGATTGCCCCGTGTACGAGAATGAAAGGGCGAAGTTTTAAAAGGAAACATAATTTAGTCCAAGAAGGAAAAACTAGATATGCGTGACACAAGTGTATATTATGTTGAAGACGTATGTATGTTGCACCAATTATTCTTCGAAAAAGGTTTATTAAATAGTTAGAAAATAACTGATAAACCATTTCAATCTTGGCGTTAGAAACCCTAGAGACAAGTGATGGGAAACCTAATAAATCAAACGACCTAATAAAAAAAAGTGGAAGTTTAAATTGAAGAATTGGAATATTATATTTAAGAATTGCATGTTTATTATTACTCATACAAATTAATTTGGTTCCGACGCTGTAACTGAAATGATTCAACAATGACACTCCTCATTTTAGTACGTTGAAGACCGATTTTTTGTTATCAGATCAAAATGATGTCGGTTGGTCCATTTTCGCCGTAAAGACCTATCACAATATGGCGCTGGAGCCAATAATCTTGCACAAAGTTTGAAACAAGTGAAAAATATTCAATTAATCGTCGCAGTTTACAGTGGAATCTAATTGTTAACTAAGAAATTTCCGTCCCAGCTGGAGAGCTTTTCACTATTCGATCCATTTCGGAGAAAGGTGTAAATGAAAACAAACGAGATCTTTTGTAATTGAATTTTAATTTCATATTCGAAGCTGCCATTTTACATTTACTCCAGTTTTTTTTTGGAAAAAAGTAGATCATACAGGCACGTTATTTCTACATCATATGCTTATGCATGTATATTTGTTTATATATACAGTGTTTGAATAAAAATTAATTCTTACATTATGATTTTGACAACTTCTGTACAAAAATACTGATTGTGGAATGTATATTGGGGAGGGGCTCTTAATATTTGTTTTCAAACAGTTCGCTGTATTAAACTAACAAAGAACATAAATAATATATATAAAATCTCTCCTAACATTATAAATATATCAGTCAAAAATGAACTAATAACGTACCAGCCTAAATGAAACGATGACTAAATGAAATACTTTAAATAAAATAATAAATAATGGAATAATGTGTATAATGCACTGATATATTTACAATTACAAGAATCTTAGTAAAAAATCTATGTACGAAGACTACTTCTAATATATTTTCTAATTTAATACTCTTTTATTTATGTCAATAACGATAATAAATAATATCATTACACATGTGATGTTGGTCATCAATTATTGGACGATTTTCCAAAAATTGAATTTCAGTCACATTTCTTCTTTAAATAAGACTAATTACGTAAAATTGCTATTGTACACTTATTAAGCACCGTAGAGTATAACGAATCCCAGAGTTTAATTACACATTACGGTGTGTATAAAGTGAAAGCGTTGAGTGAGGCTTCACTCAACGGTGAAAGTGTTAATGGGACGCGTTATATAACATTAACTAGATTGCAAAATTGCACTTTTGTCCGCCATTTAACTAAAAACTTGTACTTTATAATAAGAAAGAAGAAAAGTGACATTTCCTTTTAGTTTATCGTAAAAGGGTACACCACAAAAATCTTCAAAAAACTTAAATTAAATAATACATCAAATCGCTTGCGAGATTCCATTGGACTAGAATAATAGGACAAATTTGGGTTGCTGATATTGTGAGGAGCTCACTTCCTTTTGCCTTTAAGATATTCGATCATGTGATTAAATTTTTCGCTTTCTTCGGATAAAAGCAGAGCCTCCAAGCAACCCGTAAAAAATTGTGAGGAGAAGCATTGGGACCTGTAAATTATTAAACGAGAGTTAGTTACGAGCATAAATTATTATGACAAAGAGCACGTCAAAATTCAAAAATGTTAGTGCCGGGTACCTAAAAGAAGGTTGCGTTGTTTTTCCCCAAAAATGTGTTAAAAACATACAAAAAAAAAGGGAAACGCATTGTAAAAAATGGGTTAGAAGGTTTAGTTGGGAGGTTTAAAAATAGATTAGTATGGGTTAAACAAAAAAAAATTGGTGCAAGTGTACCTAAACCCCAGGTTCGGCCCCGTGTAATTGTTTTATCCATATCTGAATTTGCTCCATCTCGTCCTGAAGTTGTAGCGAGTCCAAGCACGCTTTGAAAAATTCGGATGTAAAACAGTTTTTCCTGAAAGACAACGATAATCTATTGAAAATTGTTTGGCATGACCATTTCTGGTGACGCTTTACCTCTCAGCTGGAATTTTCTCACAAATCATATAATCAGAACTTAATAACGGTAATAAAGGTTTTTATTGTGCGAATAGATATATACATGTGCAATTAGTAAATTATAAAACTTAAGAATAAAACTATAATACATAAAGAAAAAGCGACTTTAACGAAACTAAAAGTAAACATACATGCTATGTACAAATAAAGCTAAAAAAATACAACATGCCAGTCCTCCACCTCAGAGTAGTTTTAAATAGTGCTTAAAATTAATGGAAAGAGTGCAGTCACGCCAAAAACTATAACCGACGCTTGTTCATTCGCTTCACCCACTCGTAAACCTCACGTGCCGCTTCACTTCCCAAGTTTAAAGTGTCAATGCAGGTTTGGAAATAAGGCGATTTGAAACAGTTTTTCCTGTAAGACACACACATGCTAAAGAAGAGAAAGTTTACAATCTAAAGCTAATAAATAGCAAAGCGTGAGAAATGTTCTGGAATTATTATGTTGCAGAAAACAATATTATTGAGATTAATGGGGTTAATTGAAGAACGAAGCGCTGTAAGATTAGTCGATATTGTTCTAATCAGGTTAGGTCGTTCTTATTTAGCAAGCAAGATAGTTATTCGAAATCAAATTGAAATGTACATATCTCCTGAACGGAACCGGAGATGTGTCTACTATCAATGAATAATTCGTGTGAACTTCCAGACTAAAAGCATAGTACGATAGAAGTAGTGAATCACGTTGTGGAATGTCACGATAGGTACTCTAATTCCGCTGATTCTCGCAGTGACCCCGGAAATACTCCGGATATTTTTCAAGGAACTTTTGCGCAATTTTAGTTCAAGCGGAAATTTTAAACATTCCCCGTACTATACGTAACGGTACCACAACTCGATCAATTTTGAAGCGAAAATACTTACTTGCAGAGACTGTGAAGTTCTGGCTCTCTGAAGAGATTGTAGCAATCTTCGCAAATTCTATCTAACCGTGCGTATATGCTCTTGTCGTAAACTCCTTTGCACTGTTGATCGGCGAATGCCCTTTTTGTAAGGTGGTGAGAGAGAAGAGGCCGCGACCTTTGGGTTGGTGTACAATGTGCTAATTGGATTACCAGCGTAAGTGCCATGCACACCCACACTCCTTTGGTGTATATGGACGTTGAAGATCTGCGATGCATCTGCAAGGAACGCACTATTATAGTAAGAGTGATTCTTCAGTTTCAAACTTATTGAGCGAAGGCTTATCAGTGATTGATGTATATTTTTTACCACACGCTCAGATAAGACTATAATAAATGCGTGCACGTCTTCTCAATCGCCGCTATTATTAGAGCGGTTGTGTAACGCCCAGAGACGCTAATTAATGACCGCGTCAAGGTCAATAATAATAATAATGGTAGAAAAATTTCACGATACGAAGAACCGTGCGTCATTAATACAAATATTGGGCTCGATGAGGTTATCGCGTAAATTCGTTCGATCATCATTTGTCATTAATTAGAGATGAAAATCGACTATAATTGGAGCAACGACCGTTAATCTGGACTTTGAATGAAAAATAATCAGGTGTCTTATATTAATAGGTATTCCATCGACCGAAATGCTTCATTAATAATCGAGTCGGTGTCGGCATGAATGAGAAGGGAGGAAGAGCGCAATAGTGGTGGAAGGAGATGAGAAAAAATGTGCGCTCTTGGTAGGTATTAAAATCACCTGTTGGTACCGGTGCAAGTTTCGCGTTGAATAAGTTTCAAAGGCGGCTTGTTTAAAGAATAAATGATGGGATATAATCACAGTCTTTTTGAAAGGGAACAAAAAGTAAAGTTATGACTTCATCGCGGTTTAGCAAAAGACCACCGGCCGCTAACAAGCTTGAGATTTTGCAGATTACACTCTGTGTGCGATTGTGCGAATCATACATGACGTGAAACCGTGGGAGTTGTTTCATTTTATTTTTATTTATTTTAGAATGGATTTCATAATGATGCCACCTGGAGGTGCTTGGACCGGGACGCGTTTTTATTATGCATAACTGATGTCGGTCGCGGGCGAGAAAATCTTGTTTGCGTTGGATTAAAAAAGAATAAGAAATCCGCTGCCGGAGGTAACTTGATCTTGTTGTGTGGCCGATTGCGGTGGTTCTTTTACAATTTGCGCTTTTTCATTAAAGCAAGGCCGTTGATGGCCGAAGGCCTTCCAAGATATATCTTAATTTTGCTCTTCATTTATCTGCAGAAAAATTGATTTTTTTCGTGTCTAAGATCTTTAACAATGCATTGTGTCGGCTTGACAATTCTGCCAAAGAGATATAACCAGTTTAAAAGATCTGCCAACTATGATAATCATAATAAATAAAGACGGATGTATAAGGTATGATCTCCAGTTCTGTTAGGCCGCACAACAGGTGTGCAATAATAGATAGAGAAAGAGGAAAAACTACAACCAGTTTTTCTTAGAGTTTCTGTATGGTTTCAAAAACGCATCTTCAACGTGTAAGTGATCTGAAATTGTTATAACTTTATCTACTTAATGGCGATATTTCGAACATTAAACTAATTGCTTTGGATAACCTTTTAACTTCGTCTACATCAATTATTTCGGATTGCAATGAGAATGTTTCATAAACCTTACTCGAGCTCTCATTATCACTAAAGATAGACCCGATAGCTATATTGAAATTCTACAAAACATTTCTTTCGATAAGAATATTTATTTATAACTCTGACGCCACCTTCCCATTTTTCCCTTAAAACTGCACGAGAAAATTCAAAATTTTCCGTCTGCAATTGTACACAAAAATGAAGTCGTTAACACATATAAAGTAAAGTGTAAACGCAAAGGTGCCAAGAAAACTTATAATTAATTAGGTTTATTAATAAATAAGTCAATAAACGCGTTACTTTGAATGCGTGCGATATTTCTAGCACAGCCAAGCGGTGAGAGTTTTATTGTTTTCTTATTGCTTTTATTACTTATCTATCTATAAATTAACGTTAGTACCGAACACCTGCCGTTAATCATCAATAAAATGTTAACAGCTCTTTGACAGCTTGTACATTTCCATCCCTTTGTTCATTGACAATTACTTATTAATAATGTAATATTTGGCAACAACAAATAATACTAAACATTTGCGTAATTGGCCATTTACCATTCCCATTCTCAATCTAACAGTGGACAATTGGAGAATTTATTACCGTACTAAAAACACTTGTTTTTTTGTTTAGTTAATTACCTAGTATATGGATAGGAGAAGCTGAATACTTCGGATTCCTTACAATTATTAAGTACAGTAGCCGCGAACGTACCCATTATGCGATTTAAATGTAAGTACAAATAATGAAGGCAAATTGATATCGATAGAGACAACAATTTCTGACGACGTTTATAGCAGTGATTGATCTTGTTTACTGTAAATATAAATGCAGCTTAAAAAGAATTACAGTGCGTCACCGTTTATAGAGATACATCGTAATTACCTTACGCCATCTTCATCTTTCATTGGTGCAATAGCATCAGCGGAATCTTACTATAATCCATGATTTGTAAATATGATCATCAATTACTAAAGGGGGAGGTTCAGTTTGTCAAAAGAAAAAAGGGTTGTACTCCATGGTCGTCTACTGGGCCTTTGTTGGGTGGAATGCTTCATTGGATAGCTCTGTTTCTGTCTTCTGTAGCACCCTTTTATTTTATTGGAAAGCTACTGTGATATTAACTACTTGTACGACGTACGTATCGATTTATCGAATGGGTCGGATGCACCCAGTCTTTGGAAAATGAAACCACGATTTCTATGGGAACTTGTGATTCGTCAAATTCGTGAAATTGTCAAACGACGAAGAGCTGAAGGCAGCTGTCGATTCCTTCCTGTGCAGGGGGTGGGGAGAATGGTACGAAGCGGGTATGAAAAAGCTTTCGGTGTTCAAAAGTGCATTGATCGTTAAAAAAAATACTAAAAAGGCAAAGATTTCAAAATCTAATATTGGTTGCAATAAAATAATGATGTTTACTATGTAAAAAAGCATTGGAGACCTTTATTTACGGACAACCCTCGTATGTATTTTTGGAAACAGCAGAGTGAGAACGCCACACGTTTCCGCCCATTGAAGTAGGAATCTCATTCGATATGTTTTCCCGGCAGTTACCGATGTCATATTCGGCCTGCGCTGTTATTCCCCGTGCTATTAGAGGGAGTCAAAATAAGCATTTTTTCCAAATAAACCAAATGTCCAAAATGTATCCTTTGAGAGCTATGCCGCCCAGAAATGTGAGTTTATTTTTTTTCTCAGGAACCATACGAGCTAGAAGGATAGAGCTTCTCCTAAATTTCTGGATATGTCCGTTCTCAATTTGGAAACGTATTTTTTTAATTCCTGCCACCAGATGGTGCACTCCTAAATGGGGTACGAAAATTCCGACTTCATCGAAATTTGGAATTTGGTTTTCTTTGTACCAGGAAAAGTTTGGTTTCGCCATTTTCATGTTTAAAGATTCCTAATGTCGCTGAGATTGCACTCCTGTTTAAGGGAGGCCCTTCTTAAGGTAGAAATTTTGACACGCACTCTGAATTTCAATTTTTGTTCTTTCTCGCGTGACATATATTGATGTTCGAAGGTCCCAAAAGTATTTATATTTTATATTGTTTGTTATATACTATTATTATTAATGTTAAATGTAATTTTCCATTTCATTTGACGAGTGTAAGTGTAATTCACATTTCGCACCTTCTCACAATTAAATATTATTATTATTATTATTTAGTAGTCGTCATTGTATAATACAGGGTGTGGCAGAGAAAATGATAAGTGCCTCGTTGCTGGCACTTTCGCAATCTGAAGCTAAAAGCGCAGAACGCGACTGGATTGGAACCAATATCTTGTAATGTTATGGAGTAAAACCAGTTTGAAAATAGATACTTCACTCTGCCGCACCTTGTATCAATAAAATAATGAAAATAACTTAAAAAGCATAGTACTCTACTTTCTTATAAAGCAAATTCTAACTGAACGAAAGTGTTTACCACAGCCTTCAATTCAATTAAAAATTGTTATACGAAAAAGTAACCAGAAAGATGATTTTTAAATTCGTTTGACATAACTAAAATTTGCTGCGATTTGATCTAAAAGCAGGTATGTCAAACTAATTTATCATCAAGAGCTTGCGGGCCGCATCTTAAAAAATGCACACTAAGAAAAATTTGTTATTAACCAAAAGTATAGGAAGTAATACAATAAAACGAAAAAATACAAATAATCATAAAATCATTAGTACGCGTTTGAGAAAGTGTTCCGTTTGTCCTATTTTGATTAAGACTGCAGTGTCTCTCGGCTGTTTTTAAAGATAGAAACCTGCGATTTTCGGGCCCCTCTGACACTTTTAATACCACAAACAGAATCGATCTAAATACGTTTGTTTTTAAGGTATAGGGTGCAAACTAAAAGTTTGACATGTAAGGTAGATAAAAGGTAAAAACTGATATTTTTACATTGAATTCAGTGGAATAGTGAAAAACATTTTTGGGCCACCGTTTGTGAGATTTCATCCAAAGATGATATTTTTGAATGCAACGTCCTGTATATTGAAAGTCAATTTTTTTGCATTCTTTTCTTTGATTATATTGATTCATCACATCGTATATTTTATATTGTATACTTTTCAGAAGTTACGTAGAAATGACATGTTTCTACGATCAGCCGTTTTTATTGACTGGTATTGGCTGCCTTAGTTACCATGGATACAAATCAACAAAACAAGATCTCTATGAATCTATGGCCTACTATTTAAAAACAGTAAAAAATAGGTAAGCTTTATTGATTTTCATGGCTATAATTAAAAAACGTATAGGGATGCAAAAAATTGACGTTAAAATATACAGAGCGTTGCATTTAAAAAATACCAACTTTGGGTCAAATCTTAGAAACGGTGGTTCAAAAGTATTTTTTGACTACGGCACTGGATTCTACCTAAAAATATCTAAAATAGGCACCTTTTACCTTTTTTCTTTCTTGCAAGGGTAATAGGATATACGATAACATCCCATAAATCGTTAACGGCGCCGCAGATTTTAGAACGGCGGGTAGCGTGTTTGCCATGCCTACTCTAAAGCCTCATAAAACGCGCAAAATCTTAATAAAAAAGGGCACTTTTTATAGTCAGGGCCTTTTTGTTACATTAAGTAATGTAGGGTAAAAGGAGCTTTCAATTGATACCAATCCGCCAATTTAAACTCGAGTTTAAATACTGTTTGCGCCGACAGTAGTAACACGATTATGAAGATGCTACTTTTTGCTAAGATTTATATTTTTAGACATCCTGTATACGTTAAACGTGATTGGTTTGGGCCGCAGATAAAACTCTGTGGTTGACCTATAGGAAATTAGTAGCGTGTTATGCAATTTGTTTCCACCAGACCACGCTATTTCATGGCGCGACGCACCTAAAGGGAGAGAAAGTTTGGGGCCGATATTGTTTCCCCATCCATTACTAACCAATTTCTTCGTTCAAAAGTCAAAAAGAATGTGAATTATACAAAAAATGTCACATGCGTGATGCTGAGAATCAATGATGCGAATCTTATGGGAGTCAGTCGACTAAAAATTCTGTTTTACGGAAGAACGAACGCAACTTTCGTTTTACAAAAAATATTTACTGAAAAGATTAATTGTGATTTCATTACTTTCCAAATCGTTTGATTAGTGGGAATAGAAGGGCAATTCAACAGTTAACTCAGGGGTCGAAAGAGTACTGGAATAGGCTCAAAAATGAAGAAACCCCCCCCACGTCTGGAGGTTATACGAAAATTGTGCGTCAGATTAGCGGAATCGTATGCTGACGCGCGATGGGAAAGTCCGATTTTGGACCAAAACTGGCAGATATTGTGATGTCGGTGGTCCGAAACGAATGCAACCACTATTAAACTAATTGAGTTATGACATTGTCGTATGCGTAAATGTGACATTAACAATCAAGATTTTTGTTCCACGACTCATGTTTCGGTCTCACTCTCACCCGAGTTCCAGTTATGCTAAAATTGTTAGCTGCAACAGCTGTATCAGTTGCACTCGTTGACAGCTATATAGGCCTAACCACTTGCGAGGACCCCCCACACTCGTATCGTCGTTTTTATTTTTTTAATTTTGTAAAGAGATGCGCCTGTTTGTAATAATTGAACAGCTGGCCGTAGCAGAAAAGTGGATTCGAATTCATGGTCAATTACGGATTGATCTACATATTACGTGAAAAGTAATACCGCGTGAGAATTGAAGTGAGCGGTTGTATTACCTATAAACATTCTCATTCTTTATAATTTAACCGTGAAGGCCAGTGGTTATTATAAGAACAAGTATCTTGTACAATGAGGACTTTAGCAGACAGCATGGCGCTGCTTTTGCAGCAACGAACGCAGTTGGTCACGCTGTCACGCATCTCGAATATCTTTGTCAACCAGATAGATCTAGTTATCTGGCGATGACACTATCAAAAGATCTTCAAACTGTAAAACTCTCCACGTCCCATTTACTTTTTCTCCCTTATTTTTTTTGATTCTCATATTCGCGCGGAGACGACCAAACAAAACAGTTGCCAAGTTTTTGGTATTAATTTATGTGTATTGCCTTCGAGCGGATGAATGAAACGAGTGAATATAAACCCATCGTCGATAACCAAATTGTTAATAAACATTTCAGTAGTCCGCAAAACGGACCGATTGGATACAATTTATTTTTCCGGTTTTGCGTTTAAAAATACGCGCTACTTATCCTATTTATGTAATTATAGAAATTAACGAGCCACATTTATTAAAAGTCAATTTTTTTTGTACCATGGGATATAGTCCGGTATAAAATTACAACCGCGTATCAAATGGACAAATCAATATCCTAAAGTCCATTCATGAAAACTTCAGCTAGGTCACCGCGATTTTATTTGCTCATCACTAACAGTACTACTTAATTTTTATTGTAGTAATACAGAAAGGCGTGTGAAAAATAAATCTTTACGTAAGTAGGCCGAATCATTTTCCTATGAATGAAAACTGTCACAGAGAAGCAATTGTTGGCATTGAACACTTTTTCAAACTAAAAATCATGAATGAAATCGATTTGTGTGGGCAGTAAAATGGTAGAACGCGTACCTACATTAACAAAAAAAGAACGAAAAGAATTGCTACTTGATTAGCTACCTGGCCCTTTCTTAACCGCCCCAATTCCTTTCCAAACGCCGCTTAAAGAAACAAACAACTGTAACAAAAAACAAATAAAACTTACTTTTAATTGATGTAGGTCCAATAATCACACACTTTTCGGTGCACAAAAGCCGATTAAACACAGGAGGGAAAAATCTGACGCAACTTTTCAAATTTAAAATAACCGACCGTTAGACAAATTTTTGGCGGTTTGTTTTAAATCCAATTATTCGCAAACTTAATAACACCGTAACAATGAGCGCAATTTATAAAGTAAATCGTGTTATATGAAGGCGTCGTTCCTTCAGTAGATGTGAAAACACATTGACAGATCAGCTTCTCAGCTTTGGAATATGTATGTATACTATGTTACGGAAGTGGGGATGGAAATTATGTGTTTTTATTGAATATATCAATTTTATATACTTTTAATATCCCCATTATTTAGGGTTACCACCCTCCTCCGCGCCCGAAGCCACCCACATAACGTCGCCTTAATGCATTTTTTTCTGAAAACGAGATTTTTATGGTAGCTTTAATTGCTATTTTTACACGACGTCTGAAATCGTACAACTTTATCGTGAAGTTGCCTTAACAAACGAAAAATAGGCCGGAAAGCACCGGCTGATACAATTCCTGTCCTATTTAGTATAGTCAAATTTTGATATACGTATACTAAATGTCCTAATTGAATTCACACACTTCGGCGAATTATTTAAATTTCAAACGAGAATTTCTCATTTTTTCAAGAAAAACGCCGGACGTAGTGAATAAGAAGATAAAGTCCAAACGCGCGTATATTCCAATTTTGACTTAGTCCAGTCACTTACCCGGAGCTACAAATGAATTATAATTTTCTGTTTTCTGCACACACCCATTGCGATTTCGGCCCTTTTGTGCAATTATGTTTGTCGGCATTTCGTCCCTACTTCATGAAATTACTCCTCAAAATAATAAAAAAGGAACTTACCCCTTTGCTATGGCAAAAAATGTGAAAAAACAGGTAAAAATTGAAAAGTGACATCAGCAATTACATTTTTAATTATCCCCATATGAGACTAATATAGTAGGTAGGTACGTCCTTTTAAGATAAATGGCTCGGGATTATGTTTCCGAGAAAGTGAAGGAATGGTTTACCTACACTAAAGCAAAGCACAGTAAAAGTTTGCAACATCTTTTTGCGAATGGAATAGTTTTCCAAGAATGCCTCGAGCTAGAAGCAAAAAAGTTAATCTCGTGAAACAATATTTGAAAAGCACAATTCACGTCGCAGTATGGCCCTGTTGCTTACACTGAGATACACTTTGTCACGAAAGTAGATAACATAATTGTTGCAAAATATAACGTAAATTCTTTCGATTAAGATGGATATTGAACGATTAATCTACTTTTATTCGAAAAGTTAGTTTTGTGGCAATGCCATGGCACATTTCGTTCGTCGTATTCGTACAACTATAGCATAAACGCGCATTTCATAATATAAATTGTTTGTTGTTACCATTCCTTTAAATTCACCTTCTTTGCTGTTAAGATATATGCCAACCGAAATTTTACTACCTGCACTACTGTGTACAAGAAAATAAAGAACTATTTAAGCATTATTAAGAACGACCTAATATACAGTGCGTTCGATATAAGAGGGTCACCTTTTATTGACGAGCTGCAAACAATTTGTCAAATATAATTTTATGTATGACATTACGATGTATCCGATCACATATTCAAACTTCTGATATCACTTCCGATTTAACCGGAAATCGATGTCACTTTTATTTTTGTAAATCAATTCCTATTTTTTTTACAATATTTGAAAAGAGTAATCAGTTTACTATACAACATGAAATATGCATATGGCTGATACAAAGAAATAGGGAAAAAGCCGTTAGTCCATATTCAGAAAATTTATGAAATCTAGCATGCCGTGTGCTGTTAGGATACGCGGTGCCTGTTGCATTACACGGGGATGTCATATTGCGCAAAACCAAACGAAACATTGAACAAGTTATTCTTATTGTACGTACTTTCTGTCTGACATGGCACATGGCATGCTGGAATTAATAAATTTTCTAAAAAAAAAATTACGAATTTCTCCATTTTTTTGTACATCAACCATATGCATATTTTATATTGTACATAAAATTGATTGCCCTTTTCAAATCTCTTAAAAAACATGCGCATTACATTTAAAAACAAAGGTTGAATCGATGTCCGGTTAAACCGGAAGTCACGCCGGAAATTTCAATATGCGATCGGATAGATCGTAATGTCACACATAAAGCTACATTTGACAAATTTGTCATATCTCGCAAAATAAAAGAGATATTGAGGTGGTCCTGTTACTTCGAACGCACTGTATTTATGAGACGAATTGACACGTAGAGTGAAATAGTTCTTTGGCACCGTTACGCTTATTGTAGTAATTAGTCAATAATAATGAATAATTTATATTTCATTGACTTTTTTTATTGACAAATATGAAAAGTATTGTTCCTTAATGCTATTGATATCAACCACACCAGTTTATTGGTAGATACATCCTATAGTATATTACGTTATAAGGTTGTAATAGTGCTTATTACAGTTGAGTACAAAAATTGCGCATGATGCCGCAAACCTGTAATGCGCAAATTCCATACTTTATCTACGGCGTCCGTGAATTTCAAAATGAAAATAAGGGGTTTGCACATTATACGCAATAATAATCAAAATAATTTGGAACAAACAGGGGCACAAGCCCATTACATCCAACCCACACGCAGATGATCGGCACAAATAAACAAAGAAAATCTTAAAATTACTTGCAGTTTTTCAATTAAAAAACCCTTAATCTGATCGCAACAAACGGTCGTGCGATATTCCGATCATACAAAAACACTCGCTGACAGCTAAACAAGACCTTCTAACAAAGTCTCTCCCCATCAAATTAAATGTAACACCAATAAGGAGAGTTGCTATTTCACCGATATCGAGGACTGTATGACGAAATATAGGTAATTTTTCTACGACCTCTATGAATTTCGAAATGAAAATAAGACAAAACCCAAAACGACAGCTATTGACAGTTTTGACATTGGTAGATTGTCACCTCCAAATGTACATGATCTATTCTAATTTTTTCCATTACGCACGGGTGTAGGTAATGGGTACTATTATCATGCCTCTAATTATACGTTATGATCTCATTTTCAACTTCGATTAGCATTAGTATGGGAACGGATAGTCAAAAAAATATGCGTCGGGTCGCATTTAATGCCCTAAAACTTTTAATGGCACTGTGCTTTCAATATTGTGAGTCATTTACAATATATAACCGGAAAACTGCAAACATACCATTTTTGTAGGTACATTTTTACCTCCCACCATTTAAGCGCAATTCCGCCTGGGAGAAAACCTACCATAGTTATATTGGGCAATAAATGAAATCATTAAAACAATAAAACCTTTTGTAGGATTCGCCCGATTCGTCTAATTTGATGATTTTATTCTACTGGCTATATGAGGATCAATGAAATTTTTAATTCTTTTAGAGTAGTTGAGGAAAGGGGTGAAGGAGCTCCATAAATTTGTGGATGTTGGGCCAAAATAAATCAATGAAGCAAAATGATTGCAATCCTTTGTTTGGATCCGATTCTTATTCGTAAATGTAATACAAATCTGTTAATGCAAATAATTCTCATGAGTCGATTCTTTTAGGTATATCAAAATTACCTCAAACCAAAATTAATATGCAAATTCCTATAAATAATCCACCACTACTTTATACAAAACAAAAATTGAAAATAATTTGCAGTTGGTCACGTGGGTACTATTCTCTTCTGGCGACAAATGATTTTATCTCTCCTTGGAAAATGCCGGTTCCTTTAGAAATATGGAATAATAATATACAATCGGGCTTATAACAAAAAATGTGCTGTACAAATGCATCACTCAACTATGAGAAACTTACTGTTAATCGACCGTTACTGTTAACGATATGAAAAAACTTGGTAAAATTCTTCAGTTCTGACTAGAGTTTCATACGATCTCAAGAGTTTTGAATGTTACAATTTAAAATAGTTGGAAATTGGTTCACAAACCATCAATGACGCAGGCCCCGCCCTTCGTGAATTCAACTGTATAATAATGTTTTCACTGTATTCTTGCTTTTAGTATAAATTGTGCCCAACTCCTGTGAATTTCTTTAAAACCGAAATAGTAAACTATTGTGTTTGTAATGGGGTTTATTTCAATGAAAGGGTTTAAACTCTTCAGTTTGGCTTTTAGACATAAATTTTGCAGTCTTTTCCTTTTGTAAACTTTGTTAGAATACAACATTTGATTATTCATTGCCTTGCCATTGCTCAGATATGAAAATAAAATTTCCCTCTCCCAAAGGGATGCTTACAGTAAATCTCTCCCATTTTATTCCTGAAAATTATTTTAAATTCCCCACTTGTCCATAAAATAAGCATTAGGTAATCAGTTAATTTATGTAAGTATGATATTGACACTCAAACCAATAAAAAAATCATTCATTGTTAAACCCACTAGATGACTAGACGATGCATAATATTCACTAATTATAATATGTCAATGAGAATTTGTGCAAGAAATTTCTGAACAAAACTGCTACCGGTAAAAAAATTAATGACTTTTGTTTGCTGTTAAAGTTACAAAGGTACATTTTTTACATTTATACACTGCGGAACATGGGTAATGCTACCTACCTTACTTTGAATTTTTGTATTGTATAAAACTAGTAGTCGGCCGTTTTCAGGGATTTTGCATAAAAACCATTTTTGTTATAAGGCTTTTTATATTCCTGAAGTTCCGTAAGGACAACTGGAGCTGGTAGTATTTTCCATTAATGAGTTTCAGTTTATAAGGGTATAAAGAACCATCGTTTCGCAAGGTACGAGTAATTAAAGGTTTATTTGCAAAAGTAAAACAAAAACACCAATAAACCACAATAACATATTAAAACTTCGAACGAAGTTCAACAGCCACAAGTAGTGTCAGTGCTTTCAAAGGGTAATTTGTTACTGAGCTAGCCGTGGTAGTAATCATTTCATTGCACCGATTAAATGTTATAGTAAAATTTTTACACTAGTGCCGTAGAAATTTAATATTATTTTAGAAACGCATGGGGTTTAACCCCTGTAAGTGTAACTAGCCAGTTACAAATTACTTCATATTAACCTGGGACAACGTACAACCATACGGCAGCCGGTACTCGTCCTAGTCTTGGAATATTATAGGAGCGTCATGCTAAATCAAAACGGTTGAAGGGTGTGTGAAAGATGATAACGCCTCCCTTAGTTTTACTTGTCTCTCGATTCAAAGGCAGTTGA